ATGTTATTGATTCCCGTATTCCGGTATCCGTTTAACTTTCGAAGTTAACGCCCTTCCGTCCGTCCGCGACATTGTTACGCGCACATCGTGTCAAGAAAAACAACATAGGCAAGAACAGATATTATGATATTTACGCTGTGAAATAGATAGCCACGAGATAATGTATTTTTCTCGTGTATACACGATACAACGCCACTTGTTATTGTAATTACTATAAAATGTAATATTTTATTCCCCATTGGTACGTTGCGATATTATTAATGTACCGTCGGTTTAATCTAGTGTGTTCGGTACCTAGTATAGAGCAGTGGCCATTACAAAACACACGTCAATGAAAACCGTGAGAAAATTGACCTTTTTTTTATATGGCATTATATGTTTCAGCTAGCTTTTCACCGACAATACAAATATATTACGTATTACGTACGAATATTCGTACACCATCTGCATTTTTTATGCGATTCGCTCAAAAATAATATTGCGTATTTAAATTGAATTAATCCCGTAGAGTGTTCGACACTCATTACAATTTGTTGGGATGAATACAGATTTACATATTTTAATATGTTTTTTACTCGCAATTAAATTTTACGAGGTAATTTATTCGGTTAGGTTAACCCTGTACCTACTCGATGCGTCATATGCCGTCGCATCGTCAAGGTAGTGAACAGATTACTAGAAAATGATATACATACCTATTAAAAAATAATACTATTTATACAATTATAAAAAATAATAACAAGGCGATGAACAACAATATAATAATCTACAAAATCAAAAGTCTGAATCGTCTAAAAGTCTAAATTCCCGAAAAGACTTAAAATCTTTTTAAGAACTATTTACGAAATAAAAAAAAAAAACGTTATTAATACATTTCTCAAATATTATACAGTTTTTATGGTAATTGCTTTGTCCATTCAAATTTTAAAATTTTATGATTATTAACGCAGTATAATATAGTGTTGTAATCTCAAAAAAAACCCATTTTTTTTCTACTACGACAGATTTGTTCGGGGGGTTTTCTAATATTGGTATACCGAGATTATTTTTGCCTACCGGATATATTTTAAATTGGTCAACTTTTCAGAGGCCATTAAAAACCGGATACCTATAACATACCTTATAATATAATATTATCCTTGAATTTTCTTACGTTTCGTTGATATAGGTTTTAAACAGTACCGAGCAAAATGTGTGTGAATAACTAACGCGTATTTTCAAGGAATCATAATCCTCGCAGTGTTAAAAAAAAAAAAAGAATATAGGAAATTAAAAGTATGAAATGGATAAGTATACCTATCGGTAATTATTGGCTTGAGCCGGTCAATATAAAACTGTTTGAAATAAACACTAATAACAATCGTTAACAATTAAAATTTCGTGTTGTTTATTTTGTTTTTGTTTTTTTTTTTACATTACATATAGGTGAAGGTTCTGTCGAAGGTTCGGATCGGAACCCAAACATATTGGTCTATAATAATACCTACTTAATATTTAATATAATAATATACGCTATACTGCAGCCACTAACCATTTTTTTTTTTGTAACGTACCAATTTGTTATTTTATTGTCGATTTCTGTCGTGTTCCGCATACAAACGTTATTATTTTAATGTATTGTGCGTATAGATGTTTATCCATTTCGAAAAAAATAAAACGTCTTCTGTAAGATTTGAAAATAATAAATACCCGTAATATACCTACCTATCTATAAAGAAAAAACTCTCTCGTGCCACACTAGTCGCCGCCGTTCGCGCGATGAGTGTAATAACTTTACTGGAATTTTCACAACACGAAATTTTCAAGGTCGATTTAACGAACCCTATCCCCGAGTACAACGACTGCCATAGTAAATAAAATTAATGAACGGTATTTTTGCTAGTAAAAAAATGCATTTGACTAAGTACTTGCATATGTAAATATGTAAATGTAAAAGGACAAATATTGAAGTAAGTACCTATAATATCCACTGTATATTTAGAGCTTAGCGATCAAATTTTAATCCAATGGATCGTGTGTCCATACACTAATTGTTTACCTGCAGACTCCAGTACAAGGCCGCTACAGGCTATAAGGTCCTAAACACATTTTCGCTATCTATAAACTTTTGACGGGCGATTATTAAAGTATAGTGTATGGATAGAAATAAAATTGAAATTCTATTTGTGTGTCTTTCTGTCTATTTGTTCGCTAAGAAATCCTACAATTTTATTCTGATCTTGATGAAAGTTGACAAAGCAAGACCAAGATCGCTATCTACTAATTATCTTGAAATTCGACAATTGAAGCCACGATGTAAAACCCGTGGCCAGCAAAAGCCTTAGAAACGACCGGCCAAAGCCTTAGAAGTAACTTTCGTTTTATAATAAAATATTCAATTATTACCAAAAGTGGTTTTTTTTTTATTTATGTGAAAAATAATTTATATAAGTACCACTTATAGATGAAAAGTTAACAATCACTATTGTATTTACTTTTTTTTTTGTATCAGACATTTTTCAGTATAATAGAATTTCAGCTACTCACCTGTGTATCATAAAAAACATAACTTTCTTTATGCTCAATAGAAGATTAGATTCTGATCTGCATTAATAAAGCATAGATTATCGGTACGAAATAAAATATAGACGAGTTATTGCATTGTTAGAAGTGTATAGTGTATATAGGTAAACGGTGCACCATATGGCCCAGTGATGCCCAACCTTTTTTGAACATAGTAATGAAAAATTAAATTTACATTATTAGTGGCTCACTCGAAGGCAATATTTTACTAATGTGGGGTGGCCGAAGAAAAAATGTTGGGCATCGCTGCCTTAAAGGGTGATTGGCACAAGGTTTTTTGGTATTTTTGAAACGGAAAGTGAATTTTCTTTTTTTTTTATTAAGTTGTGGGTCACCTAGGTGACACGGATGAAAATACAATTCTCATTATTTAATTTGGTTGTTACAGATGTAAGGGAGTTTGCTATTTTTAAAAGATATAAATTGCCGCAGAACAACAACGGTTAACTGCGATCGGGGTATGGATGGAAATGCAAACACTCGTTGCAGTTCAATTTGATTTATTTTATCGATTTCTATTTTTGAAACGATTGTGCTCGGCAAATACCGGGTAACCCGTCCAGTTTATTGCAATATTATTCTACATGCTGAACAGTAATTATAATATATGATATATACATATAGCATATAACGTATAATATATGTGTGTGTGTGTGTGATGGTCTCAAGACGGTTATAGAATAATATTTAGTACAGTACGAACACAAATTCGGTCTTTATAGCCAGTGACTCCGTGAGCATATTTCAAACCATACAAGAAAATTATTAAAAAATTCCCGCTCTTCTTCCCCTTCCCTCTTTTCACGTATTTCTAGGGACGAGCAATTGCATTAGGGAGACGCATATAGGTAGTTCACGGCGGTGCCGCTGCAGGGTATAGCGATCAAGTCCGAACGTTTTCAATAGTATTGCCCATCAATACAGGCAATTGCAAATACATCGCGTCTACAAATGTAACCGTATACTTACGCAGGAAAACTCTTACTATTTCTTTCGTAATAACCTTCTTATTTAACATACCAAAATACCCATACCATCAATCACGCCGCGAGTATATTATAATTTACAATGGTACGCGCAATCAAGAAACACAGTATTACACTTTTGTTTAGATTTTCTGTTGGCTTTCTCCGCGATGGAAATCATTTGCATCATAATATTTGCATTATCGGAATATAATAATATAAACGCGAAACCTATACTGCGGCTGTAATACAAACGGACATTTTGCCTACTTAAAATGAATTACCGAGACGAAAAATCACCGCGAACATCGTAAACCGTTTATATTGTTATTGTGTTATCACGGAAAATCGACGACGTGCAAAATAAAATTAAAAAAACACCCGTGAGCAGCAGCACTCCGTTACTATAGTATGGAGTCGAATTTTCTCCAGTCTGTTTTTTTACTATAGAATTATTCATTGTAAAATAATAAATAACCGATATTATAATAATTCAATACTTTATCTAATATCTATCTAATATGTGTATACTTATACAACTATACTAAGTAAGTTTTTCCAGAAAAAAAAAATGGTGAAATTTTAATATAGAAATTGTGGAAGCGGGGGGTCGAAAGTTAAAACTACAAATAGACATTGGAAAAAGCATAAGAAATCTTTATCGTAATTATTGCTAAACAGCCCGCAGCTTCGTCTATGTCCGCGACTATATTTTGATTCGGATTTGTCTTCAGCGGGTTTCGATACCTACTAATTGAATTTTGCGCGGTTGAACTCGAGTATATACGGGTAACGTTTTTCGAACCCATTTGATAAGAAATATGTTTACGAGCTTGTTATAGTAATCAATACTATATGTTTAGGTATAATAGTATTATAGTGCATAAAGGAGGTGATGCACGTAAAAGCTCCTCCACGTCTCGGGGTCCTCGGTCCTCGACGTCTCACGGACACGTATACGTATATTAAATATATTTCGAGATATTGACTCTTCGATTAGCACGCACATCGCACACGAAACACTCGTATTCGGTATATTCGTCGTAAGATTGTGTAGGTAAAATATATCGTATGTATACTCTGTGTATGTCTGTGGGATTTGACAATTTCTTCAATGGATATCGTCAAATCCTGCACATACACCCTGTATGGAAGCGCAAACGAACTCGAAGGGGAAGTATATCCGGTTATTATTTTTTTTTTTTGGTTTTTTTTTCGTAACAGGTCGCCACAAAAGTATAGTCTGTATAGTTGTTAGTCGGACCGCCTCCTTCCCACACCTTATTATTTACTTTATATTCCTACTGTAGGCCAGCACCGCGACAGTGCGTCGTATTTTTTATTATTATTATTATTTTTTATATATATATATATATATGTAATTATATCGTATTATTATATATTCACAATGCACACACACACACGTCCGACACGACTAGACGTTCGCTCTTTCCCGCACCGATACACAGGTATATTATACCCACCTAACTACCTATACTTTCCCTCCAAATATCGGCCCGTCTATAAAGCGCGCTCCGCTGGCCCGCCGGGTCGCGTTTACTATTCGTCCGCCGTCCACGCGACACACAGACACCTGTACATCGCAAACCTCATCTGACCTAACCGAACCTATACGCAATAACCTCCGCGTCCCGCCGAGCACGAAAAACCCCGACCGCTCACCAAGCGCTATAGGTACACCGCAGCAGCCGCAGCAATCATGCGCCGCACCACAGTGACAGTGGCACTTTTACTGGCCGCGTTTTCCGCGGTCGCCAGGGCGGCCATCATCAGGACCACCGGCGTCGACTTGCGTAAGTACCTAACTGCTTGTCCACCTGTATAATATCGTACGCGAGTCGGCATCAAACCCGCTGGCGGCGTGAAGTTTTCTCTGTCTGTCTGACGAACTACGTTTTCGTAAAACCGCGCAAAAACCAGAGCCCAAAAGCATCAGCAGCTACCACTAATAACTATATTATAACACGTTATACTCGACGTTCCTGCACATCGTAGTTTCCTTTGACAAATACATCTAATGATAAAATACCCGTCCGCCCACACGCTTAATTTGATCACGAAGCAAATGCTTGATGTATCCATTTACGCCGCCATTGAAAAACGGGTCCGATGTGTAGGTGTAGATGAAGTGAATGTTGTCTGTTTTAAATGACAACCAGTTTGCATTACAAAAAAAAAAAAACTAGAAAAAAACAGGTTTTTTTGTTTTGTTATATTTACGTTTCACACGAAGTTACATAATCAATTTTTACGAACATTTTTCATTTTTTGTAAAAATATTTAAGAACATTTTGATTTTACCAATAAATTGTCTATCGAATTTAGATTTTATTATTCACATACTATAATGATAATTGACCTAAATTTTTATTTTTGACAAACACGTCGTGTAGGGAAAGTTTTAAATCTGTATTCTGAGACGACCCAGATGTATACTATTATACGTGCACTGTTCACTGTTTGATCAAAAGGACACTACCTCACGCATATTCAACGTAAAATTGAATAGATTATTTTCACATAAAACCCGTTTTAATGAAACATGTTTTGTGTTTATAAGTTATAATACTACATTGCTACAACAATCTCAATAAAAGCATATTATAATCAGTAGCTGTGAATCCAAGGGGAGCGATAAGGGCGATCGTCTCCCCCCCCCCCGTTCACTCTTCAATATACTCTTAACTTGATTCATCATTGAGCTTGTAATAAATGCTAAAATGCATGCCTGATATGCATTTTCAAAATCACTTCCACCCTCTTCGTTGTCCTTCTTCTCCCGGACCCACTCCTGGTTATGAGCGCCAGGTTTTAAAAATCGGAACGGGTGCATGACAGAAAGGGTAAATACATATAGCTACTCGTTAGATTAAGATACTTATGTGACAGATACTATTATCATCTGCAACAAATATGTGGTATCTATAGCCATCAAATAGGTTACAATCCCAGTGGTAACGATAGCGTCGGTACTGTTAAATATTGCAAATTTATTATCAATTAAATCGATTTTTTCAAGCGTAAAAATTAAATAATGAACTGTAATTAAATTATATTACATCCATATTCTAAATCCGTTTGCCCTCTAAAATGTTCTGACGGGTGTTCAAGCTCTCGAAATATAAAAGTTAATGAATTATAGCCGTAGATTTATTTTAGAACCCGAAAATCGTAAGCGGTCGTGTATTCTACGTTTATTTTCTCTTTGGATACCTGTATAGCCTATATATGTATTACATACTACACACCAATAATATACACCGTGAAATCGTTAAACATTTCCTCAATTCATTAAAACCTACTAGGTAACCTATTAGGTATTATAGTATTAATATTTTATGAAAACTTTTAAAACAAAATACAGGCAAAATAATTTTATATTAATGCTTAAACAATAATAATTGTTAATTTAACCAATTCTTCTTGCCTATCTAGGAAATTAGTGGAAAATTGTATTATTCGTGTTTATCAATTTTTAAGTACATTAAATTTCTGATACGTCTTACAACGAATGGATATAATAATGTTTAAAAACTCGATCGAATAGTTCGCGGATAATTAAAGGCACGGTGTTCGTTGGCAGTGCGCATAACACGACAGAGTGCAGGGAGAGTTTAATATGGACGAGGAAAATGGATTAAAAAAACGAGGCGTGTATCTACGATATAGTAACACGATGTGGAACTTTTAAAATACTCGTACTTTTGTCAATGGGTACAATGGGTATTCGAATTACGTCCGAATTTTGTTGTATAGTAATTTTGTCGACGACAATCCCGAGTTTGTATGAATCACGATGGAAACACGTGTTAGAAAATCAACGTCGCGGATTTACGCGGGACACAATTAGCGTTTAGTTGTTGTTGTTGTAGTTGTCACGTTTCATCGGCTCATGATTAGTTTGTAAATGGAATTATTAAATATTTTACCGAATGAATTAGAAATAAAATAAAATGGCCGCCTTATTACGATTTGATTAAAATTGTTGATGGCGAGAACGCGAAAGTTATTACCCGTGTACGGTACACAATTTACATTATAACTGAGTACACTATGTAGGTGTATAGTACATAATTAACTTGAAATATTTGGAAATAATTAACTAAGGATGTCGACTGATTTCCATTTTGTTTACATATTATTACGTTTACATATACTTCCATAGAATAATAATTGCTAATGATTGCATTGTTCATGTTCTATAATAATAATTAATAATTATAATACCTATTTATTTATTTATTTATTTATTTTTACTATTTTTTTTTTTTAATTTTTTTTTTTTTTTTTAATAGCGTTATAGCCAAAATGAAACTATTAAACAATCTTTTTTTTTTTTTTTTAATAACATTAATGTTAAAACTTCCCGTACGATGATGTTTCATGGTCACGGTGTGTGTAATATACACAATTATTATTATGGATGATCAATGTTGAAAAACTAAACGTCCTTCCGCTCGTATAACTTCCCTATTTCAGTGTATATTATATAAAGCGTATATTCGATAAATTTAATGTACATATATATATGTTGAAAACGGAAAAAAAATAAATATCAACGCGCCTTCTATTACATCGTAGTAAATTTATACCGTTTTATACTAATTTACGAATTGATTCGAAATAGATCGAGTTGCCGCGGTATAAATTCGAAATACCGCCGTCGTTCGTTCGGATTCAATATATTATTGTTTTTTTCCTTTTTTTTTCCTTTTAACGGAAAACGTCCGCGTTTTTACCTGTACTATAGAACGCGCAATATAGTATTACTATTCTCGACACAGCTGAAACGCACTAACGCTATAAGCAAAACTAATTTGCATTTGAAAATATCAAACCGGTGTCAAATCGGTACGGAACACAAGAATATAATTACACATTATTATTATTAGGTATAATAAATATGTACCGTTTAATTTATTAACAATGTCGAAATCGAATGTATTTTTTTTTTTAATTACATATTATTGAAAATATTACATATTCGGTAATTGAAAAATAAAATTGATATTATCATAATTCGTTCGACTAGTTCTTGCAGCAGTGTTTGCCCGTTACTCTCGGCGGTAAACAATAATTACATAAAGTTTCGAAAAATCCGGTTTTCAAACTCGTATTTACTTGACACAGTTACACGGACGTTTATTAAATCGGTTTTCTCAATACCCGCGTCTGCTGCAAACAAAACAAATACGTTAAACTTAGCAAAATAGTGCCTATAGAAAATACGTATACACTTTCGGCTAGTTCCGAATTACCCATATCTACGTCGAAACTACGTTTAAAAATGCGGACTTTTCGCCCGGTCGTTCCCCATCACAGTTTTGATGGGAAGTGATGCCGGGTACATTGGTTTTATTTTTGTTATTTCCACGTTATCTTTGCGAAAAAACGCGACAATATAATACTGTATTGTACTATAACCTTACCAGGTTATCGAGCTCCGCTTAGAATCGGTTTTTTGATTTCGATGATTTATTATCTTTGCTTTCAGTATGTAAACGAAACTATACCCAATAATATCATATAAATAAGCTAAAGCTTCAAAACTTCCTATTTACAACACACCCATATCGATGGTGCGAAATACGTCAGGCTTTTTTACGATTCCGAGTGTAACGAAAAAGCTATTACAGTTGTATTGAAATAATATGTCGTTTGTTCACGGCAAACACTTTTTCGGTTAGTGGAAATGCTGCTCAGTTTTCTTTTTCATCGTAACTTAAGAGATGCGGATTTTTCGCTTGACGGTATATTAAATTTGAAACAATTTTTCAAATTCTTAAAGATTTTCCACAAAATTGCTTTTAATATTTTTATTTCCCCAACACTGTTTTGCTTGTAAGTAAATGTTCTATTTTTTCAAGCCAGATCTAGAATGATGCAGAATTTCTGCCCAGTGGTATCATGTTTGAAACGTGTATCGAAATTTTCAATAGTTCGCGCGTTATGAACAAACCCTATATAAGTTCTTTTCCTCGAAAAACAATTTTTCGGCTAGTAAGAGTAGACTAAATTATTCGCATCGTACACCGTAAAAGATACGGATTTTTCGCCCGATAGTGAAGACTTTATGATGCGAAAAAAATGTCGCCTGTGAATTTCCTACCGGGAGTCCAGACACGGTTTTAAAACCGTCGGTACGGGTGTTCCGTAAACAACACCTGCATGCGTTCCGTAACTGGGTGATTGGGTGTCTGGCCCAGGTCCAGGACCAATTATTTCCAAACGTGACTCTATACATAGATAAACACCGGTAATTTTACACCCGGGTACATAACGTCTGCGAATTGGCACACGCGGCTGGGGCGGCTAACAATATGAAATTGCCATCGTTCTCCTCGCTGCACAGATTATCGTATTTTGAAATCGATGTATAAGTATAGACAGGTTATCCTACAGTATAATCGGGAGAGAGTTTGTCGCCGCGACGGTCGGGTTTTCTCTGCGCGCGAAAGACAATGAAAAGCGGTAAAAAATAAAAATACGAAAAAGAATTACGCGAACGTAATAAAAAAAAAAAAAAAGTTAAAAAATTACTCGCGGGGTATTTGTTATTATTATTATTATAAAAATAAAATTTACACGCATTGATTATATTGTCACGGGGGAAAATTTCACATTTCACATATTATACATAATAATAATATATATTATATAGGTACTTGTACAAAAAAAGGTGTACGCGTGCACTCCGAGTATATTGTATGTATCTACCCAGTACTCGTAGTTACAATGTTATCTATGTAATATTACGATCATAGCGATAGACGTGTTGCCTGTAGCAAAACAAAAAGAAAAAAAAATTAAAATTAATGGTTTCACTCTGTATAGTACAATGTATACCTATGTTTTTTTTTTTTTTTTTTTTTTTTCTGTGCTCGGATCGTTACACTTTCATTATGCGTGCACCGACGTCTCGTATAATATTATAATAAGACGGCATATTATACTGAATAGGATTAATGACCGCGGGTTGGACGAGGTCGGAAGAATGAAAAAAATTAGAATAAAGACAAAAAAAACCGACAGTGTTTATGCCGCATAATATTATTATTATTATTATTATTATAACCGCGATTATACGAGTAAATATACTAGTAAAATTCGAAAGCGAATACGTATCGAGTAAAAGTTACTTATGCCGCAGAAAAAAAAAAAAAAAGACCACAAGACACATTCTATCTACAAGCCTATACCACAACTGCGGTTCCCGAATTGTTTTTTTTCAAGCATCCCTACATTTAGACAAATCGCCTCACGCTTCCCGTAAATTAATGTGATTGAATAATTTCATTGACGTGGAAAACTATTGTTTTTGCGTTTACTCTCCGCGTCTGTTAATGGTATCGAAATCAGGAAGCAACGTTGTAATAACTTCACTTGCAGCAATTACTCGCAACCCACGCAGCATTATTCGGACCGATACAATTGGATTACGGCTACTCCTTGAATGTCTACGATTCGCACGAATGTTGTTTCGGCAAATTCGTTTTTTGTATGCCGTCTCGGGTTCTAAAATCCTAAAAGTCTATGTGGGCGAATAGACAAACGTGCACAATGTATTTAATTCGCGACTCCCTTGTTAATCATCCTGTATAATAACATTATTTTGCCGGAAAGTCCGTCTGCCGCAATAACCGTGTTGTTAAAAATAATACAAGAAAATATTTTTTTTTTTTTTCAGTCAGTTTTAACGACCCTGAATCGACATTGTGTGCTCGTCAGCACGCGTCCGTGGATTGCCACTAAAATGCGCGTACATAATATTAGTATAATTTACGTTTTCTTGAAGGTCAAATAAACCGACAATAATAACTATGAAATAGCAGCTAGGCACCTATCAGAAATACACGCAGCCGAAACACAATCTATGCGCGTATCGTCCGAGATAATAAAATCTAGTGAATTTATGTAATTATAATACGAATGTTGCCGAATCAGGGTTGTAAAAGAAAAAGTTTCATTTTTTAAATTTTTTTGTAAATAACATGGTATAATTATCATAATTATTTTATAGCAAAATAACAATCGAACAAAATATTACTTCTTCATCCCAACGTATAATGAGAACTGATTATTTTCATAATAAATACCTAGGAACTGTAAATATTATTGTTTTTTTCACCGTTTAGAACATAATATTAGTTTTTGAACATTTTAAACGTTAATGTGTCAAACGTACCAAACATAGGGACTCGTTTTAAACACTACGTGACCCTTATTTGTTGAATTACATACGTCGAATCTTACAGCGTCCACGGAAAACGTATACCCAATAACAATGCAATCTGAATAACAATATAACATCATCACCATATTATTATAATTTATAACCTTTCTGTTTGTTTCATATGTATGTACATAATAAAACGTTGTTTTTTTGTTGGAATTGGTCAGTTTTTAACGTGTCGTTTTTATTATTTGTTATACAGCGACTTACACCGACCCGTGCAAAAGAAACGACAAGGACTTTAGCGGATGTCTGAAGAGAACTCTCCAATATTTGATCCCGAAATTCGCCAAAGGTAGGTACTGCTTACTGGTATACGTATATTTGTATACTCATCATGACCACGCGAATATTGTCAATAATTAATTATTTAACTATAATTCGCCGTTAATATTTTAGAAGGAATTCCTCAGCTGAACATCACATCACTGGATCCGTTCTACTTGAACGAATACCTGATGCATTTTGAATCTACGCAAATCGAAGGAAAAGCTCTGTTCAAAGACGTTTACGACCACGGTTTAGGTTCAATCAAAATTGTCGATGTCAGGTTAGTTTCGGTTCAAATAATTAATTACACATGCAGTTCGCTCCTACTTCGGGGGAATTAATTCCACCTTGAACCGTGGATACTATCGAATTAATAAATAATTATGAATTATAATATAATGACGCAATGAAGTTTCTACCGCTTTACTTTTTTGTAATGATCTTCATAACGAAAATCTCGGTATTAACATCGATCATCGATTGAAAACTCAATATACTGCAGGATATTCGGATGATTATAAAATATTTAGTCGAAACATTTTTCATTTTCTAGAGCTCTCATAGAAGACCCGGAAAAATTAGAATTGGAAATCGAATTTTACATGCCAAAAGTAGTGTCCAACGGTAAATTCAAGGCTGAAGGAAGAATCGGCCAGATCCCAATCATGGGCAAAGGCGTATTCAACGTGACGTCGTGTAAGTGCCTTTGTTTATTGTAATCGACGTGATTACCGTTTATCAACGGGTTTCGACTGTTAATCGAATATTTCGACGAACGAAAACGTGTTTTCAAAGTTCCGTTTTTATTGCGTATGTACACAGATGACGTGACCGGGTCATGGTTGTTGAAAGGCATCGCCGTCCAACTGGACGGACAACGGCATATGCGCATTAAGGATGTCGGCATGAAATTAGATATCGGCGACATGAAAATATACGCGACCAACATGATAAATGGAAGTCCCGAATTGAGTAAGTACAATAACGTTATACACGACAAAACGTGCGTACGGTGTGCGCTGTGTCGTGCTAAGAGAAAGCTGACGAACACATAATATTATACTCGTATATAATATACCTGTTAGTTTTTATTGCACTATAACCCATGCACTCCTATGTAACACGTCGAAATTGTGCGTTTGTTCTAGGCCAAATGGCGTTAACCTTCGCGAATCAATTTTGGCGCGTCATATTCCAAATCCTGATGCCGTACGCCGAAGAGGGTTTCGAAAAAATCACCAGACCCATTCTCAACCAAGTGTTCCTGGAGGTGCCCTACGACCAGCTGTTCCCGCCCAGCCGCAAATAAACCCTCCCCTATACATTATAGAAAGTGGCGCATCTCTCAGACTTGTACATTAATTTTCTCTCCGTATTAGTTTTTTTTTTCTTTCTAGGTTTAGGTATATAATACGTGTACGTTATAATATTCTTGTTATAAAATAACGCGTTACCGAGAGTATTGCTACTTCAAATATCCGACCAGTTATTTATTACGTTAAGATTAGTACTGTAACTATCCGCATGACGGTATTTAAAGCTATAAGTAATTATAAATTATTAATAATATTATTTTATTGTATATGTGTAAGAAAACCGCACAATATATTAAACTGAATTTTGTTTTCTATATAATATATTATATTGGCCATGGATAAAAATAAAACTCCTCGACCATCTTAGAAAACTATATTTCGCGTAAACCTTATACGATTGTTAATGCACCTTCCGAGAACCTAATCAGTGTATTGAAAACATAACAAGGCGTACCAAGATAAAAGTGTACAAAACTAAAATTGCCTGTCGCGTGTTTGTACTACCACTCAGTGGCGGATCCAGAGTTGAATTTTGGGGGAGCTCTTAAAAAAAATTACAACTATAAGCAAGAAAAAAAATCCAAAAATACTGGAGATACGTGCAGCCACTGTTGTAGATGAGAAGTTCAGTAGATGGGACACATAAGGTTGTTGAATTTATATGTGTAAGCACCGGTAAACTATAGCCAACTTATTTTTTGATTGTTGTGAGATTTCTGGTAAAAAATGTTGGCAAAAAAAAAAAAAAAAAAAATACAACACAGTATACAGTCAATACGTTTATCGCTCCGCTCCGCTTTTCTTCGTTGCGAATCTTGTATTATTATATGCGTTACACGTTTAATTATGTGTGGGAGTAAAAACTTTTGTTTAATCTATGGGCGTGTGTTCAATTTTCATAACAATATTGCGTTGTTATCGAACTCTGATTATTCTGTCACAACAATAATATTCGACGCGCGGTGAATTTTTACGTGTCCCATTCGGACGGCCTTGTGTATGTTTAACAACATGGGTGGACCGCCCGTAACTCGATTGTAAAAACTCTTTTCGCATAATAATTGTAATGGAATTGCCGAAATCGCACGACACGTTATTTAAGAGGTACATTTTATCCGCGGTGTCGTCGTAAGGGCGCTAGTTATTTTCATTTAATTCACTATAGTCAAATAATTATAATATTGTAACCGGTCGACGAAAAACCGTACGTTTACAAAGGGATAACTATCAACAACATAAGTTGTATGTAAATGAAAAAAATTAAGCACGTCGCGATAGTATTACACACGTTCGGTTCTTTTTAACGCGTCGTGCGATTTCGGTAACTCTGCTAGAGAACAGACGAAAAACGTTGAACATTTTCAGTTGAACCGCAATAGCACGAAAAATATTTGTTCTGACGACACGGGACTACGTCCGGTTTAACGGCTAATTTGGATGTTTTCGAAATGACGAATTTACAATTTTTTTTCGAAAGGTTCGCGAAAATTGCCTAGCGCAACCCCCGATAATAAACGGGTAAATACTAAAACAACTGCCTATATACGTAATGATATTATTATAATACAGTCAATTTATTATTTTTTCATAAATCAATCGCGATCGTGAAATTTCGTAATACGTTTTTGACACACGCGAATACATGTACCGCAATATTTCGAGAATTTTGTAATTTTATTTAGATACTGCCGCTAATGATAATTATACCCGCTATTTTCCCTACACAAATAGTACGATAAAGGCCTAACAATACATGCGATAATATTGTGTCGGTCCAAACGTTCAAAAAGTCTAAACAAATCGTCCGATGAAAAAACCGTGTTCGTTTAATGTATGAGTACTCTGTTCCCTAACGAATAAAATTGTTCTCGGACGGTATCGATTGAAAATTCGATACGGCTAATTTCTTCGGTTAGCGGTTACCGCGGTTGCATCTTACATGGGTAATTTTAAATCTAAACGCGGGGTGGATAATACGATATGCATGCTGCAGGCGTACTTACACTGATTATTATATCCAACGCGGTACCGCACAATAATAACAATAATAATGATAATCGGTTACGCTGAACCGGTCGACGACGAAATTTATAATAAATATGTGAAAATATAAATAATATATATGTTTTATTCGAAAATAATTACAAAATTCAACACGAGTTAATGCGCCTATATTAAAATCTTTATTAGCACTGAATTAGTTTTCGTTAGGTATACGCGTGACGTATTGCTACAGCATACGGAGGTGTTAGCAAACGATTTCGAAATACGGCGGAAGCGAAAACAGTTCGGGTTCAAAATCGTCCATTGAATCCAACACGAGAGTGGCGTTGGCGGTCAGTTCTTCGGGCAAAAATAAATCCGGCACCATGACCACTTGCATTCCAGCAGCCCGAGCCGCAGTCACCCCGTTCGGCGAGTCCTCGAACACCAGACACTGTACACAATAACAGAAATTAGATTGCAGCAAATATCAAAACATCAGCCCTTTTTACATTATTTCATTGTTTTTTTTTTTCTTTTCTTTTCGATATGCACGTTTTGTAAATTTATTTTTACAAAATACAGAATGATCAACGCAACGTATACGGCCAGGTCCGGATTGACGTATAGGCGAGATAGGCACGTGCCTAGGGCTAGGTAATGGCAGGGGCTATTTTATTTCTAGTAATACGCAATAGCATCCCGAAATTAATCGTACTAAAATGGATTGAGAAATATAACGATTTTGAATTTCAAATTATAAATCACTTATGAGTTAAAAGATAATGCAGATTGTAGATTGTACGACTAAAGTGTTGTTTATGAATTATCATATAGGTGTATCATTTAGATGACTTTACAGTTTATATAATGAGCTATTGACAAATATGTGCCTAGAGCTATAATTGAGCTTAATCCGGCCCTAAGTAGGTATCTGGTATACCTATTACTGAACCTAATCTATCTTTGTATATGTAAGAATCAGATTCTGATTGGATTTACCTTGTTGTTCCGGGGGCTTCCCGGGAACCTGGATGCGCAAATTTGAAAGATGTCCGGTGCCGGTTTGCCGTTTTTCACTTCTGGGTCCGAAGCACCGGTAACCACGTGATTGAACACCGAGAATTTATCTTTCAGATGGTCAGTCTTCATTCGAAAACTGATCTCCGAACTACTAGTCGCTATGGCCATAGGTATTCCATTCGTATGGAGATGTTCCAAAAGCGTCTCGACTCCTGAACGGTGAATAAAACACACATGCAAATACGCAATATTTGTATTATATTATTTTATAAATACGCGCAAGTTACTTAATTTTCTTAACACGTCAGATTAGATTATTTCAAGTACCTATAGATATATGTCTAACACAACGCGTTAAATTAGAAAGTTCTCCGGAATATTAACTATAACTGATTAAGTTTAAAGTCGTTTACAAAAGTAACGCTTTAACTTCGTGATAACTTTCTATGACTAGTCGGAACTCATGTTTCGGATATATTAACGAATTGAACATACTTATATGTACAAAACATTATATTACCTAACGTGTTATATTACGGGTTGGAAAAAAAAAATGCCAGTGAAAGTAAACTAGTAGGTAATACCATAATATATTATAGAAATAACGAGAGAACATTAGTAATGCACGATTGAAATGAACAAATAATAGTAAATTAACATTAATGCCATTACGATTTGGTACCTAAAAGTATAATCACTCGTATAACAATAATTACTCCTCTCAAACACCTCTCTACAAGAGGTTTTAAGACAATGGCAATATAGGTACACGTAGTGAAATGTAATTATAAATAGATAATAATAATATTACGTTTTCGGTAACAGCAGTGTTCTTACCGTACAACTTTGTCAATCTTGCGCAGAGATCAAAGACGACGGAGATTGATATGGGCACATAATATTTTGTAGTGTAAAAATAATGATAGAAATCGACTGCTGCAATTGTAATCATTATTCACTACGATGCCGAATTAAAAATAATGCCATTATTATTATTGTGATTAGGTATTTATACAAAATACATTATTTTGTCTTAAACATATAATCCTAATCGATTCAAATTGATTTAAAAAAAAGTATTTACCGCCATCATATAATAAATTTCGTCACCTGTCTCTATGCTGAACCTTCACATTTGATATATCTATCCAATTTCAGACTCTATGCGACTTTCATGTGGCAAGTATAATATATGTTATAAAATCAATGGTACTTAAATTCAATTTTTTTCTGCCTCAACTTTAGTTTATTTTTCCTTTACAACTAGACTATTAGAGCTACTTATACTATTATATATTATGATGTGTGTGTATGTGTGGTTTTTTTTTCTGTCTGTAAACAACTTTTCGACCAGAAATCTTGCTCCGATTAAAAATTGAAGAGGGAACAAATTTTGTTTTTATTGTCAAACTTTCTTAATAATTGTGCGAAATTGAGGGAAAACACAGAAATAACGGGAAAGTTAACGTAAAAAATAATAGTTTTATTATTTTCGACAATTGTGTTTTTTTTTTCGTAGTAGTAATTCAGTTTAAAATATTCATGGGGAATTGAAATTTGGAAAAAAAACTTATATTAACATTTTCTAGATGTGTTAAATTTTCAAAATATTCTGAAAATACGTTTGGATATTTTTAGGTGTTTTATATTTTCTAGTTTTTTACATAGTTTTTCTTTGATCGTATACTATAGTGCTATGTGGATAAAATTGTTTGATCAAACAGAAATGCTCGAAAATTCAACTCAAGATTTATTATGAGTTAAACTTAGTGATAAAAAAAAAAAAAGACGTCCTAGGACAATAAGGACGGGTGTAGTCACTGTTATAGGTAATTTAATATATATCTGATAGTAACGATTAACCATAACTAACGAAAAAATGATTCTGAGCGGAGTTTAGTTGTGCTTTGTCAACAATATATGCGTCATATTAGGGTAAAATAATTAAATAGGTATTATATATTATCTTTAATAATATTTGTGTAATGTACAGATTTTTCCATTTTTCCCAGGTTTTTTTTTCAGTTTTTCACATTTGTTGAGAAAACTCCGGAGAAAATCGAAAAACGACCACTTTAAAGTATTTCCTCAGTGAAATTTCCTTTTAGAAAAATTTCTATCATTATAAGTTGGGGCGAAATTGCTGGTGGAAAATTTGTCCACAGAAAAAATAATAATCTTTGTAAAACCATAAGCTTCTACGCTCCACTCAAAATCTAAAAGTTATTTTTTTTTTTTTACATAATCTTTTCAAGATCAAATTTGAATAAAAATCGCAAGTATTATAGCATTTCAAAATATGTATAACTTCGATCAAAATCGTATACTGTTCACAATGGTTTATTGTTGCTTACAGATAAATTCAATAAATAAGTTATAAATTCAATAACTTTATGTAATCTTCTTTCCCTACTTTTCACCTATAAACCTATAACAATGGCGCACCCATCAGCAGTAACAGCTCTTTTGTTTTTTTTCATTCCATTCAAAACGGACAAGTGAAGGATCCGTGATAAAATTACCCCACTATTGCCATTGTTTGTTAAATAAACTAAATAATACGTTATGCTTTACGTAGGGATGCGCGGGCTAATCATGCACAGCATCTTCATTTTATAGGTAACTATATCAGTACATCGTAATAGTTAAATGGTTTAACCTATAATGTTAATATAGTAATACTATTTATAATTTATATGATAAGTATGTAAATGCTTACCGTGCATAAATTGTACGTTTTTCATTTCTATCGCTTCTATAGCGTGAGCTTTTTCCAAAAATTCTTCAGGCGTTATATCTAGTTGCAACACGTTGACCATCATGGTAGCGGAATCAAGTTCTTGTCTTCCCAGCATTTTCATACGTAATTCATCGGTAATAACTTTGCCATATTCTTTAACGATTTTACTATACGTTTTTTTATGAATTTTTTCGGTATCTGAAATGTATACGTTTAATTTAAAAACACTATTGAGTAATACCACGACAGCATGGTGTATGCACAGTGTACACATCATAGTATGTCTATATGTTTAATATTATTTTGGAGTGAGAATATTATTGGAGAATATTTAAGACCGGAATAAATTGTTAGAATGTCAAATACTCGTGGAATACAGTGACACTTCTGAATAGCGGGCACAGAGCTATTCGGTAGTTTTCGCAGGGACTAAAATTGTGTGCGGTACGACACATTTTGTATACTACGAAATGTCAGGTGTACAGCACGAAATTTAAAAGTGTGTAGCGGCTATGTTACGATATTTGTCTGTAAGCGTTTTTAATTTTATATTTTTTTGCATTTAAAGTAAGTACTATGGGAGAAAAAAATATCTAAACTATATCTTTATTAAAATTTTAAATAACAACACATTGACTCGCAAAACATTAACAGTTATCACTGAAGACCGGATTCCCGTGCAATTGCACCGTTTTATGGCGTGTTATAAATCCTATAGAAACAAGCGACAAATTCAAATCAAGATTTGTAGATTAATTTAAAGAAAAATTTATTTTGCACAAAATTGTACGTTTCGGGGTTTTTTTTTTTTATAAAAATGTACTAATTAGTATTTTTGTACTACATAATCTATTATAATATCTATTATTAACAGATATTATTTTCTAATTTATGTTACTTTATCATTTTTATATTATGTTGTTATATGAAGTATTGGACTTTTATATCTTATAATACAAGTATAATATATATATATATATATAATACAAACAATGTATACTATGACAATATAACAACATAAACAATACAATAACCCGATAACAAGTTACCGATGTAGAATGTGTGTTTTCACAATTAAAACCCATATTAAATGACAGAAGACATCATTTTACAGAAAAGAACTTAGAAATGTACATAATAAATTTAAATCAAATACCTATTGTAAAGCAGTTTAAATTTTATATTTTTATATAATAATTATTAGTAAAATTCTAAATGACTATTAATAAATAATAATAGAAAATAAAATAAAATTTGAAGTATCTATAATGAAAAATTTGTTACATAATTATTAATTAGGTACTGATAAAAATATGTTTTTACACGATTTTGCATGGTTTAGCATTTTAATTACACGTTTTTACGCGTTAGGTACACACACAAAAATCCAGTCTTTAGTTATCATATAGGGATTATTTCAAAGATAATGAAGATACAGAATAAATTAAGGGTACTTTTACTATCGATGTTTAATTCATAGGTAATACATTATTAAATATACAACAAAAACTGATCATATGTAGTGTAATTAGAATGTATTATAATCTATATTCATGATGCATGGTTTCATTAGTTATGTATTTATAAAATTATTTTGAGTTTATTTATAAAAAATATAAAAAAACAAATATACTAATTTAGTCCCTCTGAGAAAATTTAAAATAACGTCTTTAAGTAGGTAGGTACTATATTAGTTTCGAATTCAATTTGAATAAATTGATAAAAAAAAAAAAAAAAAAAAAAAAAAAAAGAAAAATGGACTATTTGTCTCTATATGATAATTATTACAATACGTATCGAAGAAAATGTAAATTGAGATTAATTTGCAAATGGTTATTTTTTCGTTTGTGTGTTGATCAAAAATATCCCTCCAGCTCCCCTCAAATACTGAAATGATTCCTTTGGGAGCGGAGGGGTTGATGATACCTGTATGGTACAGTATGGTTTAATATAAAGTGTGTAGTACGAAAAATTACATATTTTAGTATCTGGGTTTCCGTCAAGGGTGGTTTCAGTGTAATATACACGACGCGGATTTGATTAAAACCATAAATTATTTTAACCGTCATGCCAATTATTCCGAAATATTTTTAACGGATAGTTTAAAACTAAAACAATGACACAATATGTAAATATCCCTACCAATAAGACTATAAATATTCACATTACCAAAATCATGTTAAATACTTACCTAATAATGTTCCGTCCATGTCGAAAATGACGTGTGTCACAGGCTTAAATGACGACGCAAGACTCATAATGTCAGTAACAAGGTATAAATAAATACGACCGACGACGTTTACGAACTAAAACAATATTGGTATGAAAATAATAGTTGTAAATTAAATGTTAACGAATAAATCAAACATTTAATTATTATAGGTATATAATATGGTACGAGACGTTTGATGTGCGGACAGTAAAATATAGTAATACCTATAATACCTAAAAATCGCTATATATATAAATTAATTTAAGTTTGTGTTTTTGTAAGTAATAAGCGTAAGTACATGATAATATTTATTTTACGTGATATGAAACGTATTTTATTACGCACACACAGGATAAGGTAACCAGTCCAGTTAATTATTTGTGAATTAGGTATGCATACAGGGTAATTTTTTACTATGAACCAGCAATTTTCTCGTTGGTTTTTAAGTGAATTTGATTTCTGTTTTTTTTAAAATCATTATGGAATTGTTTAAGCTTTATTTCAAAACCATTTTTAATTTTTCACCTCTATTCTATGTACCTTAAATAAGAATATAGTTTTGTTTTTTTAAATATGAACCGCCCCTTTTCGAACATTGATTCGAATAGAGTTTATTTTTCTAGAAATTTCTGTATGCATAACACTAATATCAGATTTACCGTTTATAAGTTATAACCATTTAAAATTTAGACCAGAAGAGTAGGGAAGGGTAATAAATTACATATTTATTAAAAAATGATAAATTGTTAACTATTTCGGTCTAAGCTTTAAACTGTTAAAACTCATAAACTGTAAATCTGCCTTAAGTGTTATGCATACCAACATTTTTAAAAATGTATTATTCTCTATTCGAATCTGTGTTCGAAAAGGCGCGATTCCTACTTGAAAAACAAAAGTATGTAATTTACATTTTAATATGAATAAAGGGTAAACATTAAAAATGTTTCTAAAATAAATCTTAAAACGATTCCACAATGGTTAAAAAACAAAAATCACTCTGTATAATACTGTACTAATGTATTGACCGTATTACGTATTTTAATCACAAAATATTATAACGTACTAGTGAGCATTCATAATCATCGTAGTATCATAATATTATGTAAACATATCTATTAGGACACTAATGTCATAATATGATAATATTATATTTATTATTATTTTCTGTATTTCAATTTCGTCAATAACGCATAAGTAGATAATAGAGAGGGTCATTTTTTATTCCAGTCAAAAGTCAAAGTAAACTAAGATACTTAACATTTTAGTCATCACATAAAGTTAAATCTTTAATCACGATTGATTTTATCATATAATAAAGTAAATAAATCACGAATATAAATCTTAACTTTGAAGTAGGTACGAATAAACTAGTCTTGATGGAAGCATTTAGGTAATCATCGGTAATAGTTAAATTATTTATAATTTAAAAAATTAATCATGACCATTAGTTAATTAATTGGTCATGATTATAAAATTAACTTTTCTGTAGGTACACAAAAATAATATTACTAGAAATTTAAGAAACAATTTTTTTTTTTGACAATATTCAAAGCTCTTAACTAAAACTCTTACGCGGCGATAACAAATTTCAGACGGTATGTTTAAGCCAAAGGTTATTTTTTAATTTTCTCAGAAGTTTTCTCTACAAATAGGAAAAACTGGGAAAAAACGGAGGAAAACGAGATAATGTATGAAATATAAGTATTAGTCAAAAAATATTATGGCCTTTTTTAATCCTGTGAACAACTCTTCTACAAACAAATTTGTTTTGATTTACAATGATAACACTTTTACTTAAAGAAAATCTGACTGAAAAGGTACTTAAAGGAGGTCATTAGTTTTCCCAGGAGTTTTCCCAATAAATGAAAAAACCAGGAAAAATTGGGAAAACCAGGTAAAACTTAGGAAAAACAGGAAAATAGGTACAATATTAAACAAATATTCTTAAAGAAAATATATAATGCCTATGTAATTATTTTACCATATTATGGCATGTATTTTGTCGACAAAGCAGCATATCAACTTAACTCCGCTCAGAATCGTTTTCTCGTTAGCAGTGGTATATCGTTGCTTACAGGTATACATTCAATTTCCCCTCTACTACCTTCCTAACTATTCATTTACAACAGTGGCCCATCCACGTAAGAAGTATGTCAGTCCTTTTTTTTTGTTATTTTTGTAATTTATTTGAAAATTATATTAGTGTTGTGGAAAACCTATACAATATTGTATTATAATACTTATTAATTTATCTTTATGTTAGATAATTTATTACATTTTATTATGAGTCTTTGTAAACACAAAACAATTACAAATTTGCATAGGTGTTATATCATTATACTATGAAAGTGACCGTTGTACGTGCAATTATTATTTAATACAAATCAGGATTTTTGTTTGTTTAATTACACACTTTTTAGTTATAATTGCATGTAATGTTTAACCTTGAGTAATACGTAAAAAATATGTCATACAATTTTTTTTTTAAAAACTGTAAAATATTTGTTTGCAACATATCAATTTGTTTTAAAAATAAGTAAAGATACAACAGATTTAAAAATAAGACATTTTTACCTCGAGTGTTTTGTGAACATCCCTAAAACTATTTGATTATATAATAAAAATTAATTAAATTACCCCGATCAAACTATTATTACGTGAAAAACAAATTATTAATTACGAATAACCATCACTAAAAATATCAATCATGATATGAAAAATTTAATCATGGGTAATAGCTGAATTAATCATGATTAAAAAAGTTGACGCGAGTAATAGTTAAATCGCAATTGAATAAATGAATCGCGGGCAGCATAGTTAAATAATTTAGTCATGACTCATGAGTAAATGAAATTAATCACATAGAATAGTTAATTTAATCATTATTCATATGATCATTTGTAATTATACGAATAATCAACTTATATTCAAACGATGATTTAAATATAAGATACTAACTAAATAATGCCAAACTGTATTAGATGATATTATATAGGTACCTATTTTAGTCAATTTATAAGTAAATTATACATAAATAGGAGGGGGGGATTCTGGCTATCAATTATTAGTAATAGGAGTAAATTGAAAGTTGAAAAAAAAATTAAGCCACCTGTAGTCATTTCGAAATAGGGTATAAATATTGATTAAAATCACGCAACAATATTAGTAATTGTCCGCGGTCAATTATGGCAAACCGTTTCAAAAATGCAAACATATAGTTTATGTTTTACCCTATTTACAGTTTACTCAATGATAACATTTTAATTGGGGTTTATCCAAAATGCATGGTAGAATGGTGGACAGTTAATTCTCCGTGCATCAGTGAACTGATTTTTTGGGAAAATCGAGAACGTTTCATTTAATATGATCTAAAGGTTGTATCAATCGATTTGGTTATTGTTATAACTAATATTTTTTTTTTTTTTTGCAATTCTGTGAAATCTATCGGACCATTTGTACATTTTGCAAAAAACTGCGTCATTCAAAGTACATATTAAGAAAAACATTATTTAATTGATAGTTGGGCAGCTTCAAATTGTATCGCTCGCCTGTTTTACTTCTCAATCCGGCACCGGCGAAAATGTAAAAATAATTGTTTGACGTTGGTTGATGGGTCTAAATTCGATTGGTGGTTTAAAATAATATCGGATACCAAATTTACAACTGACCGTGCGACGTTCGTGGGGACGAAACGTGCGTTTATCAATTTTTCTTAGTGGGTGCTGGGTATAAGTACACCATTAAGTGTGGGTATACATGTTTAAAACTTAATTGTACCTATCTAAATTATTTAATGCAGTCGTTAATAGTGCATGCATATTATTGATTAGCGTATAGATATAATATAATGGATAAATACAAACTAAATGGTTTTTTTTTTTTTTATTTATTTATGCCCGATTAACCTATAACCTGTATTACACTGTTTATAATTTAATTTGCATTTCAATCAATAGCGGACTATATAGAAATACGATTTAGGTAATTAAGTGGGTAGGTTCGGCTATAACCCGTACCGTGCACATTGCACATATTAGGTAGGTATAATAGGTACCCATGTACTGATTTTATGTTAATGTTTATGATCATAATGTCTTTCTCAAGTCTCCTGTTTTGCCTCGAGCCTCTGCCTAGGTAGTGTACCCAGACAGGTACCTACTTAATTTTTATAATTCACCTTTCACCTAAACATGTAATTTAAATTGTATTTAGTCGCAATAACAATCTCTATTGTTTACAACTACGTATAATAATATAAGCACGAGAATCTAAGCATAAAAAAACACAGAGGAACGGTATGTCTGGTACCTACATCTGAAATATGTAGGAAGGTAGGTAGGTACTTGTGTCTTATTTGAAAACAATCGTGTAAGTGGTGTTACCTATGTATAATACATTAACACAACTAAATAAATAACTAATAAGTATCTATCTGTTTAAGTGGTTTAACCAAAACCTACCTACTATAATCAGTTTTAGTATTGATTAATGGCTTAAACACAATAAATTATAAGTATTAGCATTGATTAAACATACTTGCTATTTGTAATAATTCGACAATGATATTAAGTACGTCCACCTATACTTAAATCGTACTCACAAATTCGTCAAATTCGATGGGCCATTTGACGGGCAATGGAGTTTCCCGTGTTACGAAAATAGTCAGTCATAATACACAGACCACGATTAACTTAATTTTAGTTTTTGCATAGAAAGATATTATAATTTATATATACCTAACCTACTCTAAACATCTATATAATATTTGAATACTTATTATTATATGCGTACCTAGGTACCCATGTATAGATAGATAGGTAGGTATACTTATTTATAGTAAAACTTCAGCTTTTTAACATCAGAACAATTATTTTCTACGGGCGGTATACCTAGGTACTTAATTTATAAATCAAACGGTGTATTGCACAACTGCAACTAACATTTCAGTCGTTCGAATATAATATAAGTAATATAGAGTGTAAGTACCTGCAGCAGTCACCTTGAAATCTCGAAAGCGCCGACGATACTATTGTTTACTCTGTAATGTTTAACCTAGAAGTAGACACGAATAGACAAGAATAAGTTATGTACTTATCCGTGGATAGGCACCTAAAGCTATTATAGGTTATTTCGTGCCAACCGTGGATTATACAATATAATAAATATATAGGTAGAGGTAGGTATGTTAATCACGTTGCGGTTGACGTTTTGTAAATGTTAAATACCTAAGTACTTATACAAGAGAGCTTGACGCATATATAAATAAAATGGTACGTATCTACCCGACTAAACCTAATCGAAATTCGCACAAAAGAAATATGTACCTAGGTACCTAATGTAAATAAGTATTCACCTAAAAATAGTACCTATAACTACGGTACATAAAATATACAATATTTATAAACACATTTTAAAGGCGAATGGTTAATGCATTACATGTTACACGAAGGTGAAATACATACGTGTCTATTATTAAAAATTTTCGAACAATATTAGTAAAAAAAAAAAATAAATGTAAACTATTTAAAATCACTCGATTTTTTATTCTGTTGCTTGAAACGAAATAAAATAAATTCCACTAAAAATTAAACTATTAGGTAACAATTATTGTTTTAATTAATCAAATATCTATTATATCGTTGACATAGAGTCTTCTTGAGTCTTTATTATAATAATTGCAAACAAAAGATTACTCCATAGAGTCAGCTAGATACCTAATATACCTATTAAGTATGATCATAGACCTATTTGTAGCACACGTAATTTTACATCTTATCAATAAACAATATCCTATATTCCTACGAGTCCGAAAGTATATGATTATAGTACCTATATACCTATTGCCAGTGAAAAAAAAAAATGTAAAAATATAATTGAATTTGAAGATTCTAAATCAGTTACAGAACGGCTAATTCTAATTGTCGAGTAAAATCGTTTTAAGTAATCAAAACAACGTCATGATTTATTCAAATTCAGTTTCTTAAAAATACAAATATTTAGGTAGGTTCTACCTAAACAAATAAGGTATAAGTGTGTAGTGAAAAAAAAAAATGTTACCTCTGGATGATTCAACAATATTAACGTGATCGAGAACAACGAAAAACTAAATGAAAATTATTATTACTTACTTTCACTGTATTGGGGATTCATGATTGTATTGGCTACCTATCAGATGCTTAATTCCATTTTTAAATGTTTTAATTTTAGTTTTTTTGGCCGATTTGTCATTTTAATATTATTCTTACTGCGGCATGTTGACTGTACAGAGTGATATCATTTTCCGCGAGATAACACACTCTGCTACTAAATATTTTCGGGTACCTATAAAAACATTTTTTTTTTCTTTATAACAATAATACAATATTAATATTACTGTATGAACAGAATAAAATATTATCTTATCGTATAACAATTTTTAAATTATAACTGTAGTACACTATACACATTGAATCCTACTCATAAATTGTATTATTGTTCAATAAAAATACAAGTTGTAACCAACAAAAATAACATTTAAACAATATGAAACCAAATAAATAGGTATATGCACTGCATTACATTTAATATAATAAATATATACTATATATATATTAATTAAATATTATAAAGAGAAAAGATTTGTTTGTGTGTTTGTAATGGCTCAAGATTGGACTAACCGATTTAAACATTTTTTTTCACATGGTCTGAATTTTATTTTCAAAAAAATTAGACGATCCCAACGAAAATTGCCATGGTTAGGTGTTTAGGTATTTTTGGTACAAATATCAAATTGTTCCATTTATTTATTTTTGTTTGTTTATGGATGACAATTTGGTTGTCACAAACAAGAAAACCAATAATTAACATTATTATCTAGCAATAACAAAGCATTAACGGGTCAGCGAGTAATTTATATTTTTGACCTTTACACCAATATTTTACTTTTTATTGTGTAATTATTATTATTATTATTATTATACATGTTTTCAAGATAAGTTACTAAAGCTATGTTTTTAAATTTTGAACCAGTGGCATACCTAGACCTCTCTTACGAGGGGGTGGGGGCAAAACATAATTTCACACATTCTTAAAAAAGAAAATTTCTTAAAAATTTATAAAATATAACAATGCACACATATTGTTACATTTAATTATACGACCCACGGGGGGGGGGAGGAATTCCCCTACAGGTACGCCACTGTTCTGAACTAAACTTTAAAAAGTTTTAAAAAAATACCATACCCATATGTGCTGTGTTCTAGCCATACAACATAGACAATTTTCGTTAGGCAGACAACTAGATGTTGTTAGTTTTGATATTACAGTGAATTGACCTATTAAATCAAACTTAAAGATAAGAACATAATCTGTATTGTATTGCGGTTTGTTTTCTCGTAATTTTAATTTTTAAGTGAGATACGAGTGTATGAAATATTAAGTCAAAATATATGGGTAGGTATGTTATCCTCATTAGTCACTATTTATACCTAATCTGTTTTGCACATTTTATAAAGTAGTTATCCAATTTGATATTTTTTAGGCTATAAGTTTAGAGAATAGGTCTTCTTTTTTTTTAATGTTATGGAAATTCACATTACTTTATAATTATGATATAATATATTATGAAACCACAGTTATAATTAGTTTATAATATTATCATTAATCAAACGTGTCCTTCACAATATTATTTCAATTTTTTTTTTAACCTTGACTTAACTTTGTACTTTTATTAAACAATGAATATTTTTAAAATGTATTTAATTTACAAAGCAAGATTTTTTCAATATACATTTTGTTCTATTATAATTTACATCAAAATATTTTGTAATGGTTTAATGAATAATAAAAAAAAATACTCTATTCTGTTTTTGAATAAATCTAAGTTAGTTTTAAATTAATTTAATTGATTGGTTATCAATTAAATGGTGGCAAACCAAATGTTTCTGGGATGAAATGCTCCATACTCTCCAACACTACAGTCGCTTCAGTACATAAATTCTTTGGTAACAAGGGATCTGGCAACATTACTACCTGCATACCTGCTTCTTTGGCCCCCCGTACTCCATTAGGAGAATCTTCAAATACTAAACACTAAGTAATAGAAACAAACAACTAATTAGCAAATTATTAATTTTTAATCTAAATCATATATTGTATTTAAATACTTTATTTGGAGGTGGCTTGTCAGGAAATTTTGAGGCACAAGCAAGAAATATATCCGGTGCAGGTTTACCCTTTTTGACATCTGGACCGTTGACAACATGATGAAATAGTGAAAATAATGATTTGTGTTTCATAGTTTTGGTATCAAAACTTTTTTTAGCACTACTAGTTGCTATGGCAAATGGTACATTGTTTTTGTGAAGGTGTCGTATGAACCGATCTACACCTAAAATAATAATTTTTTTTTTACTGTATAATAAATATTATTTATGAATTGTACAGATAAATATTATAATACCTATTTAAAAAGTGAAAAAAACATTTTTTTTTGTTTTGTTTAATAATACCCAAACAAATTTACGTTTTTATCAAATTGTTTGAAGAATAGAACAGAAAGAAAATAATAAGAACCTGGTAATACGTCAACGTCAGACATAACTTTTTTTTCAAACTCACGAACCATATTTACGTATTCTTCAACGGTTAATGGCAATTTCAATTCACTTATAACCATCTTGGCTCCATCCAATTCTGGTGCTCCTAAAACCCTATAACGTAGGTCTAAGTTGTATGTTTTACCAAATTTAGCTGCCACTGTTGTTACTGAAAGCTTATGTATGTTCTCAGTATCTATATTTACATAACGGTGGTAAATACATAATTATTTAAAAAAATCATTTAAATAATAATAGTATACCTAAAAGTACACCATCCATATCAAAAATGACATGTGTTACTGGTTGTAATTTGTTGGTACTAAATGAGCGACAAGCATTTTTAACCAATTGAGAAGTTTCGGGTATTAATCCTGAAAACGAATAACCATTTTATTGATTCTAATTGGATTTAAGTGATGATAAATAGAACTTACTCATTTTTACAGAAGTGTAGTACTAAAGACAAAAATATAAAACTATGAAAACAAAATAATATCCAAATAAAAAATTTTATTTATCAGTTACAGTGATAAGACTAGATTTGTTAACAGCTGATTAGTATAAATTGGTAAATGGTATTATTTAATACAATGTATTATATTATATAAACAGTAAATATTTATAATATTTATTTTTTTAAATGATTAGATTCAAGCAATATACACACATTTTTCTATTTTTATGTTGACTAATTAAACACATTTTTTTTTTATATATATAAATTTAGTATTGTCAATTATTATGGAAATGGAGGTAGTCCAAAATCTTCAGGTTTAAAGTCCAACAATGAAGATAACACTTGAGTAGCATGAGTAGTTTTCTCAACAGGAATTATTTTGTCTGGTACCATAACAGTTTGCATTCCGGCATCTCTTGCACCAGTAACACCATTCGGAGCGTCTTCAAATACCAAACACTGAAACACACAATAAAATACATACATTATACCTCACAGTCATAGTAATATCTCAATAGGCCTAATACAGAAGTACATACATTTTCCGGTAAAGGTTTATCATCAAACCGTGAGGCACAAACCAGGAATATATCTGGAGCTGGTTTACCCCGTTTCACTTCTGAATCTGCACTACCTAGTACAATGTGATGGAATTTTGAAAAAACATGTTGATAATTTGCTGTTTTAACTTTGAAGGTATCTTTTCCACTGCTGGTAGCTACTGCTATTGGCACATTGTTAGTATGTAGATGATCTATTAACCTTTCAGCTCCTGTAAACAGTGTTTAGGTACCCCTACTTGAATCTGAATGGAACAGGGCGAATATGCATCCGTTGAAAATCTAATTAATTCAAACCTGGCAAAAAAGGAATGTTCTCCATTTTGACAATTTGTTTTTCGTGAAATTCGGCTAGAAGATCGACGGGATCCATGTCCATTTCCAATTCGTTTATTATGATCGTGGCCGTATTGATTGGTATTGTGCCCATTACTCTGACGCGCAAGTCGGCCGGGTAATCTTTACCGTGGTTTTTCAACACTTCGGTAATGCTCGCCAAGTACACTTTTTCCGTATCTAAAACACAAACGAAAATAGTTTAAACATTTGATTGCAACACGGAAAGCCCATGATAAACACGAAGTCAGATGCACGCGAAATGCTTGGAGTTATACATTTAGGTAGGTACTCGCCTAAAAGCAAACCGTCCATGTCGAAAATGACGTGAGACACGGGCGCGTACTTGGACATTTTCGGTCGTCGACGCACTAACACTTTTGTGGGGGAGAAAAAGAAAATCGAAAACCTACTGATTATATATAAAATAAGTTTTTACGCGGCGGACCGTACACTTTTCGGGCGAGATAGATTTCCGTTTTTATTCTTGTTACTATTCCGAATGTTTAGTAATAGTATACCGATTTATTTTATTCGACCGTTGGTTAGGCGAAAAACCGTACACCCAACGACGCGGGCACCGTCTGAACAATCTGAGCCCTGAGCGTGTCGCGAAGGAGTACTGCCATTTTTTTCGAGGCCGTTATCATAAGAACATAATCCCGATATAACAGTAATAGTAGTACGCTCGTTTAGCCGCTACGCCACGATACCGGCATAGATTACGAGTGGATTTTTAGTGGTAATAAAAAAAAAAAAAAAAATAAACGTCCCGCGGCGTCGATAGTGATAGTGCACCGGCGGTAAAAGGTACCGCGGTGTACTATATACGAACGGGGTTACCTTCACCCCTTATCACCGGTTGCGCTATCTCGCGTAAAATATAATTTTCGATATCTGCGCGCGAGAAACGGTCGCCTAATAAAATAATAATAGTTCGTCTGTAATGCCACCAATAGTGCAATTATACAATAAACGTTCCAATAGTAATAGCCGAACGGTGTCCAAAGACCGTAATATTGGATCCGCCCGTGGAATAATGGCGTGTGTTAATTTTATCCAAACGGCGCACAGGTGGGTAGAGGCGGCTATTCGGCGAAATTCGAATGTTAATTTGTGCGGTAAGTTCGAAAATCGACATTGAACTAGAAAAAAAAAAACAAAAGTAAAAAAAAGTAGGCCGCGGTTTACGGAGCAAACGGTTGGTTGATACTTGGAGATTGCGTTATAACAAAATAATCGGCTGTATAATATTATTATACAGTAGGTAATTCGCGAACAAACAAAATCGGTTGCGAAACATTACTCCGGATTATTATGTACTAGACTCGGTAAACGCCAGCAGTTAGGTGCCTATTTACAATGACAATAATAATACGACGCCGATATTACCACACGGACCGTTTTTTTAAAACTATTATTATTAAAAAAAAAAAAAAAAACTGGAAACCGATGTTATCTATGGAACAACCTAACCGTGTTACGCGATAACATCGGTTTCCACACGGATTAGTAGTATTTAAAACGGCTGTTACTTGGAAACAATTCATCGGATATAAATGTGTGACACGTTATATTTGTCAGAAAAATAAATTCTATAAAATGGCAATCTTAAAATTTTCCGAAAATAATACAAAACGTAATTTTATTTTATTTTATTAAAAAAAAAAAAAAAAAAAAAAAATTGATTTCAAATATATAGATTTATAGTCCCCATCCTTGTGAGTAATATATATGTATATAACAGAATTTGATTATCTTTATTATCTCCGGAGACATTACAATGGGCATATCGTTGTGGGACACCTCATAAACGTAATTTCGCTAAAATTCAGGGAGTGAAAAACTGATATTTACGTACCTATGTAATAGAGTAACTAAAAAATCAAAAAAAATCGTATTCACGTAGTATCACCATTAATCAATTTTGTGGTATCACAATCCCCATTTACAAGCGGTGAATATCACTTGTACGAAAAATGTTAAGAGATGTTTTTGGAAACCCAAACCGGTCACATTATATTAACAAGCAGCATACGAAATAAAATACTACCCGACGTGGTTTTGCTATTTTGCATAACAAATCAGGGTTTATTTTCGACTAGTGGGGTTGCAAAATTATAGTATTGCACCCCGCAAAAATTCAAGGGTTGTTTAAAGTTCAAGGCAAATGCACGGGACACCCTGTATATTGTAAACAAAGCAACACTATCAACCAAACTCCACTGAGATTGTTTTTTCATGAGCAATGGTTTATCGTTGGGCACATATGTACATTAAATTTCCTCTCTATTTTATTGTAATTCAGATAAAAATATTTGTAGAGACTTAAAAACTGGATAGAAAACTTATAATCGTATTTACCTTTTCTAGACGTAGTAAAATTTTTAAAACATTTGACTATTTCAACCATTTTTGAGCTATTTATAGACATTTAAATTTTGCAAGTTTATATTTTTAGAGCATTACATAATACACCAGTTATATTTCGACAAATCCTTGCGTTTGTGGGGAGTAACTGGTTTATAATATTTGTTTTATTCCCAAGTTATTGCATACTTCGCTTACTAATTGGTTTTTGAAGTGTGTATCTCTATCAGATGAAAGTTATTGGAAACAGCCCCATTGTGATATTATTTAAATAATGAAATTTATATAGTTCAACGAATGCCACTAAAATGTATCTTTTATTATTGCTTGATGTTGGCGATCCTATAGTCGAAAGTTTATCTAAGGGTCTTTTTGAGAGGGGTATTGGCTATATAACCTATGGTTGACCTATAGGTTTTCCATTTTATTTATTATTTATTTTGCAATTGTGGCATGATTTAATATACTGAGTTGTATCTTTAACTAGAATGAGCCAATAGTATTTATCCCATATTTTGTGAATGGTGCGTGATATTTTCGTATGACCTCCAATGGGTATGATTCATGATTTGACTTTAATATTTTGTTTATGAGCGATTGTGGAATTACTAATACATAATTAATATTGTTTGGAGATTTAAAGTGTTTGTGATGTAATATGCCATTTATGATAACTAGGGAACAGATTTATATGTAATAAAAATACAAAAATATGTACATAAATATGGAAGTATAATTTATAAAATATGTGCTAAAAACATCAAAATATGGGGAGGGGGAAATGTTTAATTTAGTTTTAACTTTTCTATCACTGATTCGACAATTTGCATGCTATCATTTATGGACATATTTTTTGCGCAAGGTAATGAGTAAAATACAAATAAACAATATTCGACAATTTACCGATAAATGGCTGTTTTCGTTCACTGTAACATAGCTTGAAAATGTATGAATGATGAAATGATAAAATATGTTGAAAAATATTTACAAAAATTAGTGAAGTTTGTAAAAATATTTTAATTGGCGTCATTTTAATAAGAATGATTTAAATTGTGAACATTTCTTATCAAATCTTAAATATATTTGTCTAATAAAAATATGCATTTACATATAAATCCGCTCCCTAATGATAACGAATAGTCTTGATTTTCTTTGAATAGGTATTAATCGGAATTTGATCAATTTGAATATTATAGATTGTTTTTATGATTCGGGAATAAAATTGAACGTTATTTTGTTGGTTTTTCATATCTGTAAAGTCAACAGTCAAATTTTCATTATCCGTTTAATGTAAATTTTATTGATGGGATTCCTAGAAAATAATAGTTTTAATAATTTCCCAGAAGTATGCGCATACCCAATTGGATGTAATATGTTTTCGTCATCGTATTGTTCGAAGTAAGCTCCTACACCTAATAACGAAGCGTATATATTTAGGTAAACTTCTCTTTCGTTATTGAAATTGTTGAGTACGGGTTTAGTGATTAAAATTTGTTTTAGTAAATTAAAGTTTATGTTTATCGTTCCATATTATATTTTTGGTGTCTCCCTTAGTCAATTCAGTGAGTGGGTGCGGGGATACCTTAAAGGGAGCATGAAACTTGATCTTTAGAGTCTGGTTTTAATTTGATTTTGTACAGTTTTATGTTGGATGCGTCTGAGGTACATACATTTAAGTACAGTGGAACCTTGATAAATCGTAGGAGTAACTATAGATAACTCGAACATTCTGTCTCTGTGTTTCGAATATAGACGGATAATGGATAATTTTTATTATCATTTATCTAATCGGTTTATGTGTCCTATAATTTATCGCGTTAATTATCGTATGTTTTATTCGGTTAAGTGTGTTTATTGTCGTATTTTTCATTGAGTTTATTGTCACAACATTTGGTACTTTTAATATGATAATAACAGTACACACTGCAATTAAATATACATATATATTATATACTATACAATAATTAAAAACTCTAATACGTACATACATTTTAAAAACTCTTTAAGTCGAATTTTCCCTCAAAACCCTTGATAACTTTCTAGTAAGTCCAAAAATTGCATTTCCCTCGATTTTCGACTTATCGAGGTTCCACTGAATTTTTTAAATAATTGTATGACTTGTATGTGTTGTGATTGATTTAGTACATGGAATATAGCAACTAAAGTACTTTGTTGTTTACTATGTCAGAATTAGTTGTGATAAAGTTATTATAGTTTTGCTTTCTTTTTAATTTAAATCTGTTCTATATTTTTTAATTTGTTACCATTAAGGAATCGATGCGTTTACTTAAGGATTCCATGTTAGTTTTAAACTGGGCGATTCATTTAAGTGGGTACACCTTTTATCACGGAAAGTATTAACTTTTTCCGGAATTTGTTTTTTTAGAACATTTAAGAAACAAGCTGCTCTACAGTTTTATTTGAATATTATTTTTGTCACTCTTATTTTTAGGGGTAAAACCATTGCCTACTTTTGATTTTCAAATGACAACCCATATCAAAATATCAATAAATAGATGGAGAATTAGTTAAAATATTTACAAGTGTTTAAATTTTTGATTTCTGTCAAGCCATTGATAAGATATTCCACTATTAAATTTAAGTTGGAAGAGAGTAATGGAGTAGGTATCATTTGAGTGGCGATACAGCGCGTGGCGTGTTAATAATGCACCACTACGTCGTGACGAAAGAAAAAGTTGAATGATTAGGCTGCGAAGTATTTATTTAATATTTATGGAGAAATGATGGAAGAATGTGTGTGTTATCATCCGATCGTCAATATCATATATTAATATATTATCATCGTATTAAATATTAAATATAAATTTACTTAATAACTAATAAAATATAATTGAGATAATATTATAATATAAAGAAACTTGCTAGTATTAAAGTTATGATGTATACAAAATTGTATGTATCATAACACTATTCCTTACGTGAATATAATCTATTTGATAACTCGCTCTTCCTCCTGGCACGGTCCATGTATACCGTCTTCTTTTTGGCTGTGAGAACATTGTATTCATGATACTTAGATCTTTTTCTGTACAGAATTCAATTAGCCTTAATCCTTTTAAGTTTCTCTTTCTTAGACTAAACTCTGCTGATACTCTATGTTCCCCTACTGCTCTTACTACTGCGTTTCAGTTGAATAATTATGTTTGTTTTTTCCTCTGTAATTTCATTCACCTTACTTATCTATTCATAGATTTCTTCTATTTTCTCATCATTATGGGCTGTGGTTGGTATGTGTGTTTGTAGAATAAATATAAATGTGTCAACAGGTTTTTATCTAGTTTAATGGTAATTATTCGACCACTGTATTGAACAGCGTCAACTACTTTTCTCCCTATTTTTTTGTTCATGATGAAACCAACTCCAGTTACTTTATGATCATCTCCGTTAAAAATAATTCTGTAGTCTCCTGATCAGAAACCTCCTTTTCCTGTCCACTTTACTTCACTTTATTACTATGACGTGACTAGACTTCATCCGCAGTGGAAAGGAAAATAATGTTTTTACGTTGGGTTTAATATTGCCGGGATGGAATTCGTACGGAAAAGGGATTTTAGGGCGGAATTCGTTTGCCACGTAGTATTCATTGGTTTTAAATTCTAAGTAAAGCGAGGAATATATTGGTTTTACCATGATGTTAATTTTTTTTTTATGAACACTTTTCTACTAGAAAGCATACTCTGATTATCAAGTATAGCATCTTTTCTGAAAGGGAATGTTCTTTGGGTGGTACTTTAGAGAGGTAATTTTTTTGAAATTCTCATTAATATTCGAGATTGAGGATAACCTGGTTATTTAGGTTAAAAAAGATTGAAAGATTAAAAATAAGGTTGCCATTGGTAACCGTTTTTATTTATATTTTGTTATTTTTAAGTTTTTATTGTTTTAAAATATTTTTAAACAATCATTGCTGTCACGGAAACATATTATTGTAATCATTTTGGTGCATATGAGTCGCCTCTCATCCTTATCGTAAATAAAAAGGTTAATGACACTAGTCGCCTCCGACGATTAGGTAATTCATAACTATGTATGAGTTCACCTCCCAAAAATGTTCGCTCCAGTCGCCTTTCATATTGAATAAAACATTGGTTCATAAACTAATCTGAATTTAATATAATATTTATAATTTTATTAAAAATAATAATATAATTGATCAATAAAAAAACATGTACATTAACAGTACTTATTTTCACTCAATATTACTTAATCAATTTCATCTACTTTTAAAATAACTCTGCATATTTATGTCGTGCAATTCCACCGTTCTCTATTGTAGGCTAATTTTTAACATTAGTCGTACAATCTTATCAATACAAAAAAGTCATATATTACGACTTTAAATGTATAAACTCAAAATCAAATGCTGGCTTATAGGTACTTAATAAGTAACAACCAACACAATACTACCTCATGATAAAAGATTTAAACAATTCTATATATTTATGCATACTGTTTGAACATTTTTGAATCTTTTATGAACCACTTATGCATTCATTACCTGCCTATCGGGAGGAAACTAGTCAGTGGCGTGCCCAGAAATTATCAGTGGGAGGGCATGTAGTAAATAAGAATCACGAATAATTTATAAATCCGTCTTTTTTACTCTAACTGACTGTGGAAATCGGTAATTTAAAAGCGGGATCCCAAAAGAAGCTAGTTTCTAATCAATTTGTCATGTTGTTCCTCGTAACTTGGTTATAATAAATGCATTTCGACATTGGATTACTTAGATTTTTTGGTATTTTAAGCCAATCGGGGGGATATAACCTCCCCAACCTTACCCCCCACCGCGTACGCCGGGAGGCGACTCGTATTAAAATTGTCGACCTTTTTGACCTCGGGAGGCCACTAGTATGCGCTCAATCATTTTACCACAATGTGACATACATATTGTTGACAAAGCCACACTATCGACTGATCTCCGCTCAGAATCGTTTCTTCGTTGCTTACAGATGTACATTATAATCTCCGTACCCTACCTTTCCAACTTCCCACCTGCAAAAGCGGCTGCACCCGCGTGCGGAGTATATGTCCCCGTCCATTTTTGAAATGTACGCGTGTGTTGTTTCGGTCGTGGTATATTGGTACAACGATGGACACGAATAATGGAATATCCTTGAAGGTCTACGATCGAAACTTTATTCGCCGCGAATCGATAAAAACGCGGGAATGTGGCCACACCGGAAACGCTCGCGTCGTTCGTCGGGGCCCGTCATCGCTCAAGACGGGGACGGCGCACGCGGGTAACACGCGCCGCGTGGACGGTTGCCACGGGCGACCACAACAGCAACAAAACCACGAGACTACGGCGGCGGCCGTTTTGTAGTAAAATTCCGGCTCGCCGTAGTAATTCGTAGTAGACCCGGTTTTACGGTACCGCCGCGAAATAATAAATACCGCAGCGGACGACGACGTAAAAATGACGCGGATTAATACCGATTATTATATTCTTTTTCCCTCTCGTTATGCGCGTGGGTAGTCAGGCAGGTAGGTAGGTAGTTTTTTTTTTTTATGTTCCTCTCGTACACAATGTGGCGCGCCGCGACGGCGGACGGCGGTGGGGACAAGCGGTCCGGCCGGTCCAGGGACGACGGGGAAACGGTGGCGGTGCGTCCGCCGACTTACGAATTCGGTAGTGGTTTTCGTTGAATATTATTTTAACGTCGATGCGCGGACGACCTTCGTATGATATTGTTGTTTTTTTTTTTTTTGTTTCTCTTTTCTCTCGGTATTTCTCGCGTAAAATAATAAAACATGAGCACTGTACTGTGCTTAGACTACGCGCGTGCCGTCGATTGTACCGCCGCAGAATTCGGCCTTCGACCGCCGCCGCCGCAGAAGAAATCCCGAGCCGCGCGATCGGCCCGGGGGCTGCCCCGTTCATTGTCGCGGGTTCGGATCGCCGCCGGTCCGCACGCACGTAGTCCCCGCCGCCTCCGTGGAAACTCGCACGTACGCCATCCACGTCAACTAAACCCACGAGTACGTACGAGACAAATACGCAACGGCAGCAGTGGGTTTTTGTCGTTTTGGCACTGTCCCAACGCGCGGCCTAATAACTGTCGGGTTCGCGTGGGACCGGTCGACGACGAGTCAACGTTCCCGGTCGTTATAATGCACAGATGTACGTCGTATTTCGGCATTTCGTTCCGGTGCGTCACGCACGGAAACGGCGAGTGGTTTTGGGCCGGTCGGCCGTCTGAATATCGTCGCGAAATTAACGCGCCTAACCAGTCGTACAGCCTACAGGTATTGAATTACGCGCGAAAAACGAGCCGGCCGCCGCGATTGGACGGAAACCGGATTTCTGTTCGAACGGGAAAAACGCGCGATTCACGTTTGCCACCCTGAACCACATGTTGATTACTCAGCGTGATAATACCGCCGACGTGCCTGTTGTTGTTTGCGCGTCGTCGTCCTCCGCGACCGCGCGCCGCCTCCGCCCGAGCCCGCAACAGCCGCCACCGCCCGTATTTAGTCACTCCCAGTTTTTTTTTTTTCTGTTTTCAAAACGCCAGTCCGCGTTTTGATGCTGTACCAGTGAGCGGTTTCTATGGCCAAGTCCAGGAACGGTCTGACGGCCGTTGGCCTGTCGGTGTTGGGCGCTTTTTTGGTCCTGTTGGCATTTACGACGAAAAGCTGGGTGGTCACAGACGGCAAATTGGAACACCCGCAATTCGAAAGGATAGGTGAGTAACTGGCCACCTCGGTCACGCCCAAACGACGGATACGCACGTACAATTTTCGCATTTTACTCCGCTGCGCAATACTAATAGACCAGTCGAGCATCATTACGAGACGGGCAATTTGCGAATCGTTTTATTAGAGGGCCGAAAGTTCTTGAATTTCTTTTTTTTTTCGTATTTTAACACGTCCACACAAGGTTTTGAACTTTTCAGCTTATGATTGTTACTGTATTCTCTCATAAAAACGTTAACTCTATTGGTTGAGAACCCATGACCATTTAAAATTCACCAATTATATATCAAGTACACTAAAAAATTAAATTCTCACGGCCTGCCTAGTCAAATAGATTTATTTTTTTTTAAATATTATATTACCAATGTGGTTATCCTCCAAATACTCATTCAAATTACAATTATTTCAAATTAGTCATAGAGAATTTCAATTAAAAATTAATTGGATTTTCATATTGAATACTATTTCTAGGTGTACATTTTAAGGATACTGGTATTCAGGTGCATAATCAAGGAGGAAGCACGTAACCCATCCAAGATTTTTTTAAACAATTTTGTACATAGACTTTTATCGTGTTGAAATAATTAGTTATTAATAAAAATTATTAACTTGCCCCACTGAATATTTTTCCTATCCACAGCATTGTTTGTATTGATCATTTTTTTTTTTTTTTGGATTATACATTGTGATTAATCACCACATTATAATATTCATATTTTCATGATCCATTGATAAATTGAATTATTAAATTATTAATTCTCTTAAAGCAGGCATTTATAATTACCTTAAGTTAATATATAAGTTCTTTGAAAATTATAAAATTATACTTTTTTTATTTTAGAATACCGTTTAAAAATTAGTACTTTAAACTGGTGTTATGTTTGCAGGACTATGGGTAGTTTGTTTTAAAGACTTTGAGGACACTCATCATTGGTACGACACAAAATTTAGCAGCTGTTGGTGGGTATTTGAAGAAGAATATTATATTATCTATGATATTTTATTTAAAGGTTTGTATGTGTATAAATACTTATTTATTTTGTTTTTTAAATTAAAATATAATCTTTTTAATAAATATGTTTTAAGTTCAAGGAAGAATTAATCAATTTTTTTTCATTAGGTTTTTACATTGCTACTCAGTTTTGGTTCTCGGCTTGTGTTCTTTTGACAGTATTTGGTTTATTTTATACTACACTTTATATGTACCTTAATAGATCAGTTGAACGTTATGTACAAATTTTATTTACAGCGGGAGGACTTTACATAGTTGCCGGTAAAAATTTATCTGTATTATAATGGTATACAATATGTTATAAAACATTTTATTTTTCAGCTATCTGTGGTACTATTGCTTTAGTAATATTTGGAATAAATGGAGATAGTAGAGTGTGGATGCCGCACTGGGAACACAATGACATTGGTTGGAGTTATGGAGTTGCAGTTGCAGGAACCATTGCCCTTTATATTAGTGGAGTATTGTATGTAATAGAAGGACGGGTGCACAAGATTAAACGTACAAAAATGGCTTCTCAAAGAGCAAATTATGACTATGATATTGATGATCATAAACAATCATCCCACACGGATATTTAAATGCTCTTTTTTTATAGCATTTTTGCAATAGCAATGTGTGCACAGCTAAATTATTTATTCATTTATTTTTAAAATGGATGATTAATTAGTATACTCTTAGGTATTATACAATTATAACAATTTTTTAGCATAGAAAACATTTAATAGCTGCAGGAAAAACGATAATAGTCAATATTTTTTCGAATTGCAATTTTAAAGTTGCAGAACCCAAAAAAGAAAAAAGAACAGATTTAGAAAAACAATAACATAGCTATAAAAATCTCATAAGATCACACAAATTGATTAGGTTTTATTTCCCACAGTTCTTAACTTGGTAATTTGTTTAAGAAAACAAAGACAATAATTATTTTTATGCATAGGCATTTTTAAAATTGTATTTTATAGTGATGGCTTTTTGAAAATAGTTTGATAACTAGATTTTTATAAAATAATTGACGAGCTATAAAAAAATATTTAAAGATCTTAATTTGAATAGACAATTGATACTGATTAAATATAAAAATACTATTTAATTTAAACCAAAATTAGTAAATAAAATAATTTTATATAACAGAAGTTAATTAATATAGGAATAAAAACAATTTATATTTTATAATTTAAAGATTGAAACCGATCCGTCCATATGAATATAAGTTATTTTTAGGAATTCATGTTACTGCAGTTTGTAATTGCAGTATGCAAAACTTTATATTTTTTTATACGTTTAAATTTTATACTGCACTATGTATTTTGTATAATATTTTATTAAATATGGTTAAATGGTTGTTAAAGACTACAATTTTAATTAAAAGAAATTGCACTGTGTTATTATAGGTATCAAAATTATTATTTATAATTGTAAAAATTTTAGGCAAATGTTATTTTTGATAGAATCTCACATTGTAGTACTGTATCCAGAAACAAATTCTGGGGAGGCTTTAATAATTTGAATTATTACCTAATAAATTTGTTCAATGATTGTACTAATTTATAATATTAGAACTATTGAGTATTAGAAATAAAACAATTTCATTATTTATTTGCTATAAAATAATTGATTTATTTTATATTGTATAAATTGTGAGTTTTTTTTTTTAAATTGAATAATTTAGTTTCAGTCAGTCTTGTATCATTAATATGTATTTTAGGTTTGATTTTAGTTTAATTTGGGTTGTATGGAAGATTATTTGATACTAGTGCTAAGTTTAAATATCATCTTTAATTGTATTCTCTCCGAGTGTGTTATGTTCACTTTTTTTTAACAATTTAAGAATTTTATACTTATGATATAAAATTGTGGTTATTGATCTCTTTAGAACTAAAATACATATCCCACATTTAAATGGTATATGATATTTAAATTATCTTTCCATGTCCGAATTATTAGTTTACTAAATTTAAATGTATTTTTTTTTTCGTGTGTGAAATATTGTATCAAACATAGTGTCATTTATATTTATCATAGTATACCCGAATGAATCCTAAACATTTTTTAAAAAATATTTTAAGAATTATACCATATTAATTGTAATAAAACATTTATATTTGAGAAAAACTTGTGGATTATTTATGCAATACAAATTAAAATATATTCTAACATGCACCAGACATTAATAGGTAATTATTAATTTTTTGTATAATTTGATAGTTTAATGTTAATTTGAAAAGGTATCTTATTGTTTTACAAGTTTTATAATTTAAGATGAATGAATATTGTTTCATACTCGAACCAAGCATACATATCTTACTTTTATTTAATTTGTATTTTTATTTACCTTAACACTGAAATATAATAACTTATTATTTATCAAAATTATTTTTTATTAAATTAATAAAAACACAGTTTTGCCCATACTTTGAATAGAAATTTAAAAATTGTTTTTGGAATTTATCTGTTTATCTTACAGATAGCATAGTTCCACACTTTTTACTTAATAACATTTTTTTAATTTAAGGTTTTACAACAATTTCACAACGACTATTCACTAATTACCTTCTCTTATAGGTAGTTAAATACTATCGTATACTTGTATAATTTTTAATTTCCCTGATTATTCCAGGCTTTTCAGTCAGACCTACCGACTACTTCCCATACGTGCCTGTCCATCATGTTTACAAAACCCTTATTTTGATAGTCACTCTCATAATTCAGTCTTTTCATCACTGTCCAGCATGTCCTCATGGTCTTCCCACCCTCCCTGTATTCCACATTGTTTTTTTCTTGACCATTTTGTATTGTTTATGAATTCGCTAGCTACACATAATTATGTAACCATAGATATCTGTATACTGTAAGTAGATATAGGTTAACCAGGGCTGTATGTAATCGAGAGTTTTAATAGCTTTTGCCCCGGGCAGTTGTTTGGGGGGCATCCAGATGCCGGAATACTATACGAAAAATTTAAAACTTTTTGACTCTTGGCTTAGGAAATTAAATGAAAAAAAAAAAATATAAATTTTAAAAATAAAGATGTAGTTATATTTAAATGATTTGGGCTGCAAATTAATGCATCAAGATTTCACGTGACAACATAATGCAATTGAAGCATCCAGTGAACATAAAATATTTTAGTATATTAGTATAAACGGGAAAATCGTTACAATATTAAACAAATATTATTATTTCACCATAATATTATGATGTATATATTGCTGACAAAGCACCACTATCAAGTGAACTCCGCACAGAATCGTTTTTTATCGTCGCTTACGGATACAAATTAATTTCCCTTCTATATCCTACCTTCTCAACATCTCACCAACAGTGGCCGCATACACGTGCGGAGCCCGCCCATTTTTTTTTATTTTGAAATAGTTAATGTTACAGCGCGAAGGTTACCTAACCTAACCTAACCATTCGATATCAAAAATTGTATTAAATAAAATGTTGAGAGATTAATACACGTACTTATTTTTACTCTTAAAACTACGAAGGTTTAATAAAATTATGATAATATCGCTGTATTTAAATGAATACATTGATATATTTGCGATACACGAACAGCAGTATTTCAAACTGAAAATAAACACATTTCGGGTAGACGGTCGTAACGTGCAAGTTTTCAATTTTTCCTCCAATCACTTGGATGTCGGGCGTTTTAAATTTGTTTGTCGCTAAGGGCCCCGAAAAATCGCCCCGGTGCGTCCGAATTTGGCACTCTGAGGTTAACCGCCCGATAAAACGCACGCGAACCGCACAGGTAGCCTGTTTGCGTTGCCTATTTTTTCATAGGTTTTTTTTTTTTTTTTTCTCATCCATCCTTGGCGGGCCGTCTACCCAATGGCGTCGGTGTGTCGTAACGCGCGGCTCCCATTATATTATTACCGTCCGGGCTACGAGTTCTCACGCGTCTCGTTAAGTACGAGCGGCCGGTACGCACGTAACGTGCCCGTGCGGTGCAACCCGTACCGTTTAAATGTCAATGAAAAATACGTCGGAAACCTGGTGAAACCGGGAGACCTTCGCGGACAGGGTTAATACCGCAATTATTACTGTCGCGTCGTCTTTATTTTATTATTATTATTTCCCCCTCCTCCCCGCCGCCCCGAAGGTACCTACCGTCGTAAATACAGGCGGTTTATGTTCGCGGCGTCCTCGTCGCGGGTAACCCATCTTCCTAACCTACCAACCTACCTACCTACCCGTGTATTCCGTCTCGTTCGCCGAGTAGGTTTTCTATCGAATTTTTCGCGCGGTTTCCGAACCATATACCCGTACAAAAACCACCGTTCGATTTTACACCGATTAATATTATTATTATTGTTATTGTCACCGCCGCGCCTAGTCAACAGTGCGCGGCGCCGGCCGAGTTGTATTACGGGTCGAGCCACTCATTCGGGCCTACGTCACGCCGACCACAATATTTTAACGCGACCGTGGTCGCGGTCGTCCGATTAACATAACGCCAATACGCATTGGCATACGTTACATTTACGACATGTAAGCGTGGTAAATACCAGTCTTGGCGGGTCGGAGGAGAAAACGGCGGGGGATTCTCGACCGTCTCGGATTTGCGCGCGTCGCCGTTTGAATTCGCACGGCGCGCCCCGCCACGACGACTGGCACGCGACCAGGGCGTGTCCCGGCCGCGCGCCGTATCACTCCGCGCGCCGGACCCGTTTCGCCGTTTTTCCCGATAAACAAAACGCGAAGAAAAACACGGAATAACAGCGTCGCGTTCCGCAGTGTACGTCAACTCGGCCGCGCAGTCCGTCCAAGTTCGCCGACAGTTTCGCGTCCGTTTTCCGCCGTCGGTGGTCGTTTTTTTCGTTTTCGTTTTCGCGACTGTTTTGTACGGACCGAATTCGATATTATTGCCGTCGGGATATTGTCGAATCGGTCAACGCAAGTAGTAATATTGTTGTCATTAAAACGCCGTCGGCCGTTTCGCTTCCGCGCTGCGGTTTGGTTTCGTCGAAACGTTGATTGTTTTTAATTTTTTCTCTCTTCTTTTTATCCGACGAATATTATTACCCTGTCCGGAGTATTACGTACGTAGGTATACACACACGCATATATATATATATATATAAAACCCGGAGCCTTTAACGGCGACGTTTTTTTTTGTTTTTCCTGCACGTCAGCCCGGCAGCACTCCACGTAATATACCGTACAATGTAGTGACGCCCGTTCCGACGATCCGTGTCCCGTAGAAACCATCGCGTTTGCAACGTAGTAACAAATACATTGTCGCTTTTCTAACACACGCTATTGATATTCGATCGATTTGCCCGCGCCACCCGCCCCGAATGGCGCGCGTATTATAATAATAACAACACGGCACGTCGTTGACGCAGTTTCCCATTAAAGTCGTCGTTTTTCACACCGTTGTTTTGCGATTGCTATTGCGCACTGCGATGCCGGAGCCTGCGAGTTCCGAGAAAGACTATAGGTATGATTGACACGAATAATAATAATAACAACAACAACAACAACAACAACATTAATCGCCGGCTTTATTTTTCTTCTTCTGTGTTTCTATCAGTTGCGTCGTTTAACGTGACGTTTTTAATATTTCACACTTCCTTTGCGTTAGTAGTTACATTTCAATAAATAAAACCATTGAAATGCCTACGTTTCAATTGTTGTCCGAAAGGTCAGTAGGATATCGGCTCTTCACTCTGTCATAACTTGAGGCACAGCATTGTCGTTTCGTTATTTTTTTTCAACAAGTACCTACTTATTTCTTATAAACGCTTGGACTTGCACGCATTTTCGCTTTAAAGGCATATCATTATGATAACAGTCAAAATTAATGTTTGAGCATACTCAGATGATTTTGTTTTACGTGTTTTCAATTTTCAATATTTTTGTATTGGAATAATAATATACTAGGTATTTAGTGTTTTTTATAAGCCAGGCTTAGTGGTTTAGAGAGCTTATTTTAGTTCAATTTTAACAATATTAAATGCTCAAAATTAAATATAGGCATAGATAGATAAGTATCTATTTACCGACTTCCAAATTTATTTTTATTCAAAACTTGTAATTTAACATGTAATCGGGCAAGTACAAACATAATAATCTTACTGTCAGTTAAATTAAAAATTGAATTTTAATTATGATAATAATAAAAAAAAATAAAACATTAAAAATGTAACCGTCGACCAATATTATTCCATCAATAAGTAATATTAGGTAGGTAATTCTTAACAGGGTTGGTTGGTCAGTATCTATAGATACATGTATTAATGATTAAATGGTATCTATTTGCGCTAAAATCTACTTAAACATATTCTGCTATAGTAAAAACAATTCAAAATCCAAAAAGGTTTGCGTTTAAAATATTTGAAAATACGTTATATTGTTAAATGATGTTTAATATAAAATCTTAATTTATTACAGGCAAAAATAATTATTTAATTAATTTATTATAAATTAAAATAAGTGTTATGAATTATAGCAATATATTCAACAAATGAATGTTGAATTATAAAAATTACTCATCTTATATTTTTCATGTACCTTTGATACTTTTAGTATGTATCAAGATAGGCCGACGAGGTACATGTTTGAAAATGTTGCAATGTATTTAATCAGTTGAATATCTAATTTTCTAAAACAGTGAAATTATCCTTTAAATAAAATAATTTTGGTATTTATTATCCTTCATTCGGAATAAAAATCACTACATATTATTAAATAAATAATTAGAAAATAAACATAGCACACCGGATTGAATTCCTTTATTAAGCTATACTTTTAAAATAGGTACAGTTGATGTATTTTTGATTGAATTTATTAAATATATTGTATATAAATAAGCTTTACTAGGTATTGATTTTATCATATATTAATCTAAAGTTGTAGGTTTTATTTAGAATTTAATTTTTATTTTTGTAGAATGAAAAAGCGTAGTTTGGCTGGTAACATAGCCCTTGGCTTGTTCGTTTTGGCTTTAGTGTTTGTTTTCATTGCATTTTTCTCAACAAGTTGGATAGTCAGTGATCCAAGAATTACAGGTATTCACAACATTTTTTTTTTCTTCAAATATTTCTATTTGTATGTCATTGAGTTATGTATTTTTATTTGAAAAAAATAGGCGCAAAATTAGAAAGTTTCGGACTATGGACTCACTGTTTTCGCTCATTACCAGATCCAAACGACCCAGCAGAGCGAAGATTTTTTGTTGGATGCCATTGGATATTCGATCCTTTCACCAAGGGATACGATGAAATTAAAGGATTTTTGTTGCCATGTAATATTTAGTTAATATAAATTATATTTTTGATAAGAATTTTAAAATATTGTAAATAATTATTTTGAACTTTTTTATAGTTTATATAGTGGCAACTCAGTTTTTTTACACCATTACATTCCTAGGAACATTTTTATCTGCCATTGGATCGTCAATGTTTCTTTTGTGTTGTACGCCTGAAGAAAAGCGTTTCATACAAATAACTTTTGCATTGGGAATAACATTGGTCGTATCTGGTAAATTCAATTTCTTTATTTTTATCATTAGAACATGTAATATTAATTACCAAATAATTAATGTATTTATTTATATATATATATATATTTTTTTTTTAGGTATATGTGCTGCAATAGCAGTGTTAATATTCGCTTTGTTTGCTAACCGACCAGGGTGGATGCCTGGCCATGAGAACAACTTTTTTGGTTGGGCATTTGGTGTAGCTATTGCAAGTTTCTTTGCTTTACTAGCATCTGGTGCTTTTTATTTGGTTGAAACAAATATACAAGTAAAAAAACGAAAGTATTTGAAAGAATCTCAAACTAAATTTAACATGGAAACTAAAACATAAGAAGTTCTATTTTCTATTTTGAAATTATCAAAAATAACCTAAAATTATAACCAACATTTAACTGTTAGACAATATTTTTAATATGAATATTCAGCCCATAAAAAAAGTATATAGTTATTTGAATAATTCATTAAGATGTAATTTAAATTTTAAGAAGTTAAATTTATTGACTGTTGTTGAAATCGATTCCGTCCATTTAAAACGAGTAATTTAGTTAAATAATTTGTTTTTTCTTCCTTATTTATTTATACATTTATATTATTTTAATTTCCACGTCTCATTTAATTACTTAGCATGACAAATAATATAGACATTTTTAAGAAATCTGTAAACAAGCCAACAATTTTAAGTTTTAATAATTCTAAATAACAAACTTATTACATTGTTATAATATTTAGTTTATAAGAACATCCTGTGCTACAGTTACAGGATTCATCACTGTAAGGAATGAACACCATTTAATTTTCATTTTCATTTTTTTTTTGGGGAGGCAATCTATTTTCTTGATGTATGTAGTTAATAATTAAGTTATTTTAGTTATTTCAAATTTAAATTTCATCCTATCCTACACATTTTTGTATTATTAAACTCTTAACCATTGCACAATTAATTTAATTCTAGTGTTCTTAATGATTATTTATCATTAAATGAAAACTCTTATACATTTCCAACATTTATAGAAAAATAATAATCGAGTGAAACAAAAAGCACTATATTAATTTGTTTTTTGGAGAGATAATTTTTTTACGCTATATAGTTTATACTTTAATCCCGATTCACACTAGTCATGTTGTCCATCATGGCGATAGTACATAATATAATATAATAAAATGTTTACTTTATTCGCTGATCCACTGCCAACCAATGTTATCCACTACTAACCATGGGTTATTTTCTAGTTCTATTGATAACATAGAAAACATTAGCTATTTTGTCATTACATTTCAATACTTTATATTTTTTGACTACTTTTTATACCTACCAGCAAGTACGGAAAGAAATCAGCGAGCCACTGAGAAAATCTCGGTAAGCTGCGCAAAATCATACTTGTTAATTAAATTTATATCAATTATATCCATTTTGTATAATTTGGACTAATGTAAATGCAAATACTCAGTGGGCCGGTTTATTTCTTTTCCGGTGTTTGCTGGTTCCGTGTTCATACAACATTAAGCATACTGGCATGGAGTAGCCTGTTAAAATATTCTTTCGAATGTTTGTTGGTCGTGATGGTGCGGTGTCAGCCATATGGATGTGTGACACCAATAATATAATACATCTTGTTGTGTTGATATGAGCCATGTCAATTCCGTCCTGTACTGGTCTAGTGTGAAACGAGCTTTATTAAACCTAACCTTTACTATAATATAGCCAAAATTGCAAATTGTTGACTCATGAAATTCAAACTAATTGTTCAACATCGAACAGATTATTACTATATTATCAATGATTATATTGTTATATTATTTTATATTTAAGAACAGTATTAAACAAAGTTGCTGTATGTCATGAAATATATTATTTTTATATCATTTTGTATAATAGATAATATTAAGTACAACAAATATTTCTAATAAAGACAATGATAATATACTATGATTTTTTATTTTTTTTTTAATATTGTGTATTATTTGAAATTGATATGATTAACTGAAAAAAAAAAAATTGTTTTTAACACGGAGAGATTGTGGGACATTGTATATAATACACACATGCATATCATAATAATCAGTTTGTACAAAATTATGCAGTTGGAAATTAATATGCGATTAGAAATATTTAGATTTTTAATATACCAGCTTGATTGTTTGAAAAATTAAAAATCCCATGGATCGACCATGGACTATTTTATACTTGGTTAAGTTTCGTGTATTTTTTTTAAATTACAGATGGTGAAACAATACTTCATAACAATTGTCGTCCTCGAGTGGTATTGTATTTTTTCTCGAGGTTTGTGAGCGTTTTGAATACGATTTTAATTATATGTAAAAGAAATTGGTAATTTTTTACCTACTAATATTGTCCATCGTTTGGTTTGATTCGCATAGATCTAAATATAGTTGGTACAACAAGTATTAGTGATGAAAATCCAAAAGCAATTTAAGCCACTTAAGAAATCATATAAGTGTTAAATATTTTTACAGTATAAATCCGTGTACCTAAGTAAAATATTTTTAATGAAAATGTAAAATAAAACAACATTAAAAAAATTAAACTGCTTTTGGATTTCGGATTTGTTGAAATCCGAAGCATTTTATAGTTAATGTTAAGAGTTTTTATTTTCTAATTTTTATCTAAACATTGAATTAAGATACACGGCTTTATATTGTAATATTATTTAATATTTGTAAGATTTTCGAAAAGGCTTAAATGGCATTTTTTTTTTTTGAAAAATCCGGATTTTTGGATTCTCATCACTAACGCGTATACATTTTCTTGATCAAAACGAAGTTGAAAACCGGCGAAAACGTAAGAATATAAATATAATTAAAAACGCGAACTGAAAAATCAAACAGTTTTTAAAACGACAGATCCCAAAAACCATTCGCTTGCCGCAGAGAAGATTTCATTCGGGTCAATTTTAAAAATTTTTTAGCTATAAATTCACGAATTTTTGAATTAAAAATAAATTCGTAAAGATTTTCGTAATGCTTACGATATGTTTATATCGTTTAAATTTGTTTAACCGCACTCAATTTTTTAGCTATTGACCGTAGCGAGGAACTCGCTGGTTTTACTATGATGTGTCTTTGTTTTTATTTTTGTAGTGTGCGAACAACTTTTTTACTAGAAATCTCACTCCGATGTACCCACAGAGCGTAGCAACTTTTCTGAAAGGTAATTTTGTTTAACTGATGGATTAGGGAGGTCATTTGTGATTTTCTAAGTTTTCAAAATAATTGGGAAAAACCCGAAAGGTATTATTAGGCGTCGTTATCGATTTCATTTATAAAATTAACGTTTTCTACCAGAAATATTGATCCAATCGAAAAACGATACAATTTAATTTAAACGCGCCATTTTTAAACAATAACAAAATCCAAGGAAACAGAAAAAAAAAATCAAAACTTTCAAAACGGATCCGGGTTCCTTCGTTATCCAAATCGTATTGTAAATTTTCCGCGTTCCTTCTCTGATAAACTCTAATGTGAACCGTTCATTTATCTTTGTCAGCGATTATTATAGTAAATCTTTGTCAAACGCTAGACCTGTGACCGGTTTTTTCCGTTGACAAATGTTTGCAACGCATTTTCGAATTCCGCCGCGCATATTCGACGGACGACCGCGTGGCGATCCGGGCAATATGTTTGCGGCGGGCTAGTCCTAATATCAAACGGGGGAAAAGAACGATTTTATTTTTCATCATGACCCTTATCTAATATGATGTTCAGTTCGTATCCAGTTACAATAGTATGCGAATATTTTGTATGTCTAATCGACAGGAGTCAAAAAAAAAAAAAATAAAAAAAAATAATAATAATTCGCGTAACGAAAAAAACGCAACTTTTTTTTTCAAATTGAAACAATTGAGAACAAATTCTCGTTGTGAAGGGAATGCGTGCAGGAAATTAATTTATTTCGCGAGATGAAAACCGTATATAAGTGAATTTGATTTGTTTTTTTTTTTTTTTTTTATAATCATTGTGGAACCATTTAAGATTTATTTTCAACACAGTTTTCAATTTTTTCACCTTTGTCCTTTATACCTTTATAAACGAGTATCCATTTTGAAATATTAAACATATTACGAATATGTTTAGCTGAATTACAGCAAAAACAGAATTGAAAATAATTGCAATTTTATTTCTTACATTTTCCCCTTTTTCCTATGTTGTTTCCCAACTATTATGAAAGCCGTTTGGAAAATCGAAAATACATCCAATAAGTAGTACCGCCCAGATAAAATTTTCTCTCAGAAAAGATACTACGCTTGAAAATAGGATATCTGATAGAAAAGCTGTTCAGTAAAAAAAAAATATAAATATCATTGTCAAACTATTACATACCTCGCTCTGCTCAGAATCTTATAGAATAAATGTATTAAATTAATAATTTACAATTGTGATTATTGATCATAGGTGACACCCAGTGGTGTTTTGGAGGGTACACGCGGGTATGCGACGTATACCCGTGGTGAACCATTTTGGTGGTTTAGCGTATACTTGATAAAAGGAACACCAATACGCACGTATACGCTCGCATACCTACTTCATAAATGGAAAAAAAAAAACATTATCAACATAAAGAGTAAATCTATAGGGCGTACGTTTATTTTTAGAAAATTTGTTATTGGTAAGCTAATATTACTTAATAATAACCTTGACAATTGGTTATTATTTATAGCTATCGATTATCGTCTAGCTATATTCATTAGGTATCTAATTATAATATCTACAAGCGGCCTTTGGACGTTTCTATACAAGAATATTCTAGATAGCGTGGCAAATGCTATTCCGAGTGCTGACTTCCTACTCGACGCCGTTATTATTTATTTTACATTTTGTTTCTATATAATTTTTTTTTTATTTTCGTGGCTTGTGAAGTTAAGTGTTAAGTGTTGACAATATGGATTCTACACATACACGCACGCACGCACACACACACACACACACACACACACACGAAAAAAAAAAAACACTTTATTTTCTTATTTTTCTACAAATACAAAAAAAAAATCTATTTAAAAAATGTTGAGCTAAGTAACTATAAAAACTAATAAGGTAATACATTTTAAATTGTCTTTATTTTATTAATTCGTTTATTTGTGCGCTATTTAGGTGGCGTCTAAAGAAGTAGAAGCTCAATTATTGTCATCTATCACATAAATAAGGGTATAAGGTATATTGTTTTATTTTTCTATTATTTGTTATTATTTTGTTTATAATATAACAACATAATGACATATTCATAAAATTGTTACTATATTGTAACTAAATTGTTACTATATTGTTATTATATTTGTTTACTTCATATAAATGTTTTTCACATTTATATAAAAATTATATTCTTTTTCGATTGTTATATTTTCTATTTTCTTTTTTTTAAAAACACGTAGGTATACATTTGTATAGAAAAATGCANTTTAAATTTTGTTTTTTACAATATAGGTACCTATTGCTCTATAACAAAATGTAAAAACTCCTAGTACTATACAATGCTTAAGTAGTTCATATAAGTACATATAGTTGCATATTTGAGACTTAATAAAACTAAAATTACATTTTTAGTTATTTTTCTCATACTTAATGAGCAAAATGTAATTTAAAAATAATTATTTGTTTTAATTTTAAAAATGCATGCAGTAAAGGATTAAAACCGTTTGGTAGAATTTAAGTTAATAAGTTAATAGAAAACACTTCACGTTTCAATTATTATTTATTTGAGTCAAAGTAGTACATACTGTACTAATCTAATTTGTATATTATACTACATATACAGATTAGAAACAATAATTTTAATATTTTATTTTTCGTGATTATTAATTGTGGTAATTTATTAAAAGTTTCAACCATCGTCAAATAATTTGAATTAATTTATTTTTAATAAATATATTAATTAATAATTATATCGGTGCCAAATATCTCTTATTCAAGATCCGGAAATTCTGAATGGTACCTGATCTAATTATATACTTAGATGGTTTTATTTGATGTAGGTAAATGAAAATCTGTTTTCCGAGCCATCTTCTCCATCTATTCAATTAGACAATGTTTAGTCTTCTGAAGCTGACTGTCAGGATTTACTGTGGCCATCTGAATGGACATCAGTGCAATGGACATTAAAAAAAAAAAACATTAAAGGACTTTACTGTGCTGATGGAAAAACTAGATGTGATATATGCAGAAAAGTGAGTAAATTAAAAACCCCTTAAAAGATTGAAATATCTCAAGAATGGGCAACATGTGAAATTGATGGAAGAACAAATACTAACAAGAAAACTCGCCTCACTGTTTTAAGAAATAAACTTGAAAAACATTTTGAATCCAGCGCACACAAATCTGCTGTTCAAATATTAGACAATAAAGAGAAAAATATGTTGTCCAAGCTTATGGAAGAAAAGGATTACCAGATAAACAAAGCTACACATTTTATTTTCCGCACTGCTTATTATATAGCAAAATATAACCGTTCATTTGATGATCATTTAAAACTAGTGCAATTACAAGAACTAAATGGTATAAAATTAGGGTTTATCCTCCATTCTAGACACTCATCTACCAATATTCTTCAACATATTTCTAAAGAAATGAAACACAAAATTATTAAAAATATTATTGACACAACTGCAAAATGTTTCATACTAATTGACGAATCAACTACTGTTACATACACTCAGTGATTTATGAAGCATGGTTGTTAAATTAAAAGTATCAATATCGAATAATGAACCTCTGTTTATTTTTTTTGACTTGGTTGAATTAAAAATCAAACCGCAGAAAATATTGTAAGTCAATTAATTAACTCCTTACATACATCAGGGCTTGATGAAAACTATTTACAACATTGGGTGTCCTTTGTAAGCCACGGAGCAAGCATTTTTTGGGTAAAAAAAATGGTGTTGCTAAAAAACTCTAGGATTAGTACCCACATATCTTTAGTTGGCACTGTATGAATCATCGTCGTGAATTAACAGTTAATGATTCACTCAAAGATGTAAGCGCTACTAATCACTTCAAATGTTTTATAGACTCACTTTATGTTCTATACAATGCATCTTCTAAAAATCGAATGGAATTAAGAGAAATTTGTCATATTTAGATGTTTTGTTTTTAAAAAATTGGTCGGGTTCTTAACGTTTGTTGGGATGCTAGTAGTTGAAGAGCAGTAAATGTTGTATGGAAAATATTTCCTGCACTTTATAAGCATTTGTATACTGCATCCAATGATTCCAATAGAGATTCTAAAACTAAGAATAAACACATAGGAATCCTTAAAAAATTAGCTAGCCCTTAATTCGTTAATGATTTAGCTATTATGTGTGATGTCCTTCTGGAATCATCCAACTTATCAATTGAACTTCAAAGTCACACTATTACATTGATGCAAGCTGAACAATCTATAAAGAGATGTATAAGGGTTATAACTTCTTTTAAAACTAATAATGGTGATATGCACTAAGCTCTAGTTGCAATAAAAGATATGAAGTTCAAAAATATTGATTTAACTTCAAACAAAAACATGATAAGCATAAATAAAAATCAGTTTTTGACAAGCATTGAAAATAACTTAAAATCAAGACTTCTTAACAATGACTGTAAAAATAAAATTATTTTGAAAAATATTTTATTGTTGGAAAAATGAACTTGGCCCGAGGACCCAGATATTCGATATGAAGATGATATTAAATACTTATGTAAAAGATTTTCACTTGACCAAGATGAATCTATTAGTGGTATGAGAAAAATTATTTACGATCAAACTATTGATCCTAAAAACGTGATGTTTACATTCTACATCTTTCTTAAAACGTTTCCATGTTCAACCGCAAAATGTGAAAGAGGATTCAGTGTCATGAATAACATTTTTACGGATCTTCGTTATGGTTAAAGATAAATAATATTTCTAATTTAATGTTTATTAACATATATGGACCTCCTTTAAGTGATTGGAGTCCTGAAGATTACGTGAAAAGTTGGCTCTTCAATCATAGGTGTGCAGAAGACACTAGGACCAAAATAGCAAGAAATAACATAGACAAAAGTGAGAGCAAAGTTGTCAAAGAGAGTCTATGGCAAATTNGTTAAGTACAATATAAGCATCATATTTTATTTGTTAATTTGTTACCCATTTAAAAAAAGAAAGTTATATTAATTATTTTTATTAAAAGACTATTCAATTTCGTTAAACCTTTTCCACTCACTAATACAACATTCTTATTTATATAAACCTAATACACTTTAATATAAAACTTGTTTAAAAAAAAAATGATATTTTTTTTATTATGTATGGGTTCTGTTAAAGTTAATTGTATACATTTTATATTTTTTGTAATTACCTATTTGACTATTACATGATTATGCTTTTATTTTACAATTATATTTATATTTTTTATAAATGTATAAAATGAATAAACATTTTTTTTTGATATAAAAGTTTATATTTGTGAAAAGACTTGAATACTCGCGAGCGAATCGAGCTTCGTTTTGAGTGGTAAAATCTGATAAGTTTTGATCCTAATAAATACACAATAGTCATTGACATAAATTCTTAAATGCGCGTATACCCTCTAGTTTTATTGCCAAAACACCACTGGTGACACCGTACACTAAAGCTTTTAGTACATCAACATCAGATTCATTGGCAACATGATAGTGTTCTGTTATCACAGAAGGGTCAGTTTTTAGAATACTAGTCCTTAGGATTTCAGGACAATTTGTTATATTTTTTTTTCAGAACATTTTCGGGTAAATAATTGTTTCCTTTATACTTGTACCCTTCAAAGCCTATCCCTTCTCACCACCTTTATTGAATTTCAAAATTTCCAGTTAAATATTTATTTGAATGTCAATAGGTTCACTAAAATAAAAACACAGAATATAATTATTAAATTTTGACGACTTAATGAATTTAAAGATATAAATTTAAACTTTCCCGATTTGAGAGTTTTTTTTAAAAACTTTAATCCTGATTTACAGTTGAAATGTAAAGAACCACCAACAGATAACGCTGAAACTGGAAACCCTATCACAACCTTATAAAAGACCGTGATTTATACTGAATAATTATTATAGACTATTGTCTAGTACAGTGTCGCCAACGATTAATAATCATTGATCATAATTGTAAAATTGTTTTTTTTTTTTGTTCTTCGGTCTTATTTTACGTTATTTTTTTTTTTCTAAACTGCCAGCCCAGTCTTGTTTATCGCTGAAGTACAGATTATGATGCAAATTGTATTTTTTTTTTTCTGAACGTCCTAAAACAATTTGTCCCGAGCACAAAATTTGTTTCATACACCAAAGAATTAAAATTTGATACTTTTTTTTTTTGCATCTTTACGACTTTTTTATTTTTAAATCATTTTTGGGCGTTTTAAGTGTATTTTCAGGTTATTATGGCTTGTAAACAAGACAAAGAGCGCAGTTTTTCGCAGAGATCCAGTAGTTATAGATCCGCTTGTGGCCGCCGGGGGCGTTTTATTGAAAAGTCACTAAAAAAAGCCACGTAATATCAAAAATTGCAAAGGTTACCTGCGATAGTCAATTTAGGTCCGAACAGACAGTATGCATGTTCAATCGCCCCGCAAAAACAATCAGAACCTGCCTAGTCGAAACGACGGTGTTTTGTGCATGTCGTGGGGCCTCCCGTACACAAATACGTCTTGGGGGGAGGGGGCTACGCCGGTCAGTATGGTCGGTCGCTAATCCGCCCCGCACCCCCGGCATTTACCGTCTCCGCTTTGCGAAAGTGCGACGTGGCGGATTTCGCGTTCGGCGGGACAAATTTTCCGCGTTGGTTTGAATATCGATGAAAACTGACCGATTGCCGAGCTCGAAGGCAAGGCGCGATCGTTTAGCGATACATTTCGCATACTCGTACGCAACTGTCGCTCGGAAAATGAAAATCTCGGTAAAACGTCAACGCCGGACGCGAATTCGCGGCGTTCGTAAGGCGCACACGTTGGCGTCGGGGCGTCCTCTTGGTCCGCAATCGCATTACTATTTAATCGGGCGCAAACGTACGAATGTACGAATCGTGGGCGATTTATACGTCCAACGCGTGGTTTAAGCATTAACAGATAAAAAAAAAAAAAAACGATCGAACCGGGTAAGTACGCACCTGTTTTCCGCAGCGTCGTTTTGTTTGTGCGGTTTAAAACCGCTGCGCAGTTGGACGTCCGCAGCAGTGCACGGACGGGAACAAACACAATACCGTCGTCTCGTCCATAGCGTAGAACAGCGTAGCGATTCGGTCGCGACCAATCTTCGATGTTCACAAACGGCGCTGTTAAAGTTTCCACCCGTTCGTTTTTCGGCTCCGTCGCGAAAACGTACGATTTTTGTAGTCGATCGCGCGGTAAATTCGGGAGAGAGAGAGAGAAAACCATAAACAAATCGTAAAACGACAACGCGAACGGAACAATCGGGCCGCGGTTAACATTATCGGCGCGGCGTAGACTGGATCACACTGTTGTTAGGCGGTACGGTCCCGACCAGTCGGCGGGTTCCGTAAAAACAGAGATAATTATTAATTCACGAGAAACGGGATTTCGGCGGAAACGAGAATATCATTACCGTGATTCTCGGTCTTTTAGGTAAACACAATAAGAGAGCACTATCGCCCAAAATGCAGTGAAACCGGTTTTGTAGGAAAACTCGAGGCTAAGTGCATTATAATAAAAGTTTAAGTTGAGACGCGTTGACATTTAAAAACGCGCGCGGCGATGTTACAATAACGAGTTATGGGCATCGCGTTTCATCGTATTTCGTTGGTTTCCAATTTAATTTTTTTTTTTCTATTTACTACGGATAGGTTGATTTTGAAATCGAGTCGGCGGGTACCCAATAACTCGCGCGGCACTCGATTTGCGGGGAGGGGGGGAGGGGGAGCGGGGCGGGCGTGTATTTCTAACCCAACCCTCCCGTATAGCGGTAAAACAGTGTTATCGACAGAGCATTTGGCAATCGACTATCGATTAAATGAAATCCGTTGAAATATGTACACAGAGTGTTCCGCACGCCGATAACTCTGTTGACGTACGTTTATTTTCTTTTTCAATCGGGTTTCGTGTCGGGGACACACACACACAGAAATGTAGAGAAAAAATGCATTTTTTTTTTTTCATCTCTTAATCGTTGAAAAATATTCACTTAAAACAAATTTTCAAAAATGCCAATTCGTAAAATAGGTATATTGTTCTAAACATTTGTATGTATTCATATTTAGTTTCCTGTATAACTTAATGTATTTGTATTTAGTTCTAAGCATTTATAGCATAAGTCATACATAGAATAGAAAAAATTAAATACATAAATTACAAATATTTGAATTCTTCAACTATCCATAAGCATGTTTAAAAAGACGAATATAATTGGCAAGTGGGTGGGCCACTCTAGATGATAAGTTGGGAAGGCAGTAGAGGGGAAAATTTAAAATTTTTTATTTTTAGTCTCCCTCCCCCTGAAAAAAAATGTTTATTTATTAACCGTAGCATAGAGGAATACTAATTGTTTAAAATAAATAAATATCAAAAATATTGAACAAAACAAAAGTTATTGCATTTGTCGAATCCTCGTGTGACACTCTGTATATGTCATATTATAATAAAATAATTACATATGCATTTTATAATTTCTTTAATAATATTTGTTTAACATTGTACCTATTTTCCGGTTTGTTCCCATTATTATATATTTATGTATGTTTTTTCACTATTATTACGAAAACAGCTTGGAAAATTAAAAAAAGACCTCCCTAAAGAATCTCCGCAGTTAGATTTCCTTTAAAAAAAAGTGCTATCATTGTAAATCTGAGTAAAATTGCAGGTAGAAAAGTTATTCACTGATTAAGATACACACCGTTTTACGGTGTTACATAATTAGAATGCGCTCATTTTCCACCCTTATGTTTGGGTGTAACCGTTACTAATTCTAGATTTTCAAATGACAACCTGTAATAAAAATTCTAAAAATTGATGAATTTTATGTTAAAATGTTTAATTTTCAACCCATTGACAAGATGTAGCATTTTTAAATTTGGTATATTTAGAGATATTAGTAAGGTGAGTAGTAGACTATCATTTTATTTTAGACAATGCTCCACTGCACCTTCTCTAGCGGTATCTCTGGAAAGTTCAAATTTAAAATGTTTGTATTGTTCTCACCAATGGGTTGATAGCAATAACAAATTACAAAACACCAAACTGTATTTCAACTTAAACTTCATACAAATTTTGTGCTGAAATTTTTAAATAATACCATTTTAATTATATATTATTTTTTATTCAAATTTTTTAGTTTATAAAACAACAAAAACACATTGTATACAATGATAAAAAAGTAAACACTCCACATTTCACCTCAGGTTAGTTAAGAATGTCGTTCTCAGGTATGTTCAAACTCTTTGATTTACTAGTGATGACCATTTTAAGGAACACGTCGGTCAAAAACATATTTCTGAGACGTTGTTCACAACCTTTTGCAATATTCCTTATACGTCGGCCTCTTTTGCCCATTATTAGCTTTTCAATCCTTGGTGTATCACAACCGACCAACACGACAATGTGTATATTGCCTATTTATAATTTTTTCCAATATTATGAAATATTTTATACTGTATATAAGGTATCTATAAAACAATTAAGTTACCTTCACGGGAGACTTCATAATATTCTATTTCTATTTGTAAATTATATGGAACTTCATTGGGCAAATCGTCAAATAATGCTGATTGTATTATATTTTGTACCAATTCAAAATCCTTTTTATCAGATATCACATCTTTTGGAAAAATCCACGGAGATGGTTTGCTTTTTTGTAACAAATATTCCTAGACAAAAATAATAGTAATGAGTAATGACATACTTGCATTATAATTTATAAGTAATACATTTTCTGACCAAACTTTATAATGATAAATTATTATTAGAGGTATAATTTTTTATGTTCAAAATAGGTATCCCATACACCATTTTTGTATTATATTAAACCACATAATTTTAAAAGATGTTAATGCTTAAGGTAAAAATAATACAACAGGTACAATTAAAATAGAAATTGACTTTGCGTTGTTTATTAAAATATATCAAGTACTTAAAGCAAACAGATTATAAATTTATTATTTTATGAAACCGTGTAAACAAAAACAAAATACACATTGTGCATGCTAGGCAAATAACAGTGCTAGTATTTTCACGATAACACAGTTTTTTTGTATAATTGGCTTTGATATGAACAAACATATAATAACAGAAAATATCTAATCTACTATAAAAAAAATTAAGACTAAAAATGACGTAGTACAAACTATATGTTTAATTATTATATAAATTGCATAAATGAACAATCAACGTAAATCGAGGAAATCAAAATATTTCGTTAAGAGTGCATAGTGATTCAGGAGTTATGAATGTGATTTTTATGAACTTGGTACAGTGTTGGGAGAGTGTGTGTACCATATTATAATTGTCACTCGTAGACGACACAGACATTTATGGCTTTATGTGCGTATTTGTTAGCAATTTATATTGATATAAAATTATTAATTCGATTGTTAATCCATATAAATATATAAAAAAATAATAGTATATAAATATATATATATATGTATATATTATATAAAGATATATTAGGTACATAAAAATAAATCGATAATTTATTGGTAACGCCCCCGAATATCATCCAAATTTCCAACTTTTCTCGCAGATTTTCCATACATTTTTTTTCATACAGATCTTTAGTTTTAACATCATCAATTTGCCATTATTACGGAAGACAGAACTGGACGTCAATTATTAAATCATTTTCATTGATTTACAGGTTATTTTGATGATATCAACAAATTTAAAAAAAAAATAAATATAGTTTTTATACTAAAATACCATCCAAATTTAAGACTTTTTTTTATTTCATCCATATTACCAAGATAACCCATAAATTAGCAAAAATATTTTGATTGTTGTACTAAAAATTCCAATAACCTTGTGTCAGTCACTCCTGAAAAACCACCTATCGAGTCCAATTTTTAATCTTAACCATCCAGGGACTTATTCAAACACACACAAAAAATTTCATCAAAATCAGTTCATCCGTTTAGGAGGTTAGTGACACATACACAGACGGAAGAAATATATAATGTATAAAAATAAATATTTACATATTTAAACTTTTATAATCAGTGTTGTAAAATAATAATAAAATGTTTAATGTATGATTATAATAAATACACAAAGTTTAAAACAATTTCATTTGTTACATTATTTTCAATCATTAAATCCGGTAAATCCGGGATGAAATCGTTGTGCCACAATTTGAAATTTTTTTTGAATACTTCGTCTTTTATAGTTTATTCCAGTTATTATGAAAAATACTTAAGATATCAAAAAATGACTTTCTCAGTCAGAGGCTATGTGTTAAAAAGAAATAAATCAATCTCTTTTCACTTTTGAATTTGAGCAATATTTCTGGTAGAAAACATCATGTAAACATAATAAAAAAAATGAAAACGGTAACACCATGAAGAGTTGTAATTATTTGCCGTTTTACCTTTACTTTTCTTTTGGGGTTTTCCTAATTATGTCAAAAACTCATTGAAAATCAAAAAAATGACCTCACCAACTAGAGAAAATTACCTTTCACAGAAAAAAGAAAATACACAGTAAAATCAATAGATCCTTCACTACGCTCCAAATCTAAAAGTAATAAATAGTATACACAGTCAAAATAAGAAAACAAATATGAATTTGTGTCTCCAGAATTAATATGGCGATACGATAAAATAAGTAAATAAGTAACTAGAAATTTATAAAAAAACAATATAAATTTGAAAAAAATAGTGGAAAATCAAAAGAAAAATAAACCTAATCACAGATGTATACTATAATTTTGTAAAAACAGTAATTGTAATTAGTAATTCAAGTTTTTTTAAAAAACTGACCTTAATATTTGATGAACCATGATTAAGAGCTGCAGATACCATGAATACATCTTGAAATTTATCCCAACCACAAGAGTGTTTTACTTTTTTTTCCAACATTCTTTCTTGATTTTTTAAATACTTGTGATCTATATTCTCTTCAGATGTCATAATGTATTGATCAGGAATATTGAAAGTCCCATTTTTATCACATGTTAATAATCGAGCTAAATCTAAGAGTTGTTTTTTTGATTTCAAAAGATCTATCTGAAATATAAAAATTTTAGTAAATAATTCTGTAAATTTATTAAAAAGTATTAATTTTTAAAATCAACTGTGGTATAGTAAACTAGCTGTTTAAAAATAAATAAAAAAAAAAGTTACACACACCTGTCACTAATCTTTGTCGCTGTCATATGTCATATTGTTTTTACAATTTGAATTGTAACTGTAATGAGTACTTATATTGTTATATTCACGTTTAATATAATATTCAAATAAGAAGTATGTGTATTGAGATTGCAATGCCATTTTCATCCCCCCTCCCTTGTGTTTACAATTTAAAGCTTTTTTTAAAAGAATTGATAAAGAACAATTAAATATCTAAATAAATAACTAGATAGGTAGCCAAATAATTATAATTTGTTACTTATTTATTTATGCATATGACATATATTCAACATTTTCAGGATAACACGAGACGATAAAGATAAAATTGATAAAATTAATAAAATTTGTTACTGAAGGACATAGTTATAATATTATGTATTAACGCAGTTCAATTTTATAGTTAAGATTAATACCTACTTTATTTAATACTAAAAATGAATCTTTGGTCGAATAAAGGTGTAAAAGTCTCAGCACTTTAGGATCCAAATAGTTTCTTGTATATCGATTGGAAACGTCGTGTACAACACCAATAACATCAGCTTCGTCAATAGCGTTCGTTGAGTCATTGGCAAAAGTTTTTTCTAGATTATACCTAAAACAATATTGTTATGTAAATGATCTATTGTAATAGATTATTTATAAATTATTTGTGGTTATTACTTTTTGATTTCTGTAGAATCTACTAAACCAGGAGTGTCCAAAAACACTAATTGTGTATCACCTATACTTTCAACTGCACGAGCACTAGACCTTGTAGTGTGAACTTTACATGAAAACGGACATATCTGCAAAACACGTTTGACTTAATAAATTCAATGTAAAACATAACAAGCTTCGCATTAATGTTTATGTATTTAATCGTTTGTATAGTGGTACATACATTTCTTTGGACAATAGAATTGATGAGAGAACTCTTTCCCGCATTGGGTACACCTATAATGGCAATTTTTAACAACCGTTGTTGCTTTTGTTCAGAGTCATCTCTCTCTTGATGATCGTCGTCGTTATTGTAGCAATCTTCTACGTTCGAGCTATATTTACTTTTCAATAACATGTGCATACATTTCGGTGTGACGATGGGTTTTGAAATGATAGAATTGAAAACGGTACTCAAATACTTGGCCATGAAGTAGGAAAAGTTTTTTGTCATACCTATAGAAATAAAGTTTTCAGAATTTCACCGATCTGAGTTTTTCAGTTCAGTAAGCATAATATTTTATAGCACAAAATAATATGGGATTACCATTGTTTAGACACAGACAGTTTGTTACGCACAAAAATACATACCATTTAAATAACTATTGTTGGCGAAATAGTAAATTGGATGCTGTAATACAAGTCTAGTGTTTACCGGTTCAATTTATACGACTGATAAAAATTTATTCTAATCATAGTAAGTTTTACGCATAAACGATAACGTTCATAATACCTGTGATAATGACAAAAGAGAATAACGATTTGGATTGGCCAAGGTGTATTGATAATGTGTCGTCACTGGTCTGCGCGATGTAGAGAAGATAAGGTGACGCCGCTCTCGTATCTGTCAACGCCACGGCAAAATGGCTGTTCACCAGAGTGCGCTAGCATTCGCCCAAAGGCCGGTTTTTATATACGTTTTATAGTGATTCAATTATATTTCACGCTATAAGCACACCCCGAGTTCGAGTCAAACGTTACGTTGTTACAATCACACTACTATATATTGCGTTTGTTCAAATTTTTATGTGTGCTGTGTACGAAAAAGAAATAATCAATTCCTTTCCACTGTTAATAAACGATGATGATAATGATTATTTAAGTTTTAATTTTAGAAATGCTCATCTTTAAATTAGAATCGAAAAAAGGCCGAATTGAATAAAAATAATTACACATAGAAATCAAACATGAACGATTTGCCCGCTAAAAGTCGAAGTTGCCTGTTCGAGATTCTCGAAAGAAGTCGGCGGAACGTACTTGTCGGGTACAGCGTTCTCGAATGAGTGATGATGGCGTCTTAAGATTTCTCGAGCGGTCAAGACGCTCAGAGTTTCTGTGGAAAAAACCCGTTATGTTTTATTTTAATTATTCTGTATGCGAATAATTACGAGAGTGTCTGTTGCAGGGGTGCGATTTTACGGACGTCGTGTACAGTTATATTTTTATTCGATTCACGTTGAAATATTTCTGACGAGTGTAATAAATGGGACGCGTCGAACAAAATGAAAAATGAAAAAGGAAAATCAATTCGTGTGAATCTTTTCGTTCAAAGTTTAACTCTCAGTTTCATAACCACACCCTCAATGTATTTTATGGCGTTCAAGCTGATACTGACATTGCTATAAGAAGTCGGTGTAATATCCAGATTTCAATGTATAAATTATACAAGCACTAGCTAACAAATTTGACCCTACTAAATAATATTATTTTAATTGAACTTTATTATTGATATTTTCATTTGACTGTATAATTTAATATTTATATTTCAAATTATTTATTGTTTTGAACAATTTTAACTACCAATGTGTTTATGAAATAAAGTTCGAGGGAGCCAGTTCAATGCCTATATCTTGGGAGCTAAATCAATAACCACGCTTGGAGGACTGAAGCGGATGTCGTAAATCTCTACTATGTCAGAATCATTTTGAAATATTTTATTTGTAAAGAATAAAACTACAGCGAACGCTCCTTTCTGTTTATTCAATAAATTACTTTTTTTTTAAATACAAAATAAGTACTCGGAAATTAAGTTCAGTACTTGATAAATGTGCTCAGGGCCGGCCCTCGTATATCAATACAGGATGGGACAGGAATATCCTGAATTTCCGGTGAGCCTATCCATCATTGTATATTTCATATAACGATCTATTATTCGGTAGCCCGGTGTCAAAGTATTTCGATACGGTTCATAATAGTTACACGCCACGGTCACTAGGATATTCTCGTTCCCGGGAAAATATACTGGGATATTCTTATCCATGGTAAAAATGAAATAGCATATTTTCACTTACTCCCGGTAAATATATTTTACGCTTTCTTGAGTGCTCGGTAAAAACATTCACGACGAGAACGAAGCATGGTGATAAGTAGGGCTCCAAGTACATAATTTGATTCATGTAACAGAAATTTTAAAGGATAAAACTTTTATTTGGCCTTTTTTTCTTCCGTTCTATTGCATATTTGTACAATTTACGATTAAAATATAATATAGTATTTGTGCACAATACAACCATAGATTAAAATAATATACTTTGTATATTTATATATGCTCTGTAATTTTTTTCATAGCCTGGAAAATATGAATCAAATCGGCCTACAAAACACAAACTCATTAAAATTTTAAAATTTCAACTTAATATACTAAAAATTACTCTCCGCTGTAACTACCATAAATATGTTAACATTTTTTTTTTGCACAGAAATGTATCAAAAATATAACGTACTTGTAATAGGATTATATTATTATTATTTTCCATTTGTGAAAATATTTTATTATGTACTTATTGTCATAAATGGATACTTTCAAATACTTTCCAAGGGGATAGATCTATTATTACTTTTTTGTGTTTTTGGGACTGTATCATTGGTGTAGAATTTAGATTACCACAAGGGTATAAAAACAGTAGAAATATTTGTTAAAGGTTGTTAAACTCACATAATTTTGGAGTTTTTTATGATCATTGGTAATTTTCATAAACAATTTAATGGCATATGACAAATGGTTTGATGAAAAAACTATAAAGATAAGAAAATGATTTTAAACAACTAAATAAGGCAAATTTAAAAGCCAAAACAGCTAAATGTGAGTTTTTCTACTCTTCAGTGGGGGTATTAAAACATACAATTTCAGTATGTTTCTGTTGTTACAAATAATTACTAATGATTAGTTTTTGAAAGTTTTTAATTTTTTTAAATTTTTCGAAGTTCATATAAATCATTTAATAATTGTGTACTATGGACAAATTGGTAAATCGATTGATTTTTTATTAAACATTAATTAATATTAATGTTATTACCTCTATTAACGTTATTATTATTTTTGTAGAAAAATGAAAACTAAATATAATATATATATGCAAGCTAACTTGGATAAATATAATATAATATTCTAAATTTGCAAGCTAACTTGGATAAATTTGTTATATGGACTCACTAAAATAGTTTATCTCAAAATATAAACAAATGTAATGTTATTACTTTTTCACGAATCAATAATCATATTAGCTTTGATTATTAAATTGATAATTGTTCCGTTACAAGAGCAACTTCTATTAGAGATTTAGGGATTATTATTGATTACGATTTGTCTTTCACTACTCACATTAATACTATTACTAAAAAATCCTTTAAGATGCTTGGTTTTATCAACCGAAAAAACACAGTTAATTTTAAAAATATAAATGCCTTGTAAACATTATTTTTTGCGCTTGTTAGATCTCATCTTGAGTTTGGATCAATAGTCTGGTCACCTAGTTNAATTAAATATTCCATTTATTTCAAAGAACTCGTACAATATGTGAATAAGCGAGTTGAGTTTTATATCTTGTAAAGTAAGAAGAGAGGTTGCTGATATTATGTTTATATATGATTTGTTAAATGGTCACATTTTTTCCGCGGATTTGCTCTCTATGATTGAATTTAATACAACAAATCACCGTTTAAGAAAATCAAACTTATTTCATGTTCCATTTTATAATAATAACTACAGCTCCTCTTCTTACTTTCCTAGAGCATTAAAACTAGCAAATCATATTGTTGATAATGTAGATTTTTTCTTTATGTCACGTAATGTTTTCAAAAGAAATGTATATTTAGTCTTAAACGATGTTGTAAATAAGGTAATTTTCTATTATTATATTATTATTGATTTAGTGTTTGTCTCCTATTGTATTATTATTGTTTTCATTATTTAAATTTGTCTAATTATTATTATTTTGTATTGTTAGCTTCATTATTATTATTGTTTTAAATCGAGATGTTATTGTTAACTATAAAATACTTAAATGTTTAAACCTGTACTGCCTACACAAAAGGGTCTTTACCCGTTTATTATACATAAATAATAAATAAAATAAATATATATATATATATATATGTATGCATATTGATTTATTGACATAATATAGTTATAGTTGTGAAAAAATAAATATTTATATTATATAGGTTGTGAAAGAATAATATCAATGGGGGGTATACAGTATGCACTCTAGAAGCTTTTGCGAGTATAATTAGAAAAAAAAAAGATTTTGGTTTTTATACAATTATAAATTTATTATCATTGACAACACAGTTAACGAGATGGGAGAGGGTTCTTAATATTGGATACATATTAAATATATGTACCTAGTTTAGAAAAAAAAAAACAAAACACTAAGCGCAAATCAGTAATGTAGGTTTCATAGATTCAAATACAAAATATAATAATTGATTTTCTCAAAACCTTAGGTACAGTACAGAAAGAAAATAAGAGGCAAAAAAATAAAATAAATAAATAAACGATTAAAAATCATTTAAAAATCATAACAAACCTATTTTATACGCACGTATAATAATATAATTAGGATTTATATAAATATATTTTAATTTTTTTTTTTTTTTTTATATTATACCTACAACTATAGGTAATAACTAATAATAATAGTCTAAAATAATATAAGCCGCCTAAAATAATAATTAATAATAATAATAATAATTGTTAAAAAATAATAAACAATAATAATAATAATAATAATAATAATAATAATAATAATAATAATAATAATAATGCAGGTCGATATGGATATCCATAATATTTTAATTTTAATTTTTTTTGTGTCGTTACCCTGATACAAACGAATCGAACAAACGACTAGACGACACATAATATGGACGCGGTTATTTTAAACAATTACATTTACGAGGTTATCACAGTGTGGTATTCGTTAGTCGATATTATCATAATATTCAATTTTTTTCATGTACATAATCTATACCCACTATTATATAATATTATACATTATTAGTTTGCATGATACACTGTCAGAGGGGGCTGGGAGTGCCGAAAATAATATAATATTGTTGAGTACATTGGGAGAAGAGAGAAATCAGATAACGCTGGACGGTAGTATATCGAGGGGTCTGGTTAACGTGCTGGTGCTGTTATCGGGGCAGCCATTTTGCACGAGCAGTTCTGTGAGCGGGCCAGCATCTTGGATGGACGCCGTGCCGTTTCGGCAAGCCGTCCGTACGTGTTGCACACAAGTGCGTCCTTCGTGGTCGATGGATTTGGCGTTAGCTTTGTACTGTGAACAGGAAAAAATATAAAAACATAAATAGACACAAATATATTTAAAAAAATTGGAACGATTTAACAAAGAAATTGAGCGCGTTAGATGCTCGGGAATATCAGTTTATAAACTTTTTCTCAAACATATTGAACGTAATAGCTAATATTAAAAAAAAATATTGAACCCAAAACCACTGGACAATTAAATAATATTATGTCGCATTATAATAAAATGGAAAATATACAGATTATTTATTGTTTATTGTACAACATATTATTTTATTACGCGTTTGTGTTTCCTACATATTAATAATTTTCCAAGGTAATATGATTTCGAATGATTTTACGCATCTACAATCCACTATTGTTTACATTTCTCTGGAGTAATTTTTTAAAAAAAAATAACTAAATCTCCAAGAATTATAATGGTTTTTTTTGGCTTTGATGACATTTCACTTTCACACTTACCCATAGGAGTAGCTGAGCTATAGGAAGGTTTATCATGGAGCAGGCCAGGTGCAATGGCGTTCGCAGGTCCCGGTGGCTGACGACACAATTGACCTGATCGGGGCTGGCATGGGCCAATACGAGTGTGAGGGATCTCATGTCACACCTGAAAATAACGGAGTCGTTGAAACAAATTGCTTTTAACTAAGTGATTGTGGTCTGCAAACCGAAAATCAATTATAAAAATTGTATTCAAACATATATATTTATATATTATTGTATATTTTTTTTTTCAAAACATACAAATTATAAAAGGTTTTCGATGGACATATTTTTCGTTCGCCATGTACCGGATACTAACCTGTAAACGGCGTCAATTAGCTGTTGTGAGAGACTGGGCGTGTGGGCTATCGCTGGTAGGAACTCTTTGGTTTCGTACTTGCTGCGAATCCACTGTTCTTTTTCCTCCCGGCTCGAACCCGGGCTGGGTTTGGTCCGATTTGTCCGGACGTTGGACTCCCAAACGGAATTCGCTAGATCGTTGCCGATTGCCATCATTACCTTCAGGTGCGACGGTCTGGGGAAGAAAAAACGCGGGGAAATAAGCAACTATTTCGCGGAGTTTTATTTTCCGCTATAATAAACTATGCACAGAATTTTTTTTTTTTTTTATATAATTTAGTCCCGCGCGATTTTTCGGTATGAATGACATAAGGAGTGTGTGCAATCTAACACGTCACGGTATACTACAAATTAAAATATCTTAAATCAATAATAGTGATTATAATACGTTTAAAACGCAACATTAAGGTTAGACCATTTAGAAATTTTCGAAATTGAATTCGCTTTTATTTAAAACAATTAATAGACAATTGACTCGAGTCCTTCTTCTCTGGGACTATTGATATACACATATAATATACAGGTATCTGGTATTTATACACGGTATGCGTATATATAAATGTACTCACGGCCATCCGTCCAAGTCGAGCGACCGCACTTTGGATATGTGCGAGCCCAGGTTCCGATGCACGCCGGAACATTCGATGCACATGAGTATTCCAAGATTTAAACTGGCCCAATCGGGATTAGGGTAATTGCAGTCCGCGCACTGGCCGTTGCCCGGCACCCGCGTCCGGATGTTTTGCACGTCCTCCGTCCGGTTACAGGACGAACCGAACTTGCCACCGACGTTCACTTTAATGATCTCGTTGCTCTGCGGACGAAAAAAAAAACAATCGAATCACAAATAATATGTGAATTAACGTTATTCGCCGAACGGCGTGGCAGAACTACGCGTACTTGTAACGAGTTGAGTATTTGTTGTTCGATGGCGGCCACCCATTCGTCCCGGTCTTCCGAGCTGTTAGCCTCGAACTGCCACTGTTTGTTGTCCAACGAGACGATCAGGAACTCATATCCGTCGGTGTCTACGATAAAAAAAAAAATCGTCGTTATCACTCGCACCATAGAGTGTGTAGACAACAGACATATTGTGTATGCGTCATTGAAGACAAACCTTCGCATTCTTGGTTCTTGATGTTGCTGCTCTTCATTCGCCTGTGTCTTTTTTTCACGTTGGGCGTTTCGGCTTTGAGTTCACCGTTGTTCACGGACAACGAAGTATTCGAAACGCCGATGGTCGATTCGTCGCTGTTACTGTACGCAAAAAAATAAAAAAAAAATACGCAATGTTTCGTGATTGTTCCTTTACCATACGGTGGCGAAATAAAAATGCCAACAAAAATAAACAACTCACGCGGAACCGCCGTTTTTATAGCTAGGCTCTTTTAGGAGCTCGAAGGCGGTAAGCATCACTTTGTCGGCCGTCCGTTTGTCTTTCATTTGAAAATTCGATATCGATATGTTAGACAAGTGTTCGGACAGCCCGCCGTTAGTACTGTGATGGTGGTTGGCCGAGGCCGACGACGACGTTGACAGGGACATGATCGTTTTCGAGCCCCTGGGCTTTTGACCGGGCACCTTGACCGTGACGTACTGCAGCGATATCTCTTTGCCGTGCACGTCCTCCATGTAGTCCTGCGAAAAACAACGTAAAAATAAATCGATAATTCTCGACGAGGAGGCGGGAAACGAAAAACAATACTCACGTGCAAACTCGGATGGTACGTCAGACGGCCGTCGTCGCACAGCGTTACGTATTTCTTCTTCCATTCCTTGTTCAGGCCTTTGCTGCTGCGCTTGTACAGGTAACCTTGTTTGAGCGGAATCGCCCGGCCGCTGCCCAGCTCGCTGGTGGTCAGGCACCGGTTTTTGTCGTCCTTCTTGGACGGATTGAACAGATTGGACCTCCGGCGCGTTTTCCGGGTGGTCGTGGGCGTGGAACTGGGCGTGGGCAGGTCTTTGATGGGCACGGACAGACCGTCGAATGTCGTCGTCTTCGACACGTTATTGTTGTCCAGCGCTATGGACAGTTCCAGCGGTTGTCGGTTCAGCGTCGACGACAGGTTGGACCGGAGCACGGACTCCTTGAACGCGCTGACCACGCTGCTGCTTCCGCCGCCACTGCCGTGGTGCGCGGGCGACGTGCCGCCGCTGCCGTGCACGGGCGGCGACGGCGAAGACGCTTGCGAGAAACCCCGGGACCCGGCGGCCGGCGACGACAGGTGGTGATGGTTGTATGACGAAGACACGGACGATAATCCCACGGGAGTGGTGGACGACGACGCGGGCGTGGAGCACCTGGAGTCCGACAGACAGTTGGTGGACGCCGACAGCCTTTGCTGGATGATCTTCTGGCAAGCTGCGGTCATGATATGTACACAATTAAAAGGGTATCAAAAAGGGTTTGAAAGAAAAAAAAAAACCAATAAATAAACAGTAGAAATAAAAATTGCGCATTTCGAATTCAATAAATTTATATCGCGATGTTTCACAATGTTAGCACGGGTGCTATACGGGAAAAGTATCAAAAATGCTATCAAAAGATGGACGTTATTGTTTATTTACATAAATATACGTTTTACGTTTGGCGGGCGATTTTTACACGGTGTTTACAATGGTACGAGTTTAATTTGGAGTGTACGGACGAAACAGATTTTGTGAAATGCGAACCGGAGTCGAATGCAAATAAATACAAACAGCGAAGGGACGTAAGACCGAATTGCATATTGATAAAAAATTGTCGGAGTGGTTGGCCGGACGAGAAGTCAATGCGGAATCGTGGCGAAATATAACTGCCACGTGTGTACGACGGAGTTTCGGTTGCGAACCGCGCGTATTTCGTGTTTACATAACGGTACCGTCGGAAATATTTGAAATTTCTCGGAGTATTTCCCGTATTAAATGTTACGATATTTTGAATCCGTAATCAAGTGAATAATTTATTTTCTGCCGGTCGCACGGTAAACGAGCCGTTTTTCCGCCGGACGGTGTCTCGTTGGACTTTGCCACGCGGCGGACGCCGAAAACCTCGTTGAAAAATGCCCGCGCACCCGTACGTAATTGACGGAAATCACCTAACCATCCAATACCGTTCAATATTATTCACTTACCGTCTTGGAACACCCGGTCCACGTTCAAACCGTACGTGGCGCAAGTCTCGTAGTACGAACATCTCTTCAGGTCGGCCGCCAATTTTCTGGCCCTCGTGTCGTCTATTATCCTCGGATTAGTTTCACTTATGGCGTCTGCGTGTTTATAAATAATGAAAACACGAAAAAAAAAACAATTATTATTATATTGTCGTTGCCTTTTTATTGGTCTATCACGACCAGAGTCAGGGGCGCCGACGTATTTCTTAACACCTATGACAATTCTATTTTGAGTCAATACACCCGCCCGCCCACCACCTACGTCCCACCCACTAACAAAAATAATCCTCTTCGAAATAATATAGAGCAGTGATTATTATAACTTAATGTAGTAAAATTTTTACAGTAAAATCGAGGTCCCTATTTTCCTTCACATTATACTCACATACGAACCGAACCACCCGTCCACCCACTTATTCACCTATGACATTTGTCGTAGGCAAAACCAATTTTCGGCGCCTCCGACCAGGGTAACAGACATATTTTACACGGCCGTATAAAAAATAGCACGGCGCGCAGTGTGGCGAGCGCGTACGCCGCCGTCGAGTAACATCCGTACAAATTTTAGTATAATACATCGCATAAAACGTTGCGAAAGAAGTAAAATGCGGTCGTTAAGTTTTAACGTTTTTATTACGGTTGTACAGAACGAGGGATTACAGCGAATTATTATATATGAAAACCGATAAATCGGTATACCGTCTTTGATTAAAATAAAAGGTCCGGATTTCGACGCAAAGTGTATTTAATAATATTAGTACAATACATTTTTTTTTTCTTTTGGTGATTTAACCCGATATTTAATCCAACGCTGCTTTCGTCGATCCGTCAAACCGTTACTTCGAACTTTTATTTTATATTTCACGAATTAATATATTACATATTCATTGTTTTGAATATCCAGATAATTAAAAAAAAAAAATAAAAACAAACCGACACACTTCATACGATGGGCAGGCCGCTGTTTTAGATGAGAAGTTGGGTATGATAATGGGAAAATTTAATGTACGTCTGTACGCAACGATTAATCATTACTAACGAAAAACGATTCTGAGCGGAATTCGGTTATATATGTTTTGAAAGGCCGTAATGTTTACGATTTGAAAATAATGCAATTCGTACGTTTCCCCGTTTTTCCCCATTTTTTTTTTATGAAAACCCCTGAAAAATTTTCTTTTAGAAAAGGTTACTTTATTTGAAAATCGGAACAGAATTTCTGGTAGAAAAGTTGTTCACAGGTAAAAAAAAAAAATATTAAAAATTAAATAAACATCATTGTAAAATCAATGCACGTTCCGCGAGTTGTTTAAATTTCGAAAACTCGTTTGGTTTCATGTAGATACAATTTTGTTGGATCATATAAATACTATACATTTAGTTCATAATTTATTTAGTAGTTAAAGAGGGGGGCGGGGGTCAACTAAGTCGGCTTGTAGGTCGACGGACTTATAGCGACGAAAAAAAAGAAAAGAAAAAGAGAGTCCGTTTGGTCGATTATTCGATAAATTTATAGGACAATGTGACGGCCCAATCTTCCAGTTTCACCGCCCACCGAACCGGGGAAAAAAACGATTATATCGTAATTATTAGGACAGATATTTATAAGAATGCCAAAATATAATGTGTCCTAAAAAATCTAAAACACCGAAATATGTAGAAAAAAAAAATTGTTTTTTCGAGAAATCAATAAAAATATGTGAAAACGTAAAAATTATATACTTCTGCTTTTTAATTACCTGCAAATAAAATTGCAGTGTCTGACCATACGTCCGGGGTAATCTCTGAACCGGCCGAACAGGTTTTGACGGGGCTTCGCTGGGAGATTGAATATTTTCATAATATAGGTTGTTATTTTTGATTCCGTAATTCGACCTCATAAAGAGTGGATGACCCGTGATTTTTGGTATTTTCGGAAAGAAAATTGTATTCTACTGTTTTTTTTGTTTTTTTAATATACAAGTTTCCTCGGCGAGACGGATGAAAAACCCCGATATTATTAGGCAGTTTATTTTGTTGTTATCACGGGCAAGAAAACGTATTTTTAGATCCTGAGTGGAGCGAAGAAGCTTATGGTTTTACAAAGATGTTTATTTTTTTTTTCTGTGACCAACTTTTCTACCAGAAATCTTGTTCGGATTTTTAAGTGTAGTACTTTTACTGAAAGGAAATCGGACCGGGGAGAGATACTTTAAAGAGGTAATTTTTCGATTTTCTCAAGAGTTTTCTCAACAAATAGGAAAAACGTAGGAAAAACGGGAAAATAGATACAACATTAAACAAAGAATCAAGAATATTATCGAAGAAAACATTATATAACGCCTATTATGTTATGTTACCATTATATTAGGACATGTATTATATTGTTGACAAAGCAACACTGAATTCCGCTTAGAATCGTTTTTTTCGTGAGCAACGGTTTATCGTTGCGTACAGACTTGCATCAAATCTCTCCGCTACTACCCTTCCCAACTTCTCACCTACAACAGTGGCTTACCCACGTGCGAAGTATGTTTGTCCGTCTTTTTCAAATGCACGGCCAACAAACCCACGGCGATAGAGGATCGGGGATCACGAGTCACGGGAACGCGAGTTTTTATTATAATTATTTTTCTTATTCCAGTTTTCTCGTTCGACGGACAATAAACCGCGCGGGACAGCTAATTATGTATTTCATTTTTTTTTTTTTTTGAAAATTCCTCCCATCCTTCCCCCCCTCCCCGATCCGACCGACAATATTGTCGTCGCCGACATACACACGGTCGCGCTCAAATACACGGAATAATACGAACTGCGTACACGCCGGGAATAATATTTACCCGTGTACACACGTTATTTGTTTACTCACCCTGAGTGCCGACCAGGATCAACGGTATTTCGGCGGAGTTACGGTAGTGCGCCATTTTCGTGTAGTATCCGTAGACGGCGTTGAAACTGGCTTCGTTCTCCAGGCTGAACACGAATATCACGGCGTCCACCCAGGCGGTAAACTGCAACAATATAAAAACAACGTTTACGTTTACACGTCTTGTCGATCCGGGCGATAACGGCTGACGACGGTCGGACGATATTGTTGAAATTATATTCGCGTATCGTTTTCGGCCGTCGTCGGAACGATATTGCAACGTTATTAATGTCGAATAATAACAAAAGTACCGGGGGGGGAGGGAGGGATACGCCGTGTATTTTTTGGCGGCGTCGCGGAGAATTTCGAACGGACCGGTCGACGAACGGCTGATAACGGCGGCCGCGCGACGAATGGCGTGCGTGCGCGCCGTCCACCAGACGACCGGCGGCGTAGTAATCGTAAGTGCGAGTAGTGCGAGCAGCACCGGTACCAGTAGCAGTAGTAGTAGTAGTAGTGGTAGTAGCAGTAGTACTACGATTACTACGACGTCGTCGCGTCGCGGCGGTGCGCGCCGAATCGTCGGGAGCGATCGATTATGATGCCCCGGAGACCCCGAGCGGGGCGCGACGAAATCCACGGTCCCGCGGGATCGAATAATACGAGGGACATTTCAAGGACGTCGCGTAACGCGTCGTGACTAGACGGACGCGGCGGCGCACGAAGACTGACCGGTCATCAGCGTCGTCCGGTTAACCGCAGAAACGGCGGCCAAGTGCACACGATCCGGGCCGGGGGCCCCGCGCGGTCTACGATTGCACGTATTTGAATCGAAAACAGAAACGAATTTCTAGGGGAGGGGGGATTGACCGCGGGAGTTTTTGGAAATACGCAGTGGTTTTGAACCCAACTGGTTTAAGATCGTATACAATACGATAGTCTCTTAACCCCCCCCCTCCCTCAATCTTATTTAGTCTATTGGAATAACACAATCGCGTTCACCGCCGATCCGTGTAATTGACCGCGGTCGCTGAAGAACTGCTATTCATATGGTTAAACTCGGTTAAACGTCACAGAAATATTAATTCATCGTTAAAAAAAAAAAAAAAAAAAAAAAAAAAAAAAAAAAAAAAAAAAGGAGAGCGTGGAGAAAAATGCCCCCGGCCTATATATGGGCCAATTGCACGTGACACTCGCGTCAATCCGGGCGGCCCACGATTCCGGTCGCCGCGTGACGTTCCCGCTGGGCGATAGCGGAAAGACCGAAAATCCACGGAAGAAACGAATATATTTCCGCCGTAACCTCAATCGAGAGGGTTATTCGAGTAGGCCAGAATCAATATCCGTACGTTTGAAAACGCGTTGGCGATACGCCGTTTTATAGGATTTTCGAAACGCTAATCCGATTCTGTAAACGGTTCGTACAAGAACAGGTCTAAATTTACCGGGAAAGTATAGCGGTTTGTGTAAAAAACTAACAAGGTTGATACTGAACCGCGCGAACCGGGGGAGTTTTTATCGCATGGTCCATAATGCGATAAAGCGTATTATATTCCATTAAAAATATTATGAAAATTCAGATATCCCCAACTTAATCTAAAAAAAAAAAAAATCAGATAATGATTAAAAATTAAAATGTTGGTCTTTTGATGCCGGTTTTGAGTTATTTGGTTGAATAAAAACTACTTTGCGAACAAATCGTACAAATCTTCTACTACGACGTCGACGTGTAGACTACGCATTGTGTCGATGGGACGACTCCTTATGTTGGGTAAATCGCGCTTTTCTTACAAAGTGCCCCTCGTATTATAATTGTCGGAGGTTAAACCGCCAAATAATTACTCGCGGCCGTTGTACTTTTAAGCCAGTCAGAGAGGGGGGAAAACATAACCTCTAAACTTCTCCTCTCTGCGCGCTCCGTCGCTTCCGTTATACGAGATTGTGTTATTTTCCCGTCGGGCGTGCGAGAAATGAACTGACCCCAACGTCGTCGGCCGCCAGCGCGCGCGTCTCCGGTGTACCGTCGCGCTAGAGTTAAAAATAAACCGCCAACAATGTCGTAGCGCGCCGAAAACACGGTTTTTTTTTTACGACAGAATTATGTTTTAAACGTCTGTAAGTGTTTAGGGTTAATAATCGTACCAAACCGTAAATGTCAATGGATTTAGGCCTATTAAATGCCGACTATTATTGCGTGTCTAAATGTATTATATCTGACGACGACGGTCGATTTTCACGCGTGCGGTTCATGTTTACTGCACAAATCGACCTCACTGCAGTGGTCAAAGTCAAAATTCAATTTCGATGTAATCGACTTACCGATTGATCGACCATTAATTATTATGACCGAGACCCGGAAGTATGTTGGCCATTTATCATTGTCAGTGACACCTAGAAAATATTGTGTTTTGAGTAAGAAACAATAATTTTGAAAATCACGACTAAAACTGTAACTGTAACCTTACTGGGCTCACCAAGCTCCGCTCAGAATTTAATTATATCGAAATGATTTATCGCCGCTTTCAGTACATATGTATATATAAAAATATATAAAAAAAAAAATAAAACAAAATAATGTCAAATCTCCGATATGGATATTCCATGTTATTATACTGTTATCATTAGGGTTCGGAAGTTATAGGAGCTAAAAAAATTAAAACATGCATGAAAAAAATGTTAAATACGCACAAGAAAGATAATGATTAAATCACACCGTTGTCGTTAAATTAATAGACTGAGACGATCAGAAATAAAAATAAATAACTTGGTCAAATAACATTTTAATATTCATATACCATTTAAAATACATTATTGGTTAAGGTAGGAAAAAAAATTAATTTTTTAGTAAACAAAATAAAATATGCGGAAATCTATGAAATATGTACTTTTACTCTGAAACTGACGAACCATGCAAAACATGCATTTTAAATGTTCGGTTTTTAAACTATCTATTGCGTATAGAGAGAATCTCCTAGCTTGCAGATCTGCTACGGATCCGGCGCGTATAGAAAAATATGCAACTCCTGCATAACTTCCGAGCCCTATAGTTGCCACTGTGCTAAATATCAAACGCGTCCGGTTCATTTCCCTGTTTATTCCCGTTATACGTGTCGTATGTTATATTATTATAAGCCGAAGAACGACAATATTATTATTATCGTGTATATTATCCATCAAGTTTATTTAGTAGACATTATCATTCGTAAAAACGAATAATAATATAATGTCACATGAAAGATGTAAAAACGCATCGCAACGCGCATGCGACGATTTTTATCGTTTCGGGCGGACAATAGAAAAAAAATAAAATAGAAGTAGAGGTATATTATTGTATTACATGCATTTCAATTTCGATTGTACCGCAGACCATAGATACTAAACGATGTCGGTTATTATGTACAAATATTCGACAACAATAAAAAGGGGAGTTTTATTTATCGCCGCGTGGTATTCCGGATACCTTAAACTCCTTATAACATATTGTACGCAGAGTTAAGAATAGGACGCGATGTACTCGCATTTACCGTCCCGGTCGCGATACTAACGGGAAAACGTAGAGCAAAATTACGTTAATCGAAACAGTCGAAAAACACTGCACAAATTGTCACGTTTACGTTGAAATTTAAGTTGTTGAACGCGACCAACGCGGAATTTGAACGGGAGAATTTCCTATAGCAGCGGTGACCCCGACTAAGGCCCGCGATCAATTAATCGGCCTACCAGAGTATTATTGAATCGAAATAAAAAAAATTTTCAAAAAAACTTCAAATTTCAAAAATTAACACTCGCGTTAAAAACGACATGTTTACTCTTTAAATTTTTTTCTCATTTATAACAATCAAAACATAATCAATAATTATATATGTACATCACTATGCCTACAATAAAATATGAAATTCCATTATAGCTTAAAAATAAACGTTTAAATTCCGACCAGCCAAGTATTATTGTTATATTTTCATGGCCATCTGTAAAAAAGGTCGGTAACCTGCACTGTTCTATAGGAAGAGAGTCGTTTCCTTAAACGAATTATCATACAAGAGTGTTAAAGTTTTTGTGATTTTTTTTTAATTTTGATAACGCTGTAATAATATAAATTACCTACAGATAATAATTTATTATTGTTTTTTGTCTTTCATTTCCGTAAAACAAGCAGGGTTTGTACGTGTTGTTTTTACCAAATTCCACGATTACTAGTTCATATATTAATGTTATCGTGACAACAACAGTTTTAAAAATTTATGAGAAAATAATGAATTCGGATATTTTCGCATCGATAAATTAAAAATACAAATTCGTTAAATACGCATTTGTACAGTTTAAATATTCGACTGTGTGACCTGAGACCCGCTCTCTGCAGAATATGTAAACAAAACGTTATTATCTAGTACATCGTTTAAATAATTGATGATAATAACAATATTTTTTTTTCTCCCCCAACAGTTAGCTCCGTTTAAATTGACCACGGCGTACTTTTCGGAACATTATTTTTGGGTTTATAAAATAACGGAGCACATAATCTATACGAAAATGATTATTATGCGTCGCGTATTTTCGATACATAAGCAAATATCGTCGGTCGCGTACGTAACTCATCGTAAGTATATGTCGAAAAATGAAAAAAAAAAAATTGTTTTTACGGTTGCGAGAGAAATGTGCTCTATAATATATACACAGGGTATATTATTTCAATGCGAAACTGATTTACACTATATCATTATATTATATTTTGAAACTTTTGAAGTTCAGAATCCACGACTCGGTCGGAATTACGTATTCCGCGGGTACGGGCGGAAAAAATAAAAATAAATAAAAGTAACGGCGGTGCAGGCCGCGTACCGTTTCGCTATGATGTCGGGCCGATTCACCGCGAATAATTTGAATAATATCATTGAATACATATAGGCAGTGGCGGACGCAATATTTTTCAATGGAGGGGGGGTTGAAAATTGATGATCAATCAGTTGTTTTGTCACAAGTTTGAAAAGTTTGTCACAAGTAGTTGCATTCTTAGTTCTGACTGATAATATACACAAAAAATGAAAAAAAAAAACTTTAATATTTAGTAAAAATGTATACAAATGTTGGCCAGTAAAATACGATTTTTAAACTAGTAGAGTATTAAAAAAGCTAGGAACCAACCAAAATTAGAATCGTATGAATTGTGGGTTGCATAACTTAACTTATTTTTTGCTTTTTTCTTGAAATCTTTTTTCTGCCATGATGAATAATCAAATAGTTTTTTTAGTGTGCAAAACTATGTGATACGTTTTAAACGAAAACAACGATGAAAAACCTAAGTAAACAAAATATTATTACACTGACACTGAAGAGTAATAAGTGAAAACAAAATTATTTACATAATTGTTTTCACTAATTAATGGTTATATTATCATTATTTACAACATCCGTGGGCTAACTTAACGATGCGTTAATTGTTGGTAATATTAGTTTAGTAAGTTCAATATTGCAATCATAGATATTATCTAAGGTTGCGTGGGCGTGTGGTAGCTTGCATATGTACAATAACGCCAACCGTCAAAGTAATAACAGTAACGAAATCATTGTTTTTAACGAGTGTCACCACGCAGTTAGACAGAAATAATAATCTTATAAATCTAATAATATCTTATTCTGTGATAATATAGTACTAATAATATAGTATTACTTTCCAAACTCCCCACCTACAACAGTGGCTGCACCCGTACTCATTTTTTTAGTTTTATTGTCAACAAGATGATTCATAATATCGGCCTAAAACTCATTTCATATTTTATAGTTTACGTAGTAATGTCACACATTTTCTACGGACGGTATACATTTTTCTGCGGCGGAAAGGGGGTAACACCCTTATTTAATAAGCACCGCTCGTCATTTACACGTTTTATATCACATCGAAAATCCCCTACAAAGGTGAAAACAATATTTGCCGGAGGCGCGTGCGCTTTATACGGTACCGTCTAATCAAACAATATTATATGCGCTGTTCGGGACGCATTTCGCTTTGGGCGTTATTTTACAAAGGTCGTGATAATAATATTACGTTACAATACAAATCCTGCGTGCACGATACACGAATTTGTACGGGGACGGGGAAACGTTGAATTTCGGAATAATATATATGTAAATAATAAAGGCGCCCCCAAATATTTGTTAATTATATAGGAACATAAATCTAAAAAAAAAAAAAAAAAAACCGAATGGTTAATTATTCAAAAGTACTGGCACAATTATAGATAATAATACAGATAATTTTTCGCCTCTAATTTACAAAATTTACGCTAAATATGCGAAAAAAAATAACATTCTAGTGAATTCGGCGTTGAAAGAATCGTCCGCATTTATGTTAAGTCTCATACAACTGCCCACATACACTCACACACGCGTGCGTGTATGTCACGTATTTTCCTCATTCGTTTTATTTTCAACAATATTTCTTTCATTTGCTAACTATCAAACTTATCATTCGCGAAGTCCTGACTTGCTGCAAGCCTATTTGGATTTATTGACTTTAGACATTTCTCAAAAAGTTGTTTATTTCGGTCCCACAAATATAAAGTGGTAAAATTCAATGTATATAATGAACATTTTTAAAAGTTGCATGAGTTACAAATATCGTAGTTTATAAAAAAAAAAATTATAAAATAACGTAAACGAAATTCGTCAGCTGCTGTCGGCAGCTAAAACGAAGTTTTATTAAGTTTGATTTTTTTTTAGACAGCTTTTTTTATACTTTTTTAAGAATTATGTATAGTTTGAAACGAAATTTTGGTGTTTTATATATTTATTATTGAATAATGATGATTAAATTTCTACAATTTTTTGAAGTTTACAAAAATCATTAATACAATTATATTTCATGAAAAAATTGGCGAATCCGATGAATCGATATTATTTATTAGATTAACGACGGAATATAATATAATAAAATATTAAATAACGAAATCGTTTAATTTGAAAAAGTCGTATTTTAGATTCTGAGTGGAGCGAAGAAGCGTATGATTTTACAAACATTTTTTTTTTTTATCTGTTAACAACTTTTCTATTAGAAGACTTGTTTGGATTTCTACGTATAGCACTTTTTCTAAAAGGAATTTTGACTATCGAAGTACTTTAGAGACGTAATTTTTCGAATTTTTTTCAGCAAATGTGAAAAACCGTGATAAAACCTGGGAAAATCGGGAAAAACGTAGGAAAACTTGGAAAATCGGTATAACATTAAACAAATATTTTTAAAGAAAATATATAAAGCCTTTTCAATTATTTTACTATAAAATAACATGTATATTGTTGACAAAGCATCACTATCAACTGAACTCTGCTCAAAATCGTAATTCCGTAATAAATGGTTTATCGTTGCTTACAGGTAAACATTAAATTATCTATAACAATGGCTGTATCCGTCACCATTATCCTAGGACGTTTGTTTTTGTTTTTTCTCAATTATGATAAAAGCTGCTTAGGATCTCGAAAAATATACCGTCGTGATAGGTTCTAAGTTTGAAAATTGCAAAAACACATCACGGGCCGAGTAACAGCCGCGGGCAAATAATACAATCGTCAACAGCTGCTGCAGCCGTCGTATACGCGCAAATCCACGATTAACAATAGTAATATTCGTATTTTGTCGCCACAAACGCTTGTGGTACTTATACTATGTGTATATTTTACTTATTTATTCCTAATTCGGCACGCGCTAAATGCGCATTATATTTCTAATCGTCGACCGAGCATAGCGAATTTACCTACACCCGCCGCGTTATAAGAAATATAATTATGATAATATTAACGTGTCACCGAAATTAACGCGGTCGACCACGCCGTCAAGGACGATCCGATACAGTTTTTTTTTTCATCGATAGTACCGAAACACGTAAAAAATCGGCGCGAGGTTAATTCTATGGTATGGGAATATTGATATTGACGTGATTGTACGTTCCGTCTCGGGTGGGGACAGTCCCGGTTACCAGTTATCTGCCCCGTTGTCGGGGCGAAAAAAAGGCGATTGCGCAAATGCGTTATATCAAAAAAAAAAAAAAAAAACTAGGTTAGGTTAAGCGATAAAGACAACGATCGAATCGTGGAACACCCGAAACTCTCGGGAATAAGAAATGAGGAGCAAATTGCTACGGACGACACGGAGGGGCAAGGAGAGACATAGCGGAAGCAATGCGGAATGGGCCAAAAAAAAAACAAAAAAATATAAATAAATAAAACCTAACACATTATTTCACTCATTTTAAATAATTTGTTTTTTTTTTTTTTTATAACATTCCACTATGTTTTATTATAATATTTTAGATTCGGAGCGGAACGAGGGTTTACTGTTGTCGTACTAACTACGCGAAAAATAATACAAATTGCTGCGTTTTCCCTATAAAAAGTATAAATAAGGCTTCCCGCTCTGAGGGGAACAAATTATGGTGACAATGTATATAATGTTATTTTTCTTATTTTAAAGGGTAACGGTCTTTAAGATCAGCCCTCTCACAAATAATACTTCTGCGTGTCTCTCCGTTGTACTCCAGACTCTGGAATCCAAAAGTTTCACCGCTCCTAAATGCCTGACAACATAATTCTTAGTCTTGGCCACTTTCCTGTTCTGTTTTTTATCGATTACAGTCCTTATTATTGATCCCCGCAGCTATCACCATGCATGTTTATTGCATTATATTGCATATATAATGAATATATACGTATTGTATGTAACAAATAAATCTTCAAAGTCGATGACTTACTTTTAACTCCAGAATTGAATAGACCTATTCTTTATTTTTAAAGTAATACATCGTTCAATACAATGTTTTTCTAGCTCGAAAATTACTCATTTTCGGTTAGGTGCTATACTACAATACATTATGTTATTACTCATTATATACGTCACGATTTACAGCGCTGGATCTTTTATTTTGTCAAGTTTTTTTTTTCTCGTTCTTTTTTAATTTTAATTAAAATTTTATCGGTCATTGTGTAATATTATCTATTCTAAAATCACCTATACCCACCTATATTAGCGTTGATAGGCAGTGGATTTCGGTGAGATTTATCCTCTCTAATATATATAAAACGTCATACACACGTGCACGATCGATCGGTTATAATCATTTACGACACGCGTCAATATTTGCATTCGGTCAGCATTCGTCTTGTATATTTTATTAGGCCGGGCGTACCTATAGGTGCTGCGCCATAGCTAACACACGTGTATAAAATACACATCAAGTACGGCACGCGCATATTTTTTAATTCACATAGTACCCATTATAAAATGGACACGTCAGAAACACCTCGGGTCACGGGATACGATTTTTTTTATCCAGAGCGCGAGACGTCAATTATTCATAACCAATTACGGCGCCAGAGATATACCCACTCGGGTGTATACACTTACAGGGTGATCCATTTATCGTGCGAACCGTTGATTTTTTCGGAAGATTTTAAATGAATTGAATTTCTAGTTTTTATTTTTCTTTCAATTATTAGGGAATCGTTTAAGTTTTATTTTAATTGCATTTTTATATTTTACGTCTATTCCATAAACTTGCAAAAATTATACACTTTGGATTTTCAAACACGCGTTGCAACCATATTTTTGAACAAAGATTCAAACAGAGAATGTCTCTCTAAAAACTTTGAAAGGCACTAGTAGACACTATAATATTGGATTTACCACTTGTGAGTTATAAGAGTTTAAAGTTTAGACCGGAACAGTACGAGAGGATTATGAATTTATCATCTAAAAACAGATATGAAATTTATAACTCTTTCTCAATCTTCTGGTCTAAATTTTTAGAAAAATATTCTTTATTCGAATCCGTGTTAAAAAAAGGGAGTGGATATTATTTGAAAATCAAAAGTGTATACTCGTTCAAGATATATGGAGTAGTAATACACAATTAAAAACAGTTTTAAAATTAAGCTCACACGGTTACGCAAAACTGAAATGATTGACAAAAACAAAAATTATATGCACTTAATATATTCTGAAGAAATTGCTGGTTTATGATAAGTGCAGAATTATTCTGTATATACTTATAAGCATAATATTATTATTTTACCATGGCGGCGTCTAATGTAATTAAATGAGAAATGAGATTAGTTCGAAAAACGAGTTGTTTTTAGCGTCAACATAATATAGCGACTGACATAAGACGCATACACTCACCCACACAAACACACACACACACAGACACGTTATTATAATACCCCCTCAAAAATATATTTGTTGTTTTTTTTTTAAGCCCGCTTATTTTAGGATATATCTTTCTTAGCATACAAAGTCCGAATTATATGTAACAATATGAACTCAGTATTTATATTAGAAGTGTTGTAGCGAAGTTGATATAAAATAAATATTATACAATTTAGTGTTACTTAGGTGTTTTTATATATTCAGACAAAACTTTTTTGGTTAATAAAAATGATTAGACTTTTACACACAGTGTCTTAAAAAATGTTTTCAAATTCCCAACTGTTTTTCTAGAAAACCATCAAAACACCAATTACAGAAATTACGGTAGATTGGTTTTATTTTTGATTAACTTTTGGATTACTTTGGCTATAAGGAGACAAAGTAACACTAACTATGGAATCAGTTTACCGATCTCCATTCGGATTAGTTTTTTGATGCAACGATTAATTATTATCGTTTTCAGTATATATAAATTAAAATATCAAAAAATGGTCTAATAATGGTGCGATATATTTTGGGCTTTTTATGCTTGGGTACATTTTGAAATATTTATGTTAACTTTATATAATTTATACAATTTATGTTAACTGAATAGGCAGCGGTTGTGAATATTAAAAAAAAAAAATTAAATCTATAAATAAATCTGTCATTTATTCGCTTTTTTTTGGTATTTGATGCGATCTTTAGGCATTTCAAATAATTTTTTTTGTTAAGTTGTTTTAGTTATATAAGCAATCGTGCAAAATGCGTGTAGCACCGGAAATCTCTAAAAAAATATACGAGCGACTACGTAGGTAACCTTGAAAAGTGTGTGGTGGAAAAATTTAAATTTAAATAAGTAATGATATGTACAAAACTACGTTGACACGCGTTAATTAACAGCTCATTAATATACTTGTTTTCATTCAGCAAATACGAGTATATAATATATATTTAATCATGAAACGCGGAAATATACGGCAATTTATATAGAATAAATTATTTGCATAATAGTTATTAAAGAGAAAATAGATTGAGATGGTTTGGATATGTCACGAGGTGAGAGGAATCAAAAGCAATAAAAATGGTAATGAAAATAAACGCAGAGGAAAGAGGAGAAGAGGAAGATCGAAAAAGAGAAGGTTGGATGATGATGCGGAAGATCGGGTTGATTGGAAGTATAGGACGAAAGTGGCAGACTGCATATAGTTGGGATGAAAACGAATGAGACGAATGAGAATAATTATTATTATAAAAATAAAGCTGAACATATTTCGCACCATATGAGCAGATCACTGATTATTTTAGGCGAGAATAGTTTGCAAGTTACATAGGATATAATAGGGTGATTTAGTTTACACTTGCATACTGAAATTAATGATAAACCATTGCAATCGATAAACAATTCTGAGCGGAGCTCGATAAACCGGTATAAGCGTTGTAGTGTTATGGTTTCTCTTTTGTTTTATTGTATAGCCAAATAAATTATCACCGAGGCGAAAAATCCGCATTTTCCAGTTACGGTGCAAACGGTTATTTTCACTAACCGAAAATGTGTAATCCGAGGAGAAAAATACACATCTTAAAAATTATAACAAATTATTATTATTATTATTATCCACATTTAGATTTAAAAAAAAAAATCGAAAAAAAATATAAAGAAATCGTTTTGAATACATAATAAAATAGGTTAATAAGCCCCTGCAAGCTAATGTTAGTATCGGGATTTAGAGTTAAGTTAGTTTACTACATAAGAGTTAAAAATAAATTAGCACAATTTATTCATTAAAAATATTTATAATATTTTTATAAGAATTTATGTAATAATAAGAAAAAGAACGAAAATGAACAGCCGATTATAATATTATAATGCGTATTTCGACAAGATAAAAAAAAAAAAAAAAAAAACAAATTAGCAAATTCGTTATCTCATTGAGTCTTATAGGTATAGCGGTAATGTATATAATATTTAAATTATATATGTCATTATATCGATATCGTGTACAATTTATACGTATAGGCGAAACTGCGGGTCGGGCCGGAAAACGCCTGCAAAACGGGAAACGCTGGAAGCGCGGTGTGTATACCAGCGGCGAGAAATTTGCGAGGAAACTTTCCTGCACACGGATACCGCGCGATAATAATATACGTAATCGACGATAATAATATGGGGTAGTAAACAGAAAGTAAACAGAAGCCACTTATGGGAGTTGTGTTTTTGTTTTGGACCGTCGTCATCGTCGGATACGAACGTGACGGTAATAATTACACTGCAGGTATTTATACGCCCAAAAAAAAAAAAAATCTTTAAACGTGTATAATATACAGTTCGATATCATGATTTTATTTTATTTTTGATAGATATGATGGGAATATTGATAAAAAAAAAATTATGAAAACTACGTCTGTGAAACCACTGGAACTCGATAAACATAAACGTGCTCTGAAATAACCACAACGTAGAACAATTATATAGAACCACTCATTACGAAACAATATTTAAAACATATAATTTTGGCTTCTACACCTCCTTCCCCTTTCCCTAGATTTTTGATATCAAAATCATCTATGGAGAGAATATAAAAAAAAAAATATAATTTTTTTTTCTCCATTCGATTTTGTCATAAAAAACTTTTTTTTTTACCGAGTACCTTATCTGGAACATTTTTTAAAATTTCTTACTTTTTGAAATTTCTTTATTAATATTATCGGTTATTATAGCATATCGAAATCGAAATCGATTTTCGCAACCCTACACGGAACACATTTATATAATGACAGTATACAATAATCAATACATTTTAAAATTATTACATTTCGTTAGTATTTTAGGTAAGTTTTAATAATACTATTATATGGGTTTTTTTTCAGCCCCACATTCAAACAGATTATGAATCGCAGACACGATCGGATATTTTCGGACGGTTGTGTCTGGTAACTCAATCACGGTACGAAAGTATATACGCGTATAATAATAATGATTTAATCGCAAGTATTAATTACGCTCAGAATTAGTGTACGATTTCAAGTATCTACTTACACTAATATTTTTATGTTTCATAAACCATTGTCTACATTGTGTAACACGTCGACGACGTTTCTGTAGTAAACGTCACTAAATAAATACAAGGCGGAAAAGGTTAATTTTGGTTTGTAACACGTGCGTTAATTTTTTTATATAGGTAATCGCCATAAATTTTAACACGTAAACCGTTTATAAAGAACCAGGGTAAATATGTATCCTCCCTTCGCGGCCGCTAGTCATAACCAGGACGAGGAGGAGTTTTAAAAGTTGAATGATCCCGCCCAGGGGAAAAAACCCACACTAGCACATGGAGTACAAATTATAATATATTATAATGTGGGTGTGTGAGAGCGATTAACACTGCAAAAGAACGTTGAAAAGTTTTCGAAAATTGTGTATGTATACATCGTGTGTTCGGACTCAAATGATAACACGAAATAGTTCAGCTGGATGGACGTGGATTGAAATGAGGAGAAGAGAATTAAGGAAAGCGAGGGGAATCGAACTATACAGAAATGTTGACTGAATTTACAAATTTTTAACCTTTGTGGTGCACGTACGTGCGAAATATAACTTATAAATATTTTTTAAACGGAACCGTTTTAGCGCTTTTAGGTTTGAATAGTCATAATTTTTTTCAAGCGATCGATTCAAATACAATAATTATTGTTTTGCTATTTTAAAAATTACCGAAACATAAATATGATTTTCCTTCAAAATAATGTTACGATTATCAATATAGGCACACATGATTAACAAAATAGTAGTCAAATTTCTTCGCTTGTTTTAATAATAAAATATCACGTTTTAAATATTTTGAAAATATCCTATTTAAAAAACGTGTTATTGTATATTATAGTCGTACTTTGTATTTATATAAGGCGAATAGCGTCCTCCCCGAACATTTTACGCGAATAATTTCGAGCGGTCGACACAGTTTTAGCTGACAACGACCGCGGCATCGGTGGCACCGTAACCCAAATTGATGCGTTATTGATCCAGCTGTTTTCGCCCAACAATCGACGTTTTCCACGGTTAACATTCGTTTTTATTATAAGCATATAGACAAATAAACGTAATAATAGACAATAGTACGGCTATATGTTACGTAGTATTTCATATAATATTTTATAACGTGGAATCTCGGGGAAATGTTCACCTCGCTTTAAATTCTGAGCGAGAGAATACGCGAGGAATATGCATTGGTTCTTTTTGATTGGGGGGGAGGGTTCTGTTTGCAAACAACTTTTCTACCAGAATTCTCGTTCCGATCATTAAATTTATAGGGGCGATGGTTTTTGGTAGCAAATTTTGTCTACAATAGTTGTTATACCTAGAAAATTATTTTTTGATTTTCTCCGTAGTTTTTTTTTAACAACTGGGAAACGCTGTTGGAAAAAAATAGAAAACGTACACAATCTTTTTTTCCGTTTTCAATTGCTATATTGGTTTGCTGCGGTTCGCCATTATGCTTCCTATTGTAACTTGAATCCTTTAACTCCTTATAATTCTCCTAATCCCTGTCTATATCATGATTTGTTATATAAGCTTCATCCTTGGTATTCCTCTTCTGATATGACCTTGTACGTCACTCGAAGCACTTCGTCCAGCTATCGTGACCCAATCATTTTTTTCTTCTAACATTTATGCTACGTCAATGTTCTTGGATTTTTTTTAAATTTTGTTCAGTACCAGCACTTCATCGTTTGTTATTCTCGTCTATTATTTAATTTTAAACATTTTTCGGGAACAACGCATTACAAAAAACCTCTAGATTTATCTCTTCTTTTGTACCGATAGTCCATGTTTTTCGCAACCATATATAGAACCACATGATTTCACGCATACACTTTCAGGGACTTTTTTCATACCCGCAAGTTCACAATTTTTAAAAACGTACACAAATGTTTACCTACAACAATATCATGAAGTGAGTTCGCAATAAAACTTCAATAAAACACCTGCAGAAGAGTGCAGCATTCATTATCTTCGTACATATTGTTATCGTAGCGAAGGTTTTACGCACGTCGTCATAGTATTATAATATAATGTCACAGGTAAACGAAACTGGTATATATAGAACTACCAGGTATAAAGTTATAACGGAAAAACGGTCGCGGCGACGTGTTTTTTACACAATAATATTATATATATAAAACAATGGCCAGCCGAAGAATATAATAATAATAAACCCGTATTGGAGATATAGGAGTGGTACGCGATAAAATTAATTTGCATGTCAAAAGGGTGAAAAGCGCGAGCGCGTGTAAAGGTACATAGTGCGTTATATAGGTAGGTTATATAGGTACCTACTTTCGGGTTTGATCGAGGTGAATCGGGTACGTACATAAACGACGACGGTAAAGTTACAACACAGTGGCTGCCAGAAAAAAAAAAGGGGCAAACACTTTTCTGGTATGTAGGTTTTTATACAGTATTTATCGAATCGTATCGTTTGGTCCCGCGTGATTTCGACACCTTCTTTTATACAATATACGTGTGCGACGTGCGTGCACAGTATTAAAATCTTATTATAAACGTCGGATTAGGCGCGAAAAAAAAAATTATATCGCTTTACTTCATATAATATAGCGGCGCGTACACTTAGGTACCTTCTAATCTAACCTATGCACGTCGCGCAACATACAAATTATAATACAAGAAGGTCGGAAACGGCGGCGGCGCGAGGGTTCAAGCGTCACGGGGCCAAAAAAAAAAAAAAAAAATCAAAAAACCGGCCGTCGACAATTATTGTTTATTATACTCGTATATATAAAAGATAAACCTGCAGGAACCAACGGACCGGAATATTGACGGTCACCGAGGATCCCAGTTTTCCCCAACCGTCATATATTATTCCCTGTTGCGGCAGGAGAGGAAGGGGAGGAGGGCAACTGCCGCAGTAATCGGCTCTGATCGTATAAAATCCCGCGAAAAGTTTCAAGTGGATTAATCACGTTATTCCAATAATAATTCAACAACAAATTCACCGGACACACACAATATATACACTTATTATGTCACACACTGTATATATATGTATGTATAGAAGCATATGCAGCGGTGTTCCCATATAGAATGTACTATACATATTGCTAAAAAAATCACCGGTATACTACGTATACTCTCTAATAGTCTCCACAGTCTCGATATAGTAAAATAGTAAAAACGTTACGATTTAAATTTAATTTACATCTGTAAGCAACGATGAACCATTTCAGACGAAATACGATTCTGAGCAAAGTTCAGTTATGCATGTTTCAAAAACGCTGTGATTTTTACGATTTTCGTTAAAATTTGATCTTAAAACTTTTACGAAAAAAAAGAAATTCCTACACGACACTCAACTTTTTTTTCTCGACCACTAAGTACCTACAACTTGTAATAAATCTTGTATTCTATAGTCAAGTATTTCTGTTTGGTTAAACAATTTTATCCGCACAGTTATACCTATCAAATAAAACCTTTAAAAAAATGGCTAATATGAGTATTCTACAAAAAACAAAAAATTTATCACGGTAATATATTATTATGTCTTGTGTCACTAAAACCATTATATAATATAGTAATACAAATATTATGAATTTCAGTAATAATAACTACAAATTCATAATTTTCTTGTGATAAACGATACTTTAATTTGTTTTTTTTTTTCAAATTTTGAGCATTTTACTTTGGAAATTTTTATTAATTATGTGTATATAATTTTAAATTGATTTTTATTTTCATATAAAAAATTGTTTAAGACCATATGGACACTAAAATATCTCGCATAGGGCACGCACATTATACTAGTATATTCTAAAAAAAAAAAAAAAATTGATGAGAACACTATCGGATGCATACGAAATATAACCAAAAACCGTATACAAAGCACACCGGCTTTGACATCCGTATTGTACAACAATACACGGATATAAAGTAATATCGTTCTCACGGAATTATACATATACTATTATAACCTAATATCATTTCCAAAATACTCATTTGACAAGCAATACAATCGCCGAAAAATCCAAGAGAATGCACACCACCGCACGTCACAATCGATTACAATCGATTTGTGCCTTATTTCTCACCCGAATTTTGATGGCGGAAATTAGCTATATTATATAATAATAATAATAATTAATACGACAGTGGACGAACGGCGTTATTTTTACATTTTCTCACGATTTCCCATTTTCAGACAAACAAAATAATAGGTACGCGAGCCGAAGAAATAGGTATACAAAGACATCCTAGGTCAATGGTGCAGACACCATAGACAATTTAATGTTTACCTGTCAAACATTGCTTACGAAAGAAAGGTTCCGAGAGGAGTTTAGTTGATCACTAGTGTTGCTTTGTCAACAATATACATGTCATTTTATAGTAAAATGATTAAATAGGCTTTATATATTTTCATTAATAATATTCGTATAATGTTGTATCGATTTGTTTAAGTTTTTCCCGGTTTTCCTTTGTTTAATTCGAAAAATGATCTTTTTCAAGTACTTTGCTAGTGAAAATTATTTTTAGAAACATTGCTATCATTAAAAGTTGGAACAAAATTGCTGGTAGAAAAGTTGTGCACAGGATTAAAAATAGTAATATTTTAGTTATATATTTCGTACATTTTCCTGGTTTTTTCGATTTTTCAAATTTTATGAAAACACTTTAAAGAATATCGAAAAATGACCCCCTTAAGGTACCTCTCCCACACCGATTTTCTTTTAGAAAAGATACTACACTTAGAAATCCGAGCAAGTCTTCTGCTAGAAAAGTTGTTAACAGATAAAAAAAAAATAAACATCTTTGTAAAACCATAAGGTTCTTCGTTTCACTCAGAGTCTAAAATGTCAAAACAATAACGGTAAAAGTCCAACCTTAAGCACGCTCGTACATAAATATCCGTTGTCGGACAAAAACAAGTATAGTGCCTTTTTTTTCCGCTGCGTGTTTCTTCAAATCCTCCAACTCTCGATAACTTTTCATTCCCTTAAGGACTCGCAGTATATATCCTCGGTCTTTCAATTGATATACCTCTTACGTAACCTTCAATAATCGACTTCAATAAACTATCATCATGGCGTAATATCCCTTATATATTCTGTTCCTAAAATGCCTTCATGTGTTGCTCTGTGACACCACGCAATTGTCCGACCATCTATTACAGTAACATCACCACATTTCAAATGTTTCTACCTTTTTTTTCTCGATCGAGTTCACTATTCACGTCAAACTAAACCGTATAGCGTCACACTCCATACGTTTACCTTTAAAAAGTTTTTTTTAGTATCGAGTCCAGTGCTGTTCGCAGTTGATTTTTATTGTGAAGATATATTTTTCCTTTACAATATCTTACTTATTATTTCTGATTTATTTTTACCGTTCTAGGTTATTTTACTGCCACGGTAGTAATAGTTTATTGCACTTGTCCAAGCAATTTTCTGATAATATTGTATGTATCAGCCGTTTATCTTTTATTTAATTTGCTACGTGACGTTACTTTTGTTTTAAATTAAGATTTATATATTATATATGTATATAGATTTACATATGTATATACAGTGTACACACGTGTCGAAGAATCAGACAGAAAACATACAAAAACTACCCTATATATTGTGTGAACACAGAGTGGGCGCGTTTAATATTGCGACAAACTGCAACCATGTATACTTACGCGTCAAATTGACGGCGTTACGTAATAAAATTTACGAGAGATTGCCCCGGAGACGTCTGTCTATCCCATCACATCTCTGAGAAGAATATTTACTTATATGACTACATACTGTCGTATACATCGTACATACACATACACACATAATAATTTGTCGTAAATTTATCACATATAATATAACCGGCGGCGGCAGCGACGAAACAGCCTTATTTTGATGACATTAGGGCGTTCCGGCTCAAATTGAATGTTATTTTATGACTTTTCCTTTTCCGTTGCCGTCGTCGTCGTCGCCGGGATGAAAATAAGAACAATAACCGTCCCGGAGGTTTTAATCTATTTTACTAAACCGCCGTCGCCAATAGTCTTTAAACGCGTGTGTGTATGTAACTGGCGGGGAGGGGAAGGGGGTAGGGGTTGAAGTGTAAATACACCGACAGAAGGACGACCAAATAAAATCACTGAAAAAAAAATAAATATATATTTGCACGAACTACGCGTTCCCGCAATTCCTTACTTACCACCCCTCATCTTCCTCCCCGTTTCCTTTTCCACGATATAACCATTAATAATAAAGACTCGATTTGATTATAAAGCAGAACCCGCTACCATTGTACACCCAAGACCGCGGACGGTATAATTATATGACAGGGCATTATAAAAAGTTTTTCGAATATTCATAAAGAAACGCGCTGCAGTGATTGCAGTGATTATAATGTATAGTGAACGAATATACGCGAATAATTTACTATACGTATGAAAAAAAAATATTAAAAAAATTCAGCATACCAAGCGGATAATAGGGAGCACAGCTAGAGCTAGTGACTAAAATATTAATCAGGTCAGAATATATTATGTTAATGATATTTCAAAGGGATATCGTATCACTTTAGTAATTGGATTCTGATCGTAAAGCAAATTAATGACTATAATACTAGGTACGAGTAACAGTTTTGTGTTCACGGTACACATTATGTATTACTTACATTATCTTAAAACAGAATTTATTATTTGTGGCGTTTTCATCAGTTTATTTGGAAGTATCCTAAAACTACGATGGGCTATATTTGTTAGATAACAGTCATAATTATAATAAAATATTTAATATTTATTTAAACAAAAAAAATATTATCACTAAAATCCTACAATATTATGATAATATTTAGTTATGATGATACAAATGCTTTGCAGTTTACACATTGATCATAATGGTTCAGGAAATAGAAAATTATAATGTTATTCAAAATTAATTTTCATTTCAAAAATTGGGTGGCGTATAGACAAAACTAAGTGGGTTTAGCTTGCTCAGCTTACTCTAAGTTTTGTCTGTCCTACATGGGGCATTTTATAACTTTCTTATGATTTATAATGTTTAAGGAAAAATATATAAATTAATCAACACTTAAATTCAATTAACTAAAATAAAACAGACGAAATTAAAAAAAGAAAAAAAAGAAAGAAGAAATTATTGTAAGTCTTAAGAAAATTGTGAATTGTTTTGTTATATTAATTAAAATAGATACAATTTTTATTAGGTACTATTACTTTTTATTTCAATGACATGTTGAAAGTATATGATGAATACATAGTCAGCTATAGGAACTTAAATTTGAATGTTCAAGCGACGACGGTTAAAAGTCTAGATTTAAAGTATTTGCGTATATTTCTCAATTTTTTGTAGCAAGAGAATTTTACCTTTTGACTCGTTCAAGCAAAATTTTCAATCAAATATATTTTACGACTTAAGTTCTTAAGTTTTTCCGAGTACTATTTAGAATAAAAATTATCTAAAAAAAAAAAAAAAAACCACTCTGTTAAAACTGAGAATCTGTACAATAACATTGAAAATCATATATACGAACAAGAGCTAAACAAAATAATAAGAAAAAAGATTTTAATATTATAGGTAAACTGCAGATACCTATTTCGAACGTACAATTTTCTGGGGATAAATTGCATTGGGGGAAAAAATATATTTCACAATAATGCATGAGCGTCAGTGTATACCTATATTGTGCGTATCATAAAAGAATCCTTCGGTCGGAAGTAAATGTTGACAAAATAATCCCCGAAACGTGCAGCGTGTCGGTTATCCCACACACGATTCGCGCCCGGTCCACGTTTCTATATTTTCACAGCCGATCATCGTCGTCAACTGAACAGCTGTGCCCACGAGATCACCGTCTTCGTAATCAAGAAATACCTTTATATATATATACTTTAATATTATATTATAGAACCGCTATATTCATTATAATGTTTACGTTGGCCGGATCCGCTTTTGGCGGTTATCCGTCACAATACAATTTCATTTTTACAATACCAGGTGATTCATTTAAGTGGGTAAACTCATTATCTCGAAAAATACTAATTCTTTTCGGAATTTGTTTTCTAGAACATTAAAAAAACAAGGAGCTCTATAATTTTATATTTATATTATTTTTTGTCACCTTTATTTTTGGGGGTAAAACCACTACTTATGATTTTCAAATGGAAACTTATAATAAAAAGTCTATAAATAAATGGAGTATTAGTTAAAATAAATTTTAGTGTTCAAATTTTTGATTTCCGTCTATTCGTTGACGAGATATTCCACTCTTAAGTTTGAGTTGGATGAGAGTAGTGGAGTATCATATGTGTGGCGGTACGGCGCGCGGTGTTTTAATAATGCACCACTACTCTACCAATTCAAAAGTGGAATATCTCGTAAACAACTTTACAGAAATCAAACATTTCAATATTAAAATTTATTTTAAATAATACTCCTATTTTATGGACTTTTTAATATAGGTTGCCATTTGAAAATCAATAGTAGATAGTGGTTTTATCCCCAAAAATAAGAGTGACAAAAATTAACATAAATATAAAATTATAAAGCAGATTTTTTCTTAAATATTCTAGAAAACAAATTCCGGAGAAAATTTATACTTTTCGAGACAATGAATGTACCAACTTAAATGAATCACCAGGTATAAAAATACTTTTTTTAAATTTTTTTTTAATATTTTGTATTTTTACACGTAATACAACGTGAGATAACAAAATGATTTTGTTAGGATTGTATCCCATGGGTAGACACTGGTCTGGTTTGGACACATATGTAATAAGCGGGGAAAAGCAATACGATATTAGAGCGGTTATATTAAAGGTATATCTATGCATGCATATAGATTGGCGAGCGACAAGTAAAATACCTGCAAGGGAGAGCTTCGGTCGGACGGAATTAAAGCGAAGACCCAGACAAAACGGGAAATATCGATTGATGGAAACAATATACTATAGAGATAGAAGACAGGTAGAAAAAAGTCTAGAAGGAGCATTCAGCAGCATGATAACGGGTGGAAGTGGGCGGACCTCTTCCCGAAGACTAAATGACAATAATCCGACACGTGCACAGAAGTTAGTTAGAAAACAAATTTAACTTTTTAACTATAAAACCAGTATATGATGCATTTTCGGGAGGGTGAAATCTCTAAATCCCCTCTGTATACATGCCTGAGAATAACACGGAATGTTTTTAGTGGCTGTCCTGGAGACCAGAGTTATTCTTTATCACACCTCGTTCATTCTCTCGGATACGTATGCGGTACAACGATCACGCTATCAAGACCCCGAGATTAATAATCTATACCAATATAAGTTCTATAAGATGTATAAGTCTCTACGGCTAAAGCCCTCGAACAACTGTAATGAGCTAGAAAAGCTTAGAGTTCAAACGAGGTATTTCCAGAATACATTTTAGATTAATTGCAAGTAATATAATATACTAATTTACACTGCACCAAATATCAATAGTATCAATATCGATTTCCTAGGATATTCTTACTTGTTGTGTAGAATGTACTTAATAATGGAATATGAAACGTATTCAAAGTCAATTTTGATTGGAAGTAAGATTTTCCTATATTATAATCATACCTACTGTGTGTATTTTGGCTGGTATGATTATGCTAGGAAAGTCATAATTCCATTACATAATCTTAGGAGTTAGATATTTTCTAGGATTTTGGTATTGGGGTTAAGATTATCTTAGGATTATCGTACTGCCGAGGAGGTATGATTTTCCTAGGTATTAAAATTCTGTGACACCGGCATACTATCCATAATATGCTTTATTAATACATCGCGTTCCTTTTGTTGTGACGTCCGTTATAGATTGTGGTAGTGTATATAATATTATTTATACATTTTTAGATGGATGTATTTTTTACATTGACATGTTTTTCGTACATTATATATAATGTCAACATCATCGCGACTGAATGTCATATTTTATAATGAATGTATCACCGACACGGATGTACAATAATACTTACTCAGTGTCGCGACAGAACAAGGAATTTGTTTTGTTTTTGTTAAATGCTTGTCATATGCTATTTATAAAAATGTGTATAGTAATTAATTTGTATTTTTAGAATCCTGTGAAATATTTTAAAAAATCCGATATATTTTTCCCTGTGATATTTACTACCGAATACATAAATTATAATAATATTCTATGCAATAGTACCAAAATTGCAACTCGTAGCAATTTCGTTATTTCGACGATATAGTTTTATGTAATTAATAGTGATATGTTTTAAGAGGTTTCGTCTGGTGCAGTGATTGTGTCGAACGCGTTCTAAACATGGTGTTAAAGCTGACTTTAGTAATATTTCATAAAATCATAAATAATAACAAAAAAATGAAATACAATTGCGAAGGAATTGAAATCGTCGGTTTACCACTGTATGCATTACTGAATAATCGAAGTTAAATTGTTATTGCAATATATTATTCTGACACATAAAACAAACAATTTAATATAAATGTTCAATTAAACGCGTTGAGATTATATTACCGCTATTGCAGTTTATCGTTAGTAAAGTTCAAACTAATAAATAATTTTGTCAAGGTCTCTCGGAATAAACATTTATGAACAAAAAACAACAAATATCAATGCGTATTAATCGTACGAAGTGCAATTATCAAAAGGAACATTTCTTCTCGAGTGATAATATTATTAAACAATTTTTTTACATGACGATCTCAGTCTAATAACATGTATCTAAATAACAAATAAATTTCGATATTCGGTATGCAATTTTTTGAATTATTTTTGCTCGAAGGGGCCTACGCTCCATTTGTTTGGTTTTTTTTTTTTTAATTTACTTTTACTTTTACTTTTAATTTACAATTTATAAAATAAAAAAGCTTACAGGACCATTCAAATATTGAAACACGTTCTGCAGATAGTAGCATATGTATTATTTTTTATGATACTAAATTATTTTTAAAACCGTATATTAACCTGACGTGTAGGTATACCAAAAAAAAATTAATGATAATTTATAATATACCACGATGAATAATATACGCGGAATAACGAACGAATAACAAGAGTTTTGAACGCAAAAAGACGATTGCTAATTGTTTTTATTGTTTATAATATAAGTAAAGAAAATTAGGAAATTTTTTTTATTTTTTTCTATATATACATACAAAACAATGGCTTTTAATAAAAATGCCGACCGAGTGTTGTAGTTGTATACCTATTATTATTAAAAGCGGCACTTGGATAACCGTTTTTTTTTTCATTCTCTATAATTAATTTGTATAATTATTTGAGAGAAAAAAAAATTAAACGGCCTTAACAAAAACGGCGTTTTAAGTGCGCAATAGTTATAAATTAGCGAAACCCGTATACCTATTATAACACGACGAAACAATAATAATACGCTTCCTGCACACTGCACGAGTACGCGCTTTATTTGAATATGAAATATTATACTCGGATATTTGACAGTTTCGAAAAGTTTTAATACAGACGCACGCGACAACTGCAGCCGCGCGAACGGGAAAACGGAAAACATTCACTTTATTATGTGGAAAATATTACGTCGTCACACCAACCCCTCCCCCCCAACAAAAAATAACGCGACGCGAAATTCGTTTGTAAAAGTTGTCGTGCGATTGCAAGACGATAGTACGTAGGTCTGTTTATATACCTACTAATAATTTATTATGCGTTTGTATAATATTATATTTATAACACTGCTACAAGTTATTTTATTCGCGACGCCCCTTGGGACCGGAACGTTCGGAACTATACAGTGGTACGGCGAATACGTCAAAGTCAAAGTGGCGAACGACTTGTATACATGTACACGCGAATGGATATCGTCTTTTTAACGAATCAAGTTAAAATATTGCGAACTTTTTACAACGTTAACGTATTTCAACGGCTGTACTGCACAGCACTCACTCAGAAGACGCGATTTTTCCCGGGAGAAAATACGCGTCGAACAGACAATACAGAATTAAAATCTCGACAGACACGCGTTCAAAAAAAAAAATACGTGAAAATCAGTTAGCGAACACATATTTTATAGGGATTTTAAAAGCTCGTATGGACTCGTACAGAGAACATTGTAATATTATTATAATTCCCCGCGAACTACGCCGAAAACGAATTTTAGTTAATTTTTTACCGCGTTTCAATTGAAAAGGGGAATATTGCCGTTTTAAAATCAAAAATTGATAATATGTGTTTATAGTGTGTATACACGGAACAAGGGTACAGTTTTTGAAAAACAGTAAATAAAATCATTTAACGACTGAAAAAAGCAACGTCGATTTCATTCAAAATCGTCGTGAATAATCGTTGGATCGTGCAGATAAAAATATTACCCTGTATGTTGTTTCTTTAGCAGTGTGTTTCTGATCGATAGTCGTCCGCGAAGAAATCGCCAGTAGCGCCGAGCGGTTATATTCGTTCGCGTGATTGCATCGAATTTAAGAGCGGCCGGATTTCCCCTCGGCTTAATGCAATAACGACTTCCGTCCTCCCCGCCGCCGCCGTAGCGTCGGCCGCAAAGTACATTAACGTTTTCGGGTTATTTAAATAACAATATGCGAACACATTCCTTCTGTAGGATGCATGGAATTATTATACACAACACGGTCGTCGGGGCGGCCGTTGTTGACTCGATTTTCCGGAAATTGATAAAATTCTCGCGATGTCCTAACCGCGGCTTTTCCGAGGACCTATATTATACACTCAGTATACCTAGTTGTCAAAAAGACAATAAAAGAGAAAAAGTTGCCAAAGCGGCACGCACCGTTGAAAAACAAAATCCACCACGTCCAAATCTGAAACGGCTCAAGGAAGTTAGTAGTGTCCTATGTGAATACCACGGAAATTTGAATTAATTTAGACTAATTATTCTAATCTTGGCGGTAAATATTTAAAACTTAAAACCTTTAGTGACCGAAAAACCGAGCCGGATAGTCACGTGGTGGAGTGATAATGCACAAACACCATCATAAATACGAAATTACGGTATATATGATATTTTGGGAGAAAACGGTTGACAACAGTGACATTTTGGGCCATTGTCATTATTTGACGGGTAAGGGTTCGGCTTAATAAACGAAACAATAATAATTTTGAATAACTAACCTGTAGCTCCGGTGAACCTCCTTCGTCTCGGATCAACAACAAGTGACTGTGACCGTCCACGGATATCTCTTTTTTGAAACGGCCGCCTTCCGGACTCTCTTCTTGCATGTATGAGCCCGTCAGGTATCTGTGCACCAGGGCCGACTTTCCGGACGACAGCGAACCGACGATGCCTAGCCGCAGGTCCGGAACGGACCGAGACAAAGTCCATTCTTGGCTGTTTACAAACGAATCTGCAAAAACAAAATACCGAAAAATTAGTTTTTTAAAAAAAAAAAACGATTTTGAACACGGACGCATATATGGTACATAATATTGCGTAAGTTAAAGGAAACTATATATTTCGGAAGAGGAGTGGTTAGAGTGGTGGATTTCAACCTTCAAAATCTTCCCTGCGTTCACTGCTGACAAACTATTAATATACACGAATTAGGCGAAATGAAAACCGCATTGCAGTTTCGATAAATATCCAAAAGTTTCAAAAAATAATAGGCATGTTAATTGTGTTTTTATTTACCATTTTCGAATAAATAACCCGTAATGAAAAAAAAAGCCCAATGTCTAATATCTAATCGTACAATCGGTTTTGCATTTTTATTAAAAATGACAATCGAACGCGTCACAATGCACGCACGTGGAATTCCGTGATTAATTAGTAAACGGGGGGGGAAGGTAGGCGATACGCGTATAGATTAAAAATGACCTATACCAAAAGAAAATGGGCGTTTTTATTTCATGAATAGGATATCGAAAAGAAAAATTACAATTATACCCCGTCCTTGATCGAATTATTATACGTTATTATACAAGATGACGTCAGTTTCGAGTTGTCTTTTATATTATATTTACATCGTCTTTGGAAAAACTATAATCAATCAATCATTCCGAATTTCATTTACGGCGACGGCCGCGGCACCTGTCACCTGTTCTATAGAACCAATACTATCGCCGACGCCACAGCTAGTATACAATAATATTCGATGAAAACACGACACGTGTTTTTTTTTTCATATCAAACTAGCATTATACCTATGTTTAAAGCGCCCGCAAGCAAGTTGAAAAAAAATAATAATCATCGACGATGGGGTTGTATTTAATAATAAACACAATATTTGGAAGTATACCTACATGTATAGGTACTTATTAGGTAAATATATATAATACACAATACAACACACAAAATGCTATTGGGAAAATTATATATTATACGAAGCTTATAATAATAATAATAATAAAAATAAAAAACCTCGTCGAACTACGAGGGCATTCTATGTATAATGATACACAGAATAAACAGCCAGTATAATATATATAATACATTAAAAAGTAATCAATTTTTTTTTCTTTTACCATCAATCAGAGTAATTAATTTCAAAGTTTTCGAGGGAAAAAAAAAACCCTCATCATACTTAATACATTATATTATATTATTGTATTGCGTATAACAATATCAGTATTTGCGTCTTGGAAAAAGTGGAATTTTTTTTTTATACGAGCAGGTAAAAACAGTATTGTCGAAACAATCGTTACACAGTTCCTATATAAGTATCAAATATTATTATAACGTGCTTAGAATATATAGTCAGTATTGAGTACTTCCAAAAAAAATTATTTTTAAAATACTCCGAATACTTAAGAGGAATGCTACTCAATAAATACACATTTTGAGCTTATTTTTCGAATCGCTAACAGAAAACGATAAAATTATCATTTTCTTAAATACAAATGTTTACTATGTTTTCAGCACTTAGTTTAAACACTCCTATTTTTTTTTTTACAAAGCATTTATATTATATTATTGAACGATTCAATTGTTTTCGGATCACAAAAATTAGAATAGTAGAGTAAGAGTAATATTATATTGCGTTTATGTGCAATTTTACGTTTATCTTTACTCTCCCCCCCCTCCCCGTTAGAAAATTGGCCGAACCTCTTTTTTTTTTAAAAAACTATGCGTTTTAAATTGTTCGAAAAATTTTAAATAAAACTATATGTTTTCATAAATTATTTAGATGATTATCACTTAGGCTATTTTTTAGATTAAAAGTATAAAAAAGTAGGACTAAAAATCTGATGTAAAAAAGGCAAACCGTATGTGTTAAATTTAGTTAGTCAGTCTTGAAATATTTCGCGTTGGACATCCTAAACTTGTAAAAGCATAATTTGGAAAATAATAATATACACTATGATGGCACGTCCCAAATTCGCCTATCTAAATAAATGACTTTCTAAGTTTTGATTTACTAAGTTTTGTCACGTTTCCTTCGTATTACTAAAAAAATACGGCTGTATACAGAGTGATCAATTTATCACGAACCAGTCATTTTCTCGGGGGAATTGTTAGTGAATTTGATTTCCGTTTTATTCGCAATTCTTAGGGAATCGCTTAAGCTTTATTTTAACACTGTTTTAAATTTTTACCCCTACTCCGTGTAGTTTAAATGAGTGTATGTTTTAGATTTTCAAATAACAACGCTTCTTTTGAACACATAATATTAGTATAGAATTTACCGTTTATGAGTGATTAGATTGGACCGGAGAAGTAGGGAGGAAGTATGCATTTATCATCTAAAAATGGGTATGCCATTTATTCTTTCAGTAGTAAAGGTTTGCATTTTAATTTGTTATAGCTCATAAACGGCAAATCCGATATTAGTGTTATACATATACAAACATTTTTAGAAAAAAATTCTTTATTCGAATCTGTGTTCAACAAGGAGGTTCCTGTTTGAAAATCCAAGGTGTACACTGTACACTCGTTTAAGATATCCGGAGTAGGGGTGAACAGTTAAAATAAAGTTTAAACGATTTCATAATGATTATAAAAGAAAAAAAAAAGAACAGAAAAATTCACTTGAAATCACCCAAGGAAATTGCGGGTTCGTGATATACTGATCGCTCTGTACACGTAGTGTTATTAATTTACACATGATAATCGACATGATGTGATATTCTATTACATCGGACGACGACGGTTTTCGATAAAATATAATGCGTTGATAAATATTTAACCACGACGTAATTGGAGGCGAACCCGTTGTACACAATATTGTTATTATCATTTAGACGACAGGGCACGAGGCAAAACGATTATTTTGTTACGGAATATCAATTAAATAAATAATAATTATCGGTCGGCGGCGATTGAAATATCCAGGGCGTTTGTTTTATGCACGAATAATTTTCTATGAAGGACAGACATTAAATTAATATTACAGCTCGTTCACGCTATAAAGTAGGTTGATTCACCTGATGTTTAGATATCGGACGGACTATAATATTACCTTACCTTCCGAAATTCGATTGAACGATCTGTTGAAAGGTTGTCGGATACCAAAGTGTTTTGAATGGCGTTGGATAACGGAACACGATTATGATAATATGATTATCATTACAATATTTTTGTCTATATTATCGAGTGTAACAAGCGTCTGATCCGTGACATAAATTTAAATCGCGACCGATAAGAACTGATAAGAAATATCAATCAGAAAAATCGGTAATATTCAGACGGTGGATCTAATGGGAATTTAGATCATAGAATTTTATCATTTTGATAGAACATTGCTGAATTTCGGAATACACACGTTTTGAAATAATCTGCAAAATTTAAACAGTCACGTTGCGCTAGATAAAACGTTCAAAACGACGATATAGGTTCTATTATCATTATATTATCTTAGCCAGCGTCAGGTTTATCTACAAGCGGAACAAGCAGGCGCTCGGAGCGGCAAAATTTTAAGAGTGTCAAATTTGCCATTCATAAAAAATTAATTAACTTTTATTTTTTTTACCACAAACGGGTCTCTGAAAGACCAAAAAACTCCGCTTACACCAATGATTTTAAATACTTTTTTTTGTGAATTGACGTAAAACATAAATTGTTCTTTTATGTTGATGAGAAAAAATCTCTGAAATAATAAGAGAAAATATTGTACCTATACCTACCTAAGAATTTTAAATTATCAAAAACGTGTCAATTCAACTACAAATTTAAATTATTCTAATAGAGTTCTAAAACAAATTTGTTTTCGTTAATTTGGAGGTCTATTTAGTAAAATTGATAGGTCAGTACGTTAAAATGTTTTCCACTTAAACGTTTTGATTTTGTAATATAACGATATTCAAAATATTATATATTTAAACATTTCGTTCCCTTCACGTTTTTATTAATTGTTATTTAAACTAAACATGTTTTATTCCTGCCTACATTTCATAATATATTTATAAATATATTTTTCTTTCCTAGCAATTCTATCGTATATAATATGTATAATAATCAATACATTATACTGTATGCGTGTAAATAAGCCGTTAAAAAATGTACAAACGTAACAGAAAAAAAAAAGCGCGCGAAAAGGTTTTAGTTTTTTTTTTTTTTTTTTTAATGAGCAGGATATACACGTGTGCGGACGGATCGACTGCCGACTCGCGCGGTTTTTCTGCCTTTTGAAACGCAAAATTAATACCGAATCGAAATCTTTTTACGATTATTGTTTTTTTCCACTATTTCGCGCGCATAAAAAATAATGGTCGTATATATATTGCATAGATACAATAAAGCACGAGGGAATATAGTACGCCGCAGCAGTGGGCGGAACCGAGAAGCCGGTATACATATTATAATAAATAATACGTTCATTGTATTTAAAACGTTTTTCTTTCTTTTTTTTTTGTACATATATATTTATTACTCATACCCATCTCTGTAAAACGCCGTGTGATACCATATTATTATATAGGTACTCGGTCGCGCCACAGAGAGCGAACCGTCGTCGACCGGTTTTATCAAAATCGTTTACGCCGGTTCACAGCGCCAACGCTTTTTTTCTCTATACGATCCACCGGTCCAGCACGCGATCAAAACGACAAAACCCGAGCACGGACGACGATTTCAACCCGCCCCTACCCTACCCACCCCCTCCTCTAACTACGGGTGCGCAGGTTTACGATACTTACAAACATATTATTACAACGTCGAATACGGTATTCGGTTTACGACTCTCGTGTACATGAACACGATTACCACACCGCAACAATAACACAACGACTCGACTGCGCGAACGGTTTTTTCTTGAAAAAAAAAAATTCAAAAAGGTACGTTTAACTAAATTACTATATATGTATATATATATTAGTGCCCCGGGAGCGTATTTACAGACCGCATATGAGTTCCGAGCGAAATAATATCATGTAAACGCGTAAAATACGCAACACGTATTTATTGAGTGTACATTGGGGACATTATCGGAACGGTATCACATTTAGACCAAGATGCAGTGTTACATTTTGCGAAATTCCCGTACAAAACCAATTGAAACCGAGTTGGTTACGTTTCGGCTCTGGCCGAACTCGGACGCGGTTTGAAGTGTAAATACACACCCGGGGTGATTTCGGGGTTTCAAAACCCTAACCAAACATCCGACCGAAACGAGTATTGGATATTTGTCCGACCGCACCCCGACAAACTGAAACGGTTTCCCCCCCCCCTTTTTTTATTCGGAGTACCTATGACGATCGACCGGTAAAAGTTAACCAACTTATAGTGTACCTAATATATTTGTAATTTTTACATTCTATATACGAATTTTACAAAAGAAATTCTGTCGGTTGAACAAAACACATCGACCAACGCGCGAAAGCACATGTGCGCAAACCGTCTTCACGTAAAACGAACGATAAGGTCTTTAAAATCGATTTTAGGGATAAAAAAAAAAACACATAGACAACGACATTATAAAGACAACTTTTCGAATGCGTTTTTTTTAAAAATATTGATTATTATAAAAAGTTACAGTTATTTAAATAAAATTTAAACGAATAATGATATGTAAAACACGACTTTTTGTACCTTCGATAACGAGTGCTAATATGAATATTTAGAGAATTTAGATTTAGAGAATTCGAAAACACCGACAAAGAGACAACGTAAATGCCATAAGGGCAAAAAAAAAAAGTTTCGTTTTATGATCATATATTCGAACGGAAATCTGGCCTCCTTATCGTATATCATAATATACGCATCGGATTGTATTGATATAATAAGGGATACATAAAAACGCGTCATGCCGCGTTATTGCAGTACATATAAAACTATATAATGCATACAACGATATTATTGTTATTATCGAATACAATTTCGAGAAAAAAAAAGAAAAAACGTTTTCGTCAGACATACACGCGAGTATTACCATACGTGGCGTACGCAAATATATCATAGGCAGAAACACGCCGGGGAGATTTCGAGTCGGCGGGAAAATCGTGCCTATTTGCTCGCGAATAACTATATACGAACGTACTATTCTATCTGCAATCACCATCCGGTATAGACCGGAATATTCAAAAGAATCGATCGAATGGGGTAAAATTATAATAACATATAATGGGTATATTGAAAAAAAAAAAAAAAAATGGATTTATCGTACGTAGGTAGACAATACTATTATACAAGCGACGGATCGAAGAGACGCGCGTATCGAAAAACCCGTCCGTTTTTCTACTATGGACACACGACAATAATAATATACGAAATTCGAGTAAATTTTTTCAAATACGTACATGTAAAAAAAAAAAAAAAAAATATTACGTAAATATTACATTTCTAAACGTATACACAAAATCGCCATAGTTTATGCGTTTTCCGACGAGACCCGTTTTACGCGCGAGTATTGTTTTTATGTGTACACGACGATGTCGTAACACGCGCCATTGTCAAAGTCGCGTTTTCCCACACAAACATCAGACACTGCAGCAAACCATTGCCAAGCACATTGCGAAACTCGTATATATTGGATGACGGAGTGGATAGAATTTCGTACCCGGTATTATATATTATTATTATGTATCGCAAAAGATTCCGGTAAAACATGCTTGATGAATGTTAAGTAGGGCATACAGAACTTCCAGCATTTGCATATCTATTTGTTTTGTGCAGCCGTGAAAAAAAAAAAGAAAAGGGAAAAAGGCCGGTTAGAAAGAAATTTGTTTTCGCGTTACGACAAAGCCAAATTTGCAAGTTTATCATTATAGTGTTGAATATTTAGGCCTGTTTTTGATTTTTGATACATCTCGAGGTTTTTTTTTTGCTTTTTTTTCTTGTACACAATTTCTTAAGAATAATATTTATCGCGTTGCGGCCAAATATATTATAATATATTAATGACGGAGAGAAACGCGCAGCTGGTCTCGTAGATAATAGTATTATGCAGGCCGAGATTTATAGAAATATTACGATAATGTGCTCTCTGAATATATTTCAAACAAAAGTGAAACAGAAAAAAAATAAAACGTATACAGACGAAAAATTATTGTTTTTTTTTTTATTTCTTAAACCATATTAATATTATCTTTCAACCAGTGAAAAAAAAAAAAATATATATATACGTATAAAACGCGCGCATAATGGTTATTTTAAACGAGAAAAATAATACGAATTATAAGAGATCAAGTACAATTATTATTATAACGACGACTCGGGTCAAAATGAAAAAATAAAAACTAAACAAATAAATAAACACTGAGAGAAAGGATTAATTAATGGCGATAGTGCTGTATAACAGTAACTATATAATATCTCAGATCGTTCCGTATAAAATATATACGAACTATACCAAGAGGGTTAAAATTATAATTAGAAACCCGAGGCGTCCACAGACCGTATAATATTATAATAAATCTGATTATGATTATAATTATTATATTTCGCAATACACTAAAATACGTTTTGTGATCGTTGCCAGGTTTATGTAATGATAAATTAACTTAATTATTTATCGTAATGTTTTACGATTTTTAAATACTGTATTTATATTATAACGTTTAATTTTCTATTTTATACGTATTATATTATATAGGGACTAGAAAAAACATTTAGAAGATATACCGCGATATAGGCGTGCGATTATTATACGGATTTATTCCTCCAGCGGTGTCCTCAAACATATTCTCACCGATCACGTCGATAGTCGGGGAAATCGCGGTCTACCAGATCTCACCCGCTCATAGAAGAACTCTCGCCGAGTCACTTACAGTGGGCGGACACAGCTATCGACTTTGTCACCGGCTCCAATAATTTACCAAACAAAATATAATTCCACCTTATTACTTATTGTATACTGTTTATTTTAATTTTGCGATATGTTTAGTCCGCCATTTCTTTGTAATCTTGCGTAACCATTAAACCATAATATTATATCTAACATTGATTATTCCCTACGGGCCGTGTTGTTGAGGGTTAGATTATACCTAATAATAATAATTATGCAAAATTATTATACGGATGTGAAACGTTACGGACTACGGCGAGCACAATCGAAAAGAGAAAACTGTTATAGAAGCATTTGAAATACGGCGTTACCATACGTGAAACGCTCAAGTGCTTTCGCAGTGTGACTGAGTGGTTTTAAGGGGGAATCGAGTAAAAAACTAAATAACTTTGAAAAATTATCGAGAATTGAAGGAATCACTGATATGATATAAGCCCCGTCCTGCTATACTAGCCCGTGTGTTGAAGGATAGAAGGCTGAGACCAAGGAATACATTATAAATACCGCAAACGGCTTAGGAACGGGGGAGCGAAAATTTATTATCGCTATCGAGAGTCGAATATAAGATTTGAGTTTTGAGACGGAGAAACGGACTCGTTATATTTTATTTCTTTTTTGAATATCCCGCGCGGAGAATTCATTGGACGAAAAACTCGCGACGAATTTATATTGGTTGTAAATAATATAATATATTGGTTTTTTTTCTCTCTTTGGACACGGTCCTTTTTCGCGGGTTTGCGCGACACGTTTCCCCCGAAGCGTCGAAACCTTTTTTTAGCGCACCCGTCGTCATTACCGGTCCCGCAGACGATTTTTTTTACTATTATTGTCATTGTTATTGTTATTAAACACGTGATAACACGACACGTGCGGTTTCCCGGGTACGGCGGGCGTCTGCGGCAAAACGGTACCACTGCCTCGCGAAATCGATCGCCGGTGTTTTACGGCTGCCCGAAATATAACGGCGTCTAAACAGCCCGCACACACCCCGCGGGAGCGAAACACGATGAAAGGCTTCCCGATATCATCGTCGTAATAATAATAATAATAATAATAGACTACAATATTATCAACCTATTACGACGTGTATCAAGAGTATCGTTTACCGCATTCAATAATAATAATAATCGACGCGATTATCCGGTCATCGTGGTATCCGGTCGTCCGGTCATAATATTATAACATATAATGTATCGATTCGTAACCGCGTTAAACTTAAATAGGGACGTTGTCGATTTTTAAGCGCCCCTCTCTCTCGAGGTCTTACCCGGGGATGATTTGAGGGATTAACCAACCCCCTCTACTCTTTATGAATTTGTTTTTTTTTACGGTTCTATTATATTAAAATTTAAATATTTCCCCCCATCAAATATGATTTTTTTTTACACCTGGATCTTTTTCTAGATAGTAATTACTACACATAATATACTATATACGTGACTGGGTTGTACCTATACTCTTATAATTAGGTAGGTATATTAAACATATATGCAAAGCGTTTGAAAATAAAACAACTGACAAGTGATATAATATTGATATTGTTAATTTTATTTCGGGTTTTTGCACCGAGATGGGCACCCGATATAGTTTTAAAAAGCTTTGACACCCCAGGGCAAATGTCTTCGTTTTCCCCATATCAACACGGCCTTGTATATTAAACAACGACTATACGTCTATATTGGATATTGCGGATTATCCGATAGCAATAAAGACCAGAGTGTGATAAGGACAAGGGTGATAATTTTAGACCATCATCAAGATTTATGGATAAAAATCCAGATAAAATTGTAGGAATTGTGTAGGACAGATTTCAATTTTGGTTCATTAGATTCGGTACTAGGCCATGTCGGAAATAGAAATTTAATTATTTTAAGTCATGAAAAAAAAAAATGTTATTTGACTTTTGAAATTTTCAAAAATGTACCAATTATGCTTAAAATGGGTATCAGCAAGTAGAATACTGACAAAAACCTTATCGCTAAGATTTCCATTAGAATGTAAAAATAATGTTCAAATTTAACAATCAAGGGGGTCACCGATCTCCTTAACGGCCAAGAAACGATAAGGTATTACCATCACAGCTGATATTACGGCTACCGTATGGTTTCAAACAAAAACGTTTCAGTATGATATGGCTACAATTAGAAATTAAGTTTATTTTATCATACAGCTTTGCCATATAAATCTATAGCAGATCACTCCTTGAGTATAAATTAGTGAGACATCATGAGATAGGCAAAATGGGATGAATATCCTGGAAATGAAAAAGAAATATTTCGTAGTTTCCCCCTTGAAAAGCATCGATTCATCGTAAATTCTCAAATAATATAGGAAAAAGTATTTTCTTATTCTACTTCATTCTTTGCTAATCAGATGTTTGTCTGATTTTTCCGTTAGGTAAAAGAGTGTAGAAAGCGCAATCTACTATAGTTAACGAGTCTATGAGTCTATTACAGTGTGTTTTTTCTTACAAATTTGTATATTTTCGATTAGTAAAAATCATCAGAAACTTTCATACCGTAATATATCTTAAATGACACGGATTTTATCGGTATGTAATATGTACCTACTCATTCAAATCATTTTCTCATATGAATTATCGGAAAAAAAAAATCATCAATAAATGACCTTTACGGTGGCGGTTTCTGAGTTCCCTCGCGAGAAATGACGACGATGTCTCGTCCGGTTGGTTTATTTCCTGCAGTTTTTAGTCAAACTCGGGTCGACTGTTAAACCAAAAACTATCGGTACACCAGACAATCTTATATATTAAGCGAACAAAATAAAAATGGGTTTCGTCACGCCAGTAGAAAATATTTTATACGCTAAATAGTAATTAATATTACAATCACCTACGTATAATACTGCAATGCGGACGCGTGCACACTGCCCATTTGGGATTTACGGTGAAATCGGATTTCCGCCGCTCCGATGGCGCCGGTCGAAAGGAAGCAAATTTCAAATGTACGTACATGATTATTATTATAATATTATTGTTGTGGATACACAAATCACGATAATATTATGGTGATGTCAAATTTGACAATATTTTAATTTTATATAATGTATGAATCTGTGGCGTAAATGGGAATCAGGGAGATATGGTAGAGAAAAGTGGAGAAATACAAATTATAATTTATCGACTACACATTATACTTTGGGAGTTCTGCAAAAGTAAACTTACTTTTAAATCGATAAAACCAATATTTAACAGTAAATTTAACCTCCAAATTTCATCCCACCCCCTTATTCATGAGCCTGACACGGGAGTTATATTTTAGATTCCGAGTGTTTAGCCACGAAGAAGCTATAATAATGTTTTGGTCTAGACGAGGTTTTTTTTTTCTCGGAACACATTTTTTTGATTAGTAATATACTTCGATTTTTTCACACCATATTACATCCTTAAACGATGCGTTTTTTTTGTTGCCCGGTTATGGTACTTTATTTGAAACATTTTCCCAGAAGCCCAACAGTTTTATAGATATTAAAAACCACAAAAAAACTGTCAACTGTAACGATACATTTTGCAGAATCGGTGTTTGATCGCAATAATTTACTGTTGGCCTAACCCCGTGGGTATGCGAAGTTTGTCCGACGTTTTTAATATCGCATAATGCATGTATGAAATAAATGGGAACAAAGGGACGCACTGTCGTAAAACGTTTTACAATTAAAATGTATACAAAATAAATGTTATAGCTATGTATCAAAGTTTAACGTTTTTTTTTTTTTCTTTAAATAATAATTCATATATAATGACCTGTAACAAAATAAATCGAGACTTTTAAGAGCACTTGTGTTTATAATCAACGGGGTGTAATTATTATGTTTTTAGACGCTATTAACGGCAGTAGCGCGCGTGTGTTTAAAAAAAAAAACATATTTTTACTGTATCATAATATCGTTTGCGACACACGACATGCATGCATATTTAACCCGAATGCATAATATAATAATAAATATAGTATTTTTTTCTTTTTTCGTTATAATTTTCTGAAAATATTCATTGAAATTTTCATTTAAATTTAATGTTACGAATTTGCAACGAGGGTCGATATTTTAAAAATCGTATTAAGGTGGAGTAATACTATATGAAGCGCCTAGAACACAGGGAGTAGGTGTAAAAAATGAATGTTATAAAATATTAGAGTTGAGTGCACAGCTGAACTACAAATTTTCCATTTTATTTCATGGTAAAGAAAAATAAGATCGTAATGTGCTGCGATTTGACACTAAATCGCACTAAAATAGTCTTCAAATATGATAATGCCAAAATAGATTAGAAGTAAATTAGGTACAAGCGTCCACAGCAACTGTTAATACATTTATGTCTCTTTACTGCCAAGTGTCTTTTTTTTATCATTCGACTACAAGAAGAGTGGATCGTATGATAATAAACTATAATAATTATATGATGTACAAAAAAATTAAAACTTGATTTTCTCGAAATTGATAAAATGTCACTTATGTTCTAGGCGCTTCATATAGTATTTATATTACTATAGTAAAAACCGACAACCTTTGAAATATACAACGTGGATAACTATTTATGTATCTATTCAGTTTAAAATTATATTTGATAATATATTGCAATAATTATTATCATGTGAACCATTCGTGTAATATAGCGTTTACTGTGCATAATTATACAAAAAATTAAAATCTTTTGAAAAAAATAGTTCGGCGAACGTTTGCAATTAATATAAATTTGTTCGTACGTTATAATATACGCATTATTATGTAAAAAAAGGTCACGCGGTAAAAGGACTTTGAAGGGTTAACGGATGAGGGTGATACGAAGGCAATGTGGTGGGGCAGGCGATATTTTACTTATATATTATTAAGTATATACAGTGTACACCAATAGTCTTATATTGCCACGCAGAGGGGAAAACTGTCGCCGTCGGCGGCGAGGGAGTACCGGGCATATTATACATACAGGGTGTGCTTACCGGGTAAAGCCCTTTTCCGACCACCCCCTCAGACGAATATATATATATAGTATTATTATTGTTTTTTCCAATGGCTTTTGGATGAGTCATCGTCGTCATTCGCGACTCTCGAGGATCCGTCACGTATAACGGCCGCGGCTGGTTGAATAAACAGAGCATGTAATACGGGGACATGGCAGCGGCGGCGGAGACGCTTTTGTTCTCGGTGAGCAAAAACAATGCCATATGTGTACATTGCACTTTATATACTCATGCAGTGTTTCCCAATACGTGAGTCCGAATTTCGTTTACGAGGGCAAAAAAACCAAAAGTCTACAAGAGACGAAATATTGTTAAATAAGACTATATGGTATAGCGGTAAACACGATAAGTTTAGACACTCTTTAGAAAGTTCTAATTAAAACCTCGATGTGGAGCGAGACGTAACTGTAAAAGCCTATGGGTGGTCCTTACGACAGAGAAAACCGAAATTGAAGCATTTGAATCTGTAGACGTGCAGTGTTGAAAAAGAGCTCTCATAACCTCACGGAAAAAAAAAATATAAGAGACAAAGAGATTCTTAGTAAAATTAACACGCAGAAGTTAATAATATACAAGAACACGCTAATAAGGGAAAATGAGAGGTGAACAGCGCATTTCATAAGGAACGACATTTGGGTAACGAAGGGAAAATTTCAGATGGAAATATATGCGGATAATTTGTTAGATACTCTAGCTTAGTGTAAAGATGAACACCAAGAGTGTTAAATTAACAAATGAAAGATACTCATGGTCCATATTAAATTTCTGTGATAATACGTATTGTATAGTGTTGTATATGTTCGTGGTCATCAGAGAGCATGGCGAGTGGCAGAACTACTTTTTCAGACGAGTCGTTCATTTATTCAGGATTTTTACGTTATTTAAGGTGTAGGGTTGGTAAGAAGGTAGTAAGAATATGATATTATTTTAAATACGCTCGCGAGGCGACGAGTGATACAAGATCGTATATTTTTAAACCGACTAGTCGTAACAATCGTCTATAAATTCGTATATTTTACACGTTATAATATATTATTATTGTGAGTATAGAGTCGGGGGCATACGTTTTGTTGGAGCAAAACCGTCCGAACACAATATACGCTGTTGGAATATTATAATATTATGTTAATACGTTTTCTCGGAAGGTTTTTTTTTCCAATTTTTTTTTTATTTGCGTTCTCGGAGTTTAAAATGCTATATATATTATATAGCTGCTGCTGCAGTATCTGTCGTGCAACAGCAGTGGTGTGATGTTTAGTATTATATTCTTATATTATAGACAGTTTTACGTTTTAGTTAATAATCGACGTCATAACGATCGTAAAAAAAAATATACAAGGTTCATCTCGTAAATAGAGGAGCCGAGAGGAGGAACCTATTAAAACGTTATATTTATACATAATTTATTGGATTTGGTGCACACAACAGGATAAGGTAGGTCAAAAATTGTTTTTAATTGGACGCGGTCTTACGGTTTTATTTTCGTCCTTCGTTTGTCGGCAGATCTAACCTAATATAACCCAACATAACCTATGACCATAACCTAAACGTAATTACCAATTGAACCGCGGTGTGATGGCACAGCCAAGAATGTGTAATTATAATGTGATTTCATCCATTCTTTTCATATCCTCAAATTCGAACTAAACTCATCGGATACGAATCATAATAATATGTGTACGCACATGTATTACTGTTGCTGTGGTAGTGGTGATGGTTGTAGTATACGCGACGATTGAATCAAAAAAACATTACGAGCAGATGAAACAATAATATTACGGTATTGTCGTTATAAGTATGAAGAGTGACGAGATATAATATGAGCATTCCAACACCGCTGCTACGTTATGCAATTCTTGTAAAATATTCGTGTCTACGGGACGATTAATTTTCCATTGCGGGCAACGGTTGTAAATTTGATTTTAAAACCGAATTCACTCGAAAATCTTCGTGTAAAATATATTATAGTAAATCTTACCGAAACCGCATCGCCCCGTAAGTCAAACTTTATGAAAGAATGTTGCCCTCGACAGAATAATAATACCTAATGATAAATTCACATTGATAATAACAATTTGCGTATATGAATACACGTAAACGACATGAACGTGAATATCGGATAACATACAGAATGATAATTTAGTTGTAACCATTTGAACACCGCACTCGCCCGCAACACGAATATAGAAAAAGAACCTTTGGAAGTCTATTCGTTTTATATTTTACATCCTAGCACGTAATAGTTACGTTACACTCGGAATTTGGCGCGTTTACGTTTTATTCTACTTTTCGCCATATTCGGTATGTAGGTAGGTACGATACGATGCTGTGTATACACGCGAACGTTTTTATATTTTATTCAACATTCGACACGAATATGAAATTTTTATTCACTATACTCGCATGCGTTTTTAATTTGTTTTATATACAGGTATATATTATTATATATAAGCATATAATACTCGTTTTTCGGTCAATTTTTCGTCTATATATTATGGATTTTTAATATTATACGAGTACCTATAGCTATATATATATATATACACACACACACACGTGTACTTATTTTAAAGGAGTCTAATGCATTTTTTAAAGGCAGATAATAGATTGTATGCACGTATATTACACACTCGTATAATCGACTATACATTTACATATTTTATGTTAATGTATAACGAGGGAAAATATTTTTTGTTTTTTCGCGTGTGGCATTTACACGGCAACTAAAAGGGTGTACTGGCTAATATAATAATATACGGTCAGACAGTCGGGATTATGATGCCCGAAACAAAAAACAACATTACAACACACGTACCTATATAATATACTTCCTTAAATAATTATGTAATATAGAGGGAAAACACGATTTCAAAGAGTCCGTATATGGTATTTAATTTTGTAAATTATACCGTTTTATAGTTGATTTTATTTTTCGAAATATTTTTTTAACGTATATATTTTTTTTTATCCAGTTTTACGTGACTTATATAATACTACTAGTAAACATCTATAGGTAATACTTTTCTATAGCCTGGATTTAAATGCTCTAAAAATCTATTTTAAACCAAGCTGATACTGCTGATGGGTATATGTCATTGTTTTAGGTGGGAAGTTGGAAAGGAGGATATATAAGGTAATTTAATTTATATTTGAACGTAACGATAGCGGATATGTAACGATAAACGGTACTGAGCAGAGTATTTTAAGTAGTTTATTTTCCCTAATAGACATAGTAACCCATAAATCAATAAAAAATATACAAAACGTTGCCAGTTTTATTAATTTATTAAGAAAACTACAAGGAAAATTAAAAAATGACATCTTCAATGAACAAAAACTAAATCAGAAATGCTACTAAATGCTACTAGGGAGTTCTCATAAAGTTTTTGATTGCATTGACATCGGCCACAACCTTGTATAATAATATTATACTTAAATCCGGAGAAAAAACAATGGGACGTCACTATCTCGTACAATTGAGGTTTTGTTATCTAGCGATCTAATTGCCACCGCGCGCGCGCGCCTCCGTGTCATCGTCCCCGTGGTCGTCGTCGTCGTGAAATCGAGAGGGTCCCGCCAAACGTGTTGTGTGTTTTTTTTTTACACCGTTTCTCTTCATGGCTTTCGGTTTCACTACTGAGCATAAAAAAAATAAATAAAAAAATAAAATAAAAATACGACAGCAGCAACGACGACGTTTAGCCGTCTCCCGCGGTCGAACGGGCAAACATCACAGCGTAATATTATTATTTTTTATATGTTGCGTGAATATGTATAAATGTTTTAAGGTTTCATCGATTTCGTATAAACTTTCATAGTCATTTACACTTTTGTTATATTTCGTTGTTATACATATTTTTACATTATACATGGTGTTTTACGCAAATGGTAACACAAAATATTTCAGTCGGACGGATTTCTATTTCTTTAGGGAGGAATTTGTGGAGATGCACGTTTCGAGCGAATTTTTCTGGATTTTTCGTAAAAGTTTAAAACGCACGGCATAAAAAAGTGAAGTAATTTTAACTACCATTTTGTTTCCCTCCCCCTCCCTCCGATAACAAAAAAATGCATTATGTTGATGAATGTGTAAGAGAAACCCGGGCAATTTTTTAGATGAAATTGAATTGATCAACAAACTGACATCAAAAAAAAAAAAAAACGACTACCTATTCGAATATGAAGCTAAATGGTTGAACTTTTAAAAATAAGCTCAGAATGTGTATTTTGGATAACCGAATTTCCTAAATAAAGAACTCCTTTTTAATCTAACTCTATTCGGCTGAAATATTTCGCGTTACCATTTGAGTAAAACGTATATTGTACCACAATATATGTAGCGAAAAGTACACGACGACGTTTTATTTTTTTTAAAAGGAAAATATACTCTTTTCTTCACCTTCTGAAAAAAAAAGGCGTACACACAACTGGATGATTTCGGAAATATATACACGATCGGAATACTCGAAACCGTTCCGGGAAATTTTTCCGATATTGCGCGACGAGTATAAGGCGTGAAAACTTTGTATTCTTCTGAAAATCGCGTAGCAAACTAATACGATAAAACAAAAACTTTTTCATATATTCTCGCGTTTATTTTTCTTCGGTTTATCGGACTGTTGACTTTTCGTATATACAGATTTATTCACGCGTACACGCGCATTACCCAACATATTATATTGTTGAGTTTTATCATACAATAGAACATAACATACAAAAAAAAAAAAAAACAGTAAAAATTATTTGTTTTTTTATAAAATGAATAATTAGCTCTATATGTTGGGTTACTGATATAAATTAATCTCGACGGTATGCCGATGACGTGCATATAATTAGGTATGTATATTGTAATCATTATAATACCGCATGATGTATTTTTGTCAATAATTTTAAAACACACGTATAAATATGATAACGATGATAAGTATGGGCAATTGATATTTGTACTACGGCTGTCAAATAACGTTATCGTAGTTTTCTAGATGGCATTGAATTCATTATGTTTATATTAACAGTGGTTCTCAACCGGTGCGACATGTTATTTCGGGGTGTGACATGAAATCATTAGGGAAAAAATAAAATAAATAGTGAACAAGTAAAAATATGCGTTTAAGGTTTTACGCCGCGTACAATTAAAAAAAAAAAATTAGTCGATCGTAGTTTTTTATTTTAAAATTCACGGTTTGAAACCTAATAGAAAATTGCAACGCATTATGCATATTTCAATAGTAGGTAGACCGCGGTATTTAATTCTCGTGCTAAGGGTGATAAGTATCAGGGACGTGTTTAGGATTTTCTCTCGAGAAAAAAAGGGGGGGAGCAAATTTAAATCAATTTTTTGATGAGTACTTTACTCATAATGCATAAATAGTAATAATAAATAATGGTGACATTTGGTTTTCTATTATTTTTTCTTTTTTGCGTGTAATTTACAATACAGTCTAATTTCATTTGTTTTAGACATAAATCTCCGAAGTAATTTGTAAATCTCGATAACAATAACAATCAATTCAATCTACTGACTATAATTATGGTAAATATGAATATACAATCGTATAAACAGTAATATTTATCACATGTATCAAGTACATTACGAACTGAAAGTAGTAATATTATAAAATTTTAAATTCTATTATTTGCTAACAAATGAATTAAATAAATAGTAATGTTAACAATATAATATTATTTCAAAACTGAATAATTTGCAGGTACTTACTAATTAATATATTTATACTTATGGCGGCACATACAAATTAAAAAGACCTAGAGGGAGATCTATGCCCAATACTTTCTTCCAACCCTCGAAAATACGTCCTTGACACGAATATAAAACAAAAAGATTAAGAACCACTGCGGTTGATTTGTATACAATAATGCAAAAATCAAACGTTAATGTTCGTTACACAATTTTTTAAAAATGTATAATTTATAATAATAATAGAGACGAATTATTATATTATTGGAGCGTTATGAGTGCTACTATGTTATACATTTATTTGACCGCTTTTTGAAGAGTATCGTTATACGTAAATATACACATAAATTTATAAAGATTACGATTTTCTTCCCGACGACCGTTGACAAAAACACGTTTTTCGATAACGGTCGAATGAAATATACCTACATTATTTTTTATCGTCGTCGAATAGAGTCCTAATTATGTCAACCTGTCCAAATATAATACGCTATACTATAATCGTATATTACACATTATAGTATATGCCGAACACGCGCGGATAAAAAAAACCGACGTATATAACAGGGGCATCGCGACGTTATACATTTGTATAGGGGAGCAGAGTAAAAAAATAAAAGCGAAAAACGCATGTGTGTTCGATACGTAAAAAACGTCTGCAAAAAAAAAAAAACCACAGTCACCGAAACACAAACATATAAAATGATCGAAACGGGTTCGTATTACTCTGCAGTCCCATTGTGCCCGTATGCAATTATTGCGGCGATAATAGAATACGAATATAATATCGCCGTGGTCTTTGGAGAACTCGAACGTACATATGTGACCGGTAGACACCTATATTATATTATATGAATATGTACAAAAAAAGAAAAAAAACCACACCGGAAGTGGGCAGTTTAACGATTCGGCACACGGTGTTCGCGGCAATTACTATTATATTCACAAGGTACCGAGGCGATAGGTTTTTCTCCTATAGATTATTATTCGTGTTGTGCATATGTGTTCCTTTTGAATTTTTACAATTTTCACAACCGTTGCCGCGGTTACGAGGGTTAAAATGCGTGGGGAGAAGAGGCGAAGTACCCCTGTACCCCAGAATACACGTGATTATACATCTGATTGGATATATAAAAGCGCTGCTCCTTAGCGCATCGTTTTTGCTTCGAAGGTACACGGTAGGTACGTTAAAATAATAATAAGTATTACTTTCGAAATTTTATCGTTTTTCGATTACGAACTTTCATGAAGCATTTTTTTTTATCTAATAGTGCATTGGGGCCGGTCGTTTTTTTATTTTTCTCAATAAACAAGAAAAACCAGATTATCTAAAAATTTCGTTACTTTCTGGATTATCGTCCCTGTAACTCGGGGAAAAAATACGACAAATTTAACAATCTGTTCAGAATCATTTTTCGCTAGAGAAGGTTAATCGTCATTACAGATATAAATTAAATTAAATTATTCTATATATTATATCTTTCCTCGCTCCAAATCCCCTACTGAAAAAGTGGCGCGCCCATCAGCGGCATTGGCCTTTAAAAAAAAAAAAATAAAATGTATCATCGGCACTCGATGCGAGAGAACATTCGACAGCCGAACACTTTCGGTACATAAAAACACAATATCCAGCACGCGTCGCAAAAAACCTTTTTGTATAATAAAGCGTGTCAAATTAAAAAAAAAAAAAACACGTCGATCGGATTTTCAATTCGATAACCCTTATTTATTATTTATTTTTTTATTTCATTAACTGCTGTTATATATACAATCGCGTATAGCCTTTTTTGTCACTTTTAAGCACGCGTTCTGTTCGGCTATTGGCCCGAACGAAAAAATATGTTACCGGGGTTATAGCTGTTCGATAAGTGCGGTTATTTCGGAATAACCATACGGCGGCGGTGTCCCGTCGGAACAGCATAAAATATAAATACTATACGTGTTTGGCGAACACAACAAAGAGATAAAATCGCGCGTATTCCACGCATATACACACGTGTGTGAAACGCCACGAAATATATTATGTGACAATGATATACGGCCATCTGTATTTTGTGTTTACGTGCTGTAAATATACAAAAAGAAGAAAAAAAACGCCAGGAGGAAACGTTCGGAAAAAAAAATAAGCTTTTGAATGATATACGATAAAACTACTAATAATAATAGACCAACTGTTTTTTTTTTTTTTTTTTTTTTTACTGCGTTATGTTATAACGGAAGTTGTATACGGATACTTTAAGGGGCATGCGCGCGACCTGTCTTTTTTGCTCAAAAACATGTTTTACAGGAAAAGTTTCGTGCGTCACAGAGTGAACCGATTTCCAAAGTCTTATTTTTTATTGAATTGATGAAGACTTCATACTGCAAGGCACATAATTACAACAATTCGAATACAAACGATATTTTGGTCTCTTTTAAGAAAAACAAATAACTATTGCGGTGTTATCGAAACACAAAACACAATCGATTTCACGAAATTAAATAACTATAAATTGTTTAGTTGGCCGTAGTGCACTTGATGAGTTTCCTGCAGTGCCATTCACGGCGTAGCTGAAGGTACCTTTGCAATCACCATTTTGTGCCTACACGCGATTTGTGACAGGGGTTCACCTCTCTACCTAATATTACGACAACTTCCCTAATTCAAACTTTGTAATTCGATTAAATTCCATTAATAATTTAAATAAATTCCAGAAACAAATGACACAATACTACTTACCCTCGTCCTTCTTATACGGAATAATTGATTTTAAAGGTTAACTCAATTGCCGGGTTGAAATAACAATATCCACGAGAAAAAAACTCTTGTGACGATTATGATATTTATTTATTTCTATTTTATGTACTCAGAAGATCAGTTTTAGAGTAAAGTTAACATTTTAAACGTATTTTATTCACAGCGTGATAAGGAAAAATAAGTAATAATTTCAGTAAAATTTGAACACTTCGAGATTTAAATTTGTTTTTTTTAACGGCCATTTATGGAATTTCTCAATTTCGTTGCCCTAAAGTTTGGGAAAAATTAAACGCTCGAAAACGTGAAACGGTATTCATTTATTGTTCTATAGTAATAAAATACTTCTACCCCTACTTGGAATATATTTTCTATTTTTCACCTATAAAGCTGAAAAAGCATTAAAACTTGTATTATTGCGTATACTAACTCTATGTGTTTTTCGTTTTATACGATATAATAATATTATAATCCTCCTTCCGAGACGACGGTGACGCCAAGTCGCGATAAAAGGGGAGGGTGGCACGCACGCGATTTAACATAGACTGTTGGCGCCTAGATTCTTCGATACGATTACATATTACGTACATTATCCCCCTTATAATTTCATCACGCGAACCAGTATTTTTAAAATAATAATAATAATAATAATAAAAATGAAAAATACACGGAATTTTCCATTATAAAAATATATATATATTTTGTAATATGCATACGATCGTGATGTTATAATACTAAAACATTATTACAAAGGTAGCTACCGAGAAGTAAAAAAAAAAAAGCATTATTATTATTCCGATTGTTTAAACACAAGCCGTTTAGTCGTTGCGAAAACACGTTCCGGGGATGATCTGGGATTCTATAATATACTATATAAAAAATATTGTTTTTCATATAAATATTGACTTTGTATATTATTATTATGCATTGAACAACACCTATTTATAATACACGAAAGTTACTCGATATTAATTCCATGCGTAAAAGAAATTTAAACAAGGGATGTATATTTTTTAAAGATGTAAAATTATATTTAATGCAAAACAAAAGAACCGGACATATTTCGTGCCACGGGTAGGCCACTGTTGTAGAATACAAGTACTCGGATAGGGAAATATAACGAAGACGACGATTTGATTATTCATCAAAAAGGATTCTGAGTGGAGCTCCAGAAACCGTATTAAAAGGCCATGACTGCATGTAATTAACTACATAAAACCGTAAAAAAAATATGCATTCAAAATCTCTACAAATTTAGAATAAAATGCAATTAAAGTATCAAAATATGTACTTAATAAAAAAGCTATGTTTTACCGCAGTCAGTTAAAAAAATGCACATTCATACAAATTCAGAGCTCTAGTTCATTATAATATTGAAAATGTTTTTTCCTCCTAGCAGTGAATAATGTAATTAGGATATCTATGAAAAAAAAACCTAGATGTATTAGTTTTGTTTTATTATTAATTCTTTTGAAAAACTGTTCGAAATCTACAGAAATTATTTTCAAATAAAGTACACAGCCGAACGAAAGTTTAAATCTTTTAATGTACAACGTAAACAGCAATTTTGTATATTTTTATGTTTACCGAAAAAAAAACTAATTTTATTAAAACTATATAATAGCTTCTTCGAATATATTTCTCAGAATCTAAAATAAACGTATACCTATATAAACAGTTTGAAAATGTGTAGAAGATATAGCAGATGAGTGCACGCGCGTCCGGTAACACCGTTCTGCAACCATCGAATTAGCTTTAAATTTAATTTCAAATACCTATATACCCCGCAATAACGCCGAAATTTCTTTCCTCCTACATAGGTGGTACCTGTAAAACCTGGAATACTGCACGTGTATTATACATATATATTTTTTCTCCCGAGTTATTAACCCGACTAACCTTGTTGGCTTACAACAACTATGATAGTAATAATTTGGTGATTTTATTTTGAAATCATATTATATATTTCAACCAAATTTTACATGGCAAAGAAAAGCTTGATTAAATAAATAAACATTTTTAGATCTAGCTTTTAAATTCTTATTGTCGGATTTTAGGTAGATATATAACAGAAGCAGACTCTACGAATTATTCAAAAATCATGATTATTATGGCGAGTGTCAAAATTAAGTTCATTAATCATAATATAAAAAAAAACAACGCATACATATGTAAAAGAAGTACGATACTTCAATTCTTTAGGAAGTTAAAAAACAGAAGACGAACGAAGTAAAGCGGACATAGTTATCAGGATGGTATAAGAAAAGAAGGTTTTTCAGGATAAAAAAAAATCATCTACGGACCACTAACAGCGTGACCTTACTAATAAGGGAAAAGTTCTTCAAAGTATATGTGTGGGACTATATAGCTGTGAAACATGGATAATCGCTACAGAAAATAAAACATAATCAGAGGCTTTTGAAATGTACCGTTATCGAAAAACGCTTAAGACTAAATGGATAGAAAATATAACAAACGAAGAAGTATTGAACAAAATAAAGGAAAAATGAGAACTTTGGCATAGTACCTACATACAAGTTAAAAGAGATATTTAGATGGGGCATCTACTGTGTCACGAAATTTGGACGAAATGCGTCATGAGTTACGCAGAAAGTCATATCGGAAAAGAAAGACCAAGTATGGTGTACGCGAAACAAATTTTGACAGAGATAAAAAAGAATACTAGTTACGAGAAGTTGAATGAATTGAGTTATGAAAGGGAAGCACGGCAAACCACAGAAAACCGATTGAGCGATTAAAGACGAGAAAATGAATATTATTATATTTACTATATGACATACTATGCCATTTAAAATTTTCGAGCACATCACTGCCGAAACACCTATACTTATACACACCGCCTGTCATACATACAATGTGGACTGCGTATCCTATCACATAATATTTTATAAGCAACTATAAGTATTATATATTATAACATATGAAGTATATTAGAATAATTATTTCGAAGCTTCGTCGATGACCCATTTATACTGCAGCGCGTACCATAACACACAATATAGCGGTGTTTTGATAAAGTTCCAACAGGAAGTAAAACGCATATTTACGACGACACATACTATACAGTATTCACAGTAAAATAATAATGGGCGCACACATATACACATATCGTCAAGATCATGAAAACCGACTTGACGTATTATACATAATATTATTATATTTTCAGTATCGTCTATATTTATAATAGTTGGTGTAAAACAACTGAAATTTGCAGTATACTTAATAATATCGTACACATGACTCTCTGACATCGTATCTTGTCAATCTTTATATTATATTACACACACACACACACACATACATATTACATACATATTATTATCATTTTGAAACTATTATTGACGTAATAATAGTATAGTTTGTCGACGTCATTGTATTTATAACATCATGCATCGTGGTCATACAAAACAGAGTTAAATCTAGGGGATATTCACCTTCTCCAGAAAAAAATTGCGGCAGTAGATAAAATATGTTTATTTAATGTACTATTTTACACTAATCGAACGGTTTATCGACTTTGCACGCAAGGTTCGACAAAATGTTGTAATAATAATAATAATAATAACTTATATATAAATTTTAAATTTCGAAAAATGCTCATTTTGAATTTCTCCGGGCAATGTATTACTTTATTTTCTGTATGTAAGTCGACACAAATGCTTTTAATACTCGATAATTCGGTGTTTTTTCATCATTATTGAAACCAGATACTGTTCTCATTCATAAAATATCGTTATTAAACGTGTAAATGAAAAAAAAAAAAACCCCGGAAAATTCAATTTTGAACAAAATATATCGAGATGAGCCTTATTTAAAAATTAAAATTAATTTCATTTTTAACTACTGTATAATATTGTGTACTGGAAATTAGTATAGAATATTGTTATAGGGACGTATTTACGAATAAAAATTAAAATTCCCGGATAGGTACTTTAACTCTGCGCGGCATGTACTCCTATAAATTTCATCGATGGCCGCGTCTGAGAGGGGGCAGCACTTCGCCGTCGTTATCAGACCCGTCACATTTCAGGCAATCTCTCTAAACAATAATAATAATCTCGGCGACACGGAATAGTCCCCAAAAGATACCATCTCGCGTATAAAACCCCTGTATATACCATGTTTCCGGTATGCCTACACGTTATTCGCCAAGGAGATCCCGTAACCATAGTCGTTTCTACCGTCAAATAAACGTAATCCGATCACGTAGTATAATAGGAAAGCCTCCGGTATCCTCGCGCGGGCGCGTTTACCATCTTCCAACACAGTCGTCGGAGTTTGAAATTCCGTCGGCGTATCGGAAACGTTTATTTATTTATTTTTGTTTGTTTTTTTTTTTTAACTTTCCTCCGTCCAACACCTAACGCCACAGTGGCGGACGTTTAATAACCACGAAAAAAAAAAATATCAGGTATAGGTTATGCATTATAGGTCTCGTCCCGTCGTCCCCATAGATCAATATTCCAAAACCGAACACGGCACGACGGTGTCCCGTATACTATAATAATTTCAAACACGCACGCCAAAATAAAAGCATATACGGTTTGTATTTGAAAAAAAAAAAATAAAAATTATAATAATTACAATAAATACACATGCAAATTAAAGACGTTTCAGACTCTTATATACGTGTGTATAAAATATTGTAATATTATGTCCGCGCGCACATCTTGACGGTTTGCCGCCAATAATTCTGTTTGGGGGCCAGTTCATTATTATTATTCTATAGTTATGTATGAAAAAAAAAACACGTTTTTATTGTTATGTAAATTACAATATATTGCCTGGATGGGCAGTTCCACTCGTAATTGGGACGGGCAAACTTTTTTTTCCTCGAAACGATAAAAACGGATATTATATAATAATATATATAAACTTTTTAACACAAAATTTTGTGAAATATATACATATATTTAAATTTATTCTCGTACCATTTGTTGTATTTTCACGTATCTTATTGATTGTTTTTAATTAGTAAAAGTGTACAATATCCAATTTGTTATGTTATACGTTACTATACGTATAATACGCTGTACTAACTCCACAGAGTATAGGTACCTACTTATAATTTATATATTATAAATGTGTGTGTGTGTGTGTGTGTGTGTGTGCATGTGTTTTTAAAAGACAGCGTTTTAAAAATATAAGCACTACGTATAATAAGTGGTTGCACTATACACGCATAATTTTTCTCGTTTTGCTCGGCCCCCGAACAAACGCGAAATATAAAGATTTAAAAATATACATACATATATGCGTAATATTAAATATTATAATAACTACACATCACTGTGACTGCAGTTTATTTACTCTTCCGATGTTTACGTATCGCTTTGTACGTTTATAGTAGTGTTTTTCTTATCAACAGAGTCGTATAATAATTGTTGTTTTTATTTGCATAAGTACTCTTTTTGGAGAGAATATGAAAAAAAAAAACCAAACAAAGGGATGCCGACGATAACGGCGCGGCAAATAACCCGGTTTTCAGTTGAACATTACGACGAGTCTGAGATGAAATCTGTTGCTGGCTCTTTATAAATACGTAAATACGTGTAGGTATAATGATTAGCTAGAGCTGTTAATGCAACGCATTATAAAACCTTTGAGAAAGCATTGAGTTCCAAAAAAAAACACCAGCGAGTAGCTTATTATATCTATTGCGATTCGTATTAGTCAAGGAAGTTTCAACTTTTGACCCCCGTCCCCACCATTTTAATGATAAAATTTTAATATTAGTTCAGAAGTAGTATAATATTATAATTTCAGTATTTTAATATTAAAACATTCGGTTATTTATTGTTTAATAGAAATAATACAAAATAGGTAGGGGAAAATTTGACTCTATACATATATGTATAGTGATTGAGTTAAGTCGCAATTGCTTTTTTTTGAGAATTTAAATGCTTTTTGTTTAAGGGTTTTCAGTACATAAAGTTTACAGCCCTAATAATAATCATTGTAAAAGATTGTAATGTGTATAGAAAAGTGAAAGAAAACAAATTATTATTATTATCATCACTATTTCCGGAGGTAAATATGTATTATTTTTTTATTTTTTTTTTTATATACGTCAACGACGTTGAATTCAATTTGTGTAAAAGGTCTACGCGGGCAATTTAATTTAAAAAGAAGGGAAGGGTCGATCGAAAAATTAGGGATATCATAAATTATAATACTCGATTGTATATGTATAAGAGGTAGGTTGTAGGTATACAGGGAGGACTCGCGACAAAAGATCACAAAAGAGGGGGTCATCCTGTATTATCTACTTATCTTTATAATAATAATAATATTATTCAGTATGGAATTTAGTTAGGGGCCCACCTTTATTTATTATATTATATTTTAAAACAATCAGTATGAGACAATCGTAAGTGTATACTATAATAAGGTATATAAATCAACATTTTACGTTGCCACTAAAAAAAATTACAAATACCCAGCCCTCCAGTAACTACTATCTATAATAATACCTATAATAGTGTATTCTTTAGTGGGTCATTTTTCATTTTGGCGGTCGAAACCACCGCACCGTTGCGGTCACACCACGTGAAAACATCATGACCCAAATGAATTACGAAAAGCAAAATTAATAATAATTATAATATTATGGAAATAACGTTTTAAAGTCAGATTTGTTTTTTAACATGATGTTAAATACAGAACAATGAATATATACAGGGATTTCTTCGGGAGTGGAGGAAGTATAAAAAATTGCAGGTTATTAGAGGGAAGAAATAATATAATATTATGGTTATTATTTTTCTTTGCTCTGCGTACTCGACGCGGCGAAATGTTTTTAAACGTAAACATTATTATATGCAATTATTGTAATAAAAGTACAAAGTAGAAGATGTGCACAAATTATGTAAACACTATATATACATATAAGCCGATTCAAAATCCGCAGAGCTTCAAGTCATTACCTAATGCCCCAGAGAGCGGGCAACATTATTAAAATTGTTATTGAGGATGATTGAAATTATCATAATAATTGTTATATTCGCAGACGAAATTAAATATATTATTATATAATCCGCGGACCTCGAAAAATCACGAAATCTATAGCATGATAATACTATGGTACACAAATATTCCAAATCATAGAACCTTATACAAGTTTTAGATTCTGACCAAAGCGAGGAATACATATTGGTCTTATAATGACGTGTTACTTTTATTTTGTGTGGTTTATCTTTTCCAACCAAAAATATTAAAGAACTTTATTTTCGTGTCATTTTTGTACTCTTGTTTGTGCATTGGCGGAGGTAATTTTTTTAGATTTTCCAAGTAGTTTTCGAAATCATTTGGGAAATCTTACAGTTGTGTTTTTGTATAAATATTGTCAATTTCCGGGTCGGCCTTGCAAGAAGGGACAAATACGATAATGCCCAGAATAGATTTTCGTTAGCGATGGTTAACCGTTGCGCACAGATATTTGTATCAATTAAATTACACTATGCGATGGCGTATCTAGGAGGGGTTAGGGGTTGTAACCCCCCTAAAATGTCTTTGAAAAAAAAAAATACTAATAGTTTGAAAAAAGAATATAGTGTTATTACACTTAACAGTTTACACAAATAATACAAATTTATAGTAAATAAATCCAGTCCAGTGTAGTGTGTATATTATAATAATAGGTAGATCTATGATTATTGCTTTTGGTTATACAAAAAGACAAAGTATTTTGCGATTGTCAATAGAAGCAGTATAATCACAGACAAATTGTTTTAAACTAAAAAATCTATATGCAACTCGATGGGTCAATCGCCATGATGCATTTATATTATTTGAAGAACTTCAACCAACCATTTTACATGCGCTAGATAAAATTACATTTTGGACAAATTCTGACACATCTAGTTCTGAAAGTCATCTTCTTACTGCGATAAAACAGTTAAAATTTCGAACAGTTATATCTATTTTAGTGAAAATATTTTCCATGAGTTTTTCACTTAGAAGTTGCTAATATTTAAAATAATATTCAGGATATTAGAGAAAATTGTGATGCAGAGTTTTAACAGTTATTTTTATCTGTAATAACAGTCTATGAAAAATTTGATGTTACTGTTAGTTTGCCACGTCAATCTAAAGCAGATGATATTTTTTTAAGTATTCATACCTTTTATAGATAATTGTTTAGACCGAAATATCGTTATTCGTTATTGAACGAAATATTTATATCGCACAGAATTATTTTGAATAATTTTGATTGTATTTTACCTAAGATAGAAACGAAAATACCTTTAGATATTAAAGGTAAATTCAGATAATTAGTAAAAACAAATCAAGGTATAATTAATGAATGTAACGATTAAAATTGAAATGATCATACATTAAACGGAGAATAAGATTTGTGGTACACTAAATATTCAAATTTAATATCTTGCAAACTCAAGAACAAAAATACTATTGAAGTATACTTCCAAACTAGTCCAGATGTTTATCCAGTAATATCTAAACTTCTTCAAATATTTCTATGGGAGAACGATAGTTTTCAATACTCCGTCGTTTGAAAAATTCTTCAGGACAAATACGTTTAAATGGTTTAGCTTAACTAAAATATATTCATCGCGATATCAACGTGGTTATTAATGATATTATAAATGAACTTGCTAAAACATGAAAACATAAAATGAATACACATTTATAAATTTTAAAAAAGATAAATATTTCAACTTTTATATAATTAGCGCTGTAAAATAGTTATAAAATGTTTAATGTATGATTATAATATACAAAAAATTCAAAACTATTTCATTTGTTACAAATTCTCGATACACCATTGACTCTATGTATCCTCCAAATTTCCAAATTCCTCCCCCTAAAACAGTGGCACACCTATCAGAAGGGTGAGCCTTTTTGTTTAGGTATACATGTCAATATAATATAGAAATACAATTTTGTTTTACGATAGACCGTATATTATAACTGCTGCAGAAAGACGTTTTATTTTCTGTATATTGAAATTTGTGCGGTACTCATCCGTAATCTGATCGGACAAGTTACACCGATACAGGTAACCAATATCGCGGTAACTGATATAGCTGCTTTATAGACACGACGATTTTGGTACAACGTTCGTACGAAAACTCACGGTGTCTTTTGTATAATTTTATCATAAATCGTCGTTACGCGTGAAATCCGAAAGACACCTTCGAGAATAATTACTTAAGAATAGTTACAGTACACGGGGAAATCGATTATTACCTGTACTGTTAAAAAAAAAAAAGAATTATATCCGACATTGGGGAAATGTTCGGAAATTTTCACTCGGTTGAGTATATATATATCGCTATTGTTGGTGTACACATAAATTATTATGGTGGTACCTACGTAGGTATGATTTACACAAAATACGCCTACAAAAATCGATAATTTCTATACCTACGTATAGTAATTCTTAGCCAATGGTATATGGCGCTAAAAAAGTATGAAATACGTACGCATTTATCTACAATTATTGCACAGTTGAAAAACAAGCGACATAATACAATAGGCGGGCGAAATAAAAAAATACGTTCTTGTCAATTAAATTAAATCGATGTTTAAGGATTGAACTGTATATACTAGTACGCATTGGACGCCGACCAATAATGTCAAATCGTCGACTCATTCACGCCAAGATTCGACAAATTTGTGTCTCGCCTAATTATCGAATAAATTATTATATCGGCCACTACGAAACGGGCGAACCGACAATATTTACACGATTTCTGGCGGAAACTGTTTTATTGTATACGCATATTTATACCTGATTTTCGTTTTTCCGCTATGACCAGCGATTTAGAACGTTTCACTCGGAGCGACCGGCGTTTCAGCGATCTCAAAAACGACTCGTGCACCCTGAGCACGGCGCCTCTGCTTGGCGGCGGTCCCATTTCGGTTTTCGGGTCCGACGAAGTGGTCACCCATTTCGTAGCGGCACTCAACATCGTGTTTCGGACGCACGGCGGCGGCGATAAAAACACTACGCGGATACGCGGACAATACGGTAATGAAAAAAAGTAAAACGAGTAAAAAATTAACAGAAAACGTGATCGCGAACGATTCGCACGACGTACATGCGGATTTCGGCGATAGAGGCGGCGGCGAAACACGTCTGACGACGCGGCGCGAACACGACGGAGTGGTGCGACGACTACGAGAGCGAGAGCCCGACCGTGTCATGTGGCCGCGAGTAGGGTCACGATTCTTTTACACACCGTGAGCGCGGCGGGGCTACAGTGGCGGCGTACCCGACGGCGATACCGGGCAACAGATGTTCCGGTCGGCACGGGCGCATGCGCCTTGAAAAAAGATCCGTATAGCGCGGATATCGTAGTCGCGGTTTTCGGAAGAGGGAAGAAATGACAAAATGAAAAAAAAAATTTGAGAAAAAAAAAATGCCGGGAAAAAATAGAACAATAATATTATGCGCGAGCTAGCGACACCGTTTCTGCGGTGGGCACAAAGGTTTATTATATATTATTTTCTGCACAAAACGAAAATATATTTCTATTTAATTGAGTAATGAACCATGGGAAAAAAAAAGTCCCGGACAGCACTATTATACTATTACGCGTATATATACCCGCGCCGCTTCTTCTCCTCTGCCGCGTTAGTTTTTTGTTTAGGTGTATATATACGATGGGAGTCGAACATCAAAACGACAAAAAAATGACGTTGGTCTTTTCATTAAAAGGCACTAAATCAACCCCTATTTTTATACGAGACGAAACGGTATATAGCGGTAACCCTCTAGTTGTTTTAAAAAAAAAAAAACCAACGCAAATCCCGTTGTTAATTTACACGACTGGACCGACTCAATAATATTCGTCTAATAATAATATATATCTAAGGAGATATTTTCGTTTTCGCAATCTGACGTGAACAGAAAAAATTATTGCAAAATCATCAGACTCTGGACCGTATTATGACGTTTGTAGTCCTATAAATGAATTATAATAAAAAGAAAAAAGAAAGGGGGAAATACAATATTTTCCCGTATTGTACTTATATATTCATGTAATTATTTAGGACATTTTATTATATCGAACACCGGTGTATTGTATTGAAACAACGCGCACCAATACACAAAAGGGACGTCTCTCTGTGCCATTTAAGACCAAAACAACGGTGACGATTCCGATGTATTATTCATCATCGATCGCGATTAAAAATTATAGCTCCTAAATAATATTATAACTTCGTTCGTACGAATATCGTATTATTATTATTATGAGCGAGTAGTTTGTATACGAGGATAAATTCAACGCATATTCGTATAATATATGTATATTGTATACAGTGTGATTATTTTGTTACGAATCAACGATTGTCTTATAGACACGAAGATTTCGAGTAAAACCCGATTTTTCTTTTCTTTTCGGAGACCCAATATTAATTCCCACTCGTTGACGGTAATTTGTTTTTTTTTTTTTTTGTATATTTAGAAATTCAATAAGCTTTTTATAAATAAACATGTAGTTCAATTTCTGTATTGAAAAATGATTCGATTCTGTTCTATACGTTTTCTAGAAAAATATTTTTTATCACTCATCATGCACTTAATCTGAAAAAAAATCACGAACAAATGTTTCCTACAATACTTAGATATGGAATCAAAGAAGTCAAATATGGTTTTAGAATTAAAATTGGTCGAGCGGTAGTAGGAGATAATTTCACTACTGCTTATTGGTCTAGAATATATTTGCCTGTAAAAACACGCGCTACCCTACCTATTAAACAGGTATGGGACAAAATTTGGCAAGTTATTTTCAACCCCACAATTAAAAAAGTATAAATTATATTTTCGAATCGATAAATTAAAAAAAAAAATCACACGAGCATCAGACTAGTTTTCCCACAGCCGACTTGTTTTAATTTTAATTTTTTTTTTTTACAATAAGGAATTGAACAAAACAAATCTGTCCAAATAATTAAAGTTGATTTCGAAATGTTTAATAAAATACGTACAGACGGTGAGGTCAGAAATTCAGTCCTTCTAAAATGATACACATTTGACAACAAGTTTTATTTGTATAGAAACATTTTAACCCAGTTTTTTACATTCGAGGGTCTGAAAGGGTAATTCAAACCCAATAGTTCTTGTGAAAACATGAAATCTAAGCATAAAAACGGCCGTAGAGGGGATTGAAAGTTGAAATCTCCAAAAAACACAACCTTGACACTTATACCTTACGTATACAACACGGCGTTGCTTCTCCCGCAACAACAAGACGGTGAAAAGTATTCATATTGAAATTCAAGTCAAAATTGTATCTCTTCAATCCGCTTGTAAAAAAGAACTCTAATATTTCCGGATTTGAGCTCTTTTGGTCCAGTAGGAGCCGTTAAAAGTCTACGAAATATGTACCTACAGGTAAAAAGATAAGATGTATAAGAAACACAGCTAGTATACAGTACAATAGTATCTTATTTTTGGGAACAATTCGACAAAAAATAAAAATATAACGGATCTTTGTTATTTGAAAATCTGTAGACGCGAAATAAAATATGTAAAACTTTAAAAATACACGTAGAATATTTTGGTTATTTGACTGGCAGCGGTTCCAACGGTGTATCACGGTATATTATAACGGTCGAGATTTAACATTTAAATCAAATAAACTTACATGATATTATTATTATTTTTTTTTTTTTTAAAAAAAAAAACGTTACACAGCTGCTAAAATATGGCGCGTGCACGTGCATATGTGCATGCGAATTATAATATTATATTTATTATTTTTGCAACGACGATATTTGCGAACCGACAGTTTTGTCGCGAGTCAAAAACCTGTTCAAATATATAATACGATACGGATGGCGAAATAATGATGCACAGTTATTTTATTTATATTAATACGTATGTGTGTATACGGCAGCGTTGTTTTGAAACGAACATTTCGCAATCGAATACTTTATTTTATTTTTTTTTCAAACAAGTGCGAATTCAAAACTTCCGTACAACACGACGTGAAATAATACTCGCACTTAAAGCGCAATGTCGGCGTCAACAAAAATTTACAGAGAGGTGTGATTAAAACGAAAACGTTTCTGCCCGTCGGATTTTTGTCCTACGATAAGTAATACATTTGACGACAGTAATATATAACATGAAGTAATTACGTAACGTAATAAAAAAAAAAAAAACAAAAAAAGCTAAGAAACGATTAAGTTTACCCACTTTAAAATAAAATTATCGTTGAATTGCCGACTCGGCAGTCGAAATTTTCAAATTTAAATCATGCGTTCGTTATACCCTGGCTCGCTCGTGTATCCCTCGATTTCTGGCCCCGTTACCGAAACCAAAAATAATTTACTAAACAAACTTATTGAAATTAATGAACACGGAGCCCAGATTCGGAAACGACAAGCGGTGTGGGTATACGTACTAAACTGTACCCGAACGACCTGTTTTTTGTATAAGCTTCGCCCTAGTTTGTATCCATGTCAAAAAGGTATAATTGTTAACTGCATCCGGATTTTTATCCATGTCAAAAAGGTATAATTGTTAACTACACCTGGATTTTCATCTACGTTAAAAACGTATGATGTAAACTGTGCCACGTTCGTTATTATCATATTTTATATTTTGTACAACCCAAGTTAACTTTTTAACCAAACTTATTCGGCACTCACAACAAATATTAAAGTATACAGCATAAGTCTGTATAAAAATGATACATTCGGTAAAACAATAGTATATTTGTAAAAATACGGCAAATATGCGGCATCGGTCTGCCTAATACCTATCGATTTAATGGAAATATGTTGTTTGTTCTAATATCGTACTTTTTTAAAACTATACATTTTGTTCAATTGTTTATTTTATAATATGAACGCACTAAGCATAAATTGAAGATTATTTTGTAATTGTTTAGATTCGAGCGGAGCGAAAGATCTATTGGTAAAAATGTCGATGAAAATCGTAAATATTACACGGATTTTTAAATCGTGTAAAAACGAACTCCGTTCAGAATCGTTTTTCGTTAGCATTGATTAATCGCTGCGTACAGATATCCATTTAATTTTCCTTCTACCTTCCCAACTACTCACCTATAAAACAGTGGCTTCTGCCTTTCGTGCGAACTATGTCTGTTTTTTTTTTTTTTTGTTTATTTGATTTTGTAAACATTTGTAGCTAATAATTTTAAAATTTTACTCAGACTTAGTTTACACGTCACCTTTTTACACTCGATAAAAACTCGGGCGCAGTTTACAATCGTCATGAGGTGTAGTTTCATCTTCTAGAGAACCTTCTAAAAAGGCTTGCCTACGAGGGCGGGGGTATATGATTTTCTGTCGATTGTTTTTTTTTTTTGTTTTACAATCGAAAGGGTCGATATGCCTAGGCTACACCTAGGTATACGATATAATGCAGTGCCCATCAGTTGAAATACATAAACAATGATTGTTATACACTCGCGTGACCACAAATCTTTTCGGTAAACGTCCGAATGATAATAATTCACTGACGACTCGGACGACCACTATATACATATACCGCAGTATACGGCGTCGCACCGGATGTACACAATAATGGTTTGGTCGAATATACTGCCGGGAAAGACGTTTTTAATAGCATTTCGGCACACTTTCCCCCCCGAAAAAAAAAAAAGTACAACTCGCGAGGAGGGTTTTATTTTTGTAAATATATTACGCCGGACAGACTGAATGCTATGTATATTTATTATATCGTACGGTATAGAAAAACCGTCCGGACGAGAGCTGCCGCTGTATACTGATATATACATAATAGTTCACGGCGAACGGGACGTAAATCAAAAAATCTGTATTATAATATGTACCGAGGTAAAATAATTCAGAACGCGCGGCGTTTTAGCGAGCAAGTCGGTAGTAAAAACCGTATAAGCGAACATATTTGACACGGTACACGTCGTCGTTTCGAATTTGGACAGATGTTATTTAAAATAATAAAAACGCGCGCGCGTATTGCGTATATAATATTATAATAATAGTGACAATGGCAACTGCAGCGTGTAGTCGTTAACACCGTGTATTGGTAACGGTGTTTTACACACGCGCACACACACACTGCAAATGTGAATAAATAATAAATAAAATTTTAAAAAACCACCCACCGCAAAAAACACAACCGCCTACGTCGAATTATGCAAATTAAAAAACAAAAAAGTCTATTTTAAATTGACCAAATGGCCTCTGTCGGGAGTATGCTGCG